GGAGATTCGTTTTGTGAAGGGTCGTCTCCTGTGAATGAACTATGCAATGTAGGTAGATGTGGACATAGGACTTGGATGTGGACTCAGTGGAATGAGTGCTCTGCTACCTGTGAAGGAACGCAAACTAGGTTAGTGTCAGATTTTGGAATTGGATAAGATAATTTGTTAGGCTAATTATATTGTGAACTATGCAGTTCAATTCACTTGTGGTAAAGTTGGCCAGTTGCATGAACAGTGATGTGGAAGCACAGCGCTCACTTGTGGTTTGAATTATCCTGCATCGTTTTACAACAAAGTTTTGAACTACGACAGGCTTCACATATTTGGATGAAATTTTTATATTTATCTTGTGGAAGAAGGAAATCTTTATCTCCTCTCGCGGAGCACCAAGAAATTATAAGATAAAATTGGGGGGTGGTTTAAAAAGAATTAGGCTTGTGGTAAAATTAAAAAGTTTGCTGTAAAATTTACAATTGAAAAATTAAGCCAACGGTAAACGATATTAAAAGGCTAACGGAAATGGCACGCTTTCCAGACCGGAACGAGGCCTGTCTGCTTGTATAGATTTTAAGGCCTGTTTGTCGCTAGTTGGGGTTACAAATTAATGAGCCAGATTCGCCGAAGTACAGCCGAGAATTTCATTGGGACCAATTTAGACGTTATTTCAATCCCTGTAAGGGACGGAGCACTCTGAAGAAGCTGTTCCGCGTAACACAGTTTGAGAAATGCTGCTTTACCGCATGATTATTCCCCAGATGATTTAAAACTTGCGAACCCATGTAGAGTAAATCAGGGGTGCAATGACAAGCATCTGTGGTAACTGCCAATCCAACACAGATCCGATATTTTCAACTATTTTTATAAATTAAGGCATAAAGTATGCGATTACGAGAAATGCCCAGGCGAAGAGACAAGAGAATGTAATTCTAATTCATGCTCGGCAGCTGAAGATTCATCATATTCATCAACATTGTACACAACGACAGCAACAACAACACCTGGATCATATCCATCAATATTGTACACAACAACAACCCCGGGATCATATTTATCAACATTGTACTCAACAACGACAACAACAACCACGCCTGAAAATGCAGGAGATTGGGGGCTTTGGTCAAGTTGTTCAGCTACTTGTGATGGTACGAGGGTCAGGTAAGGGAAATAATAAAGTATAAATATTCTATATTGGAGTTTACCCTGTTTATATAAAAAATATACGAGCTGAAAGAAGTTGAAATATATTTCTGTTTGCAGACAGGTGATGGTAAGATATTTCTATAGTTAAGTTGTTGAGTTTTATATTTAAGATAAGATAATGATTTATTTAAGAATATTCCATTAAATACACACATACAAGTAGCCTACATAATGCAACAAGTATAAACAAACAACAGTATTCATGAAAAATAATCAAAAGGGGGCGGGCAAGACTTCAAGGTCAACCGACCACTAAGGAGAGTTTCTACCAGGAGAGGACACTCTAGAGAAGGCATCACAATTGCACCCAGTTAAGAGGCTTCAAGAATCAATTCCCCAGAAGTACTACTGTAAAGCTCTGGCAGCATCAAATTTTCATAATGATGCATAAATTTTCACATAATTAACATAATTTATTTCAATTGAAGAAATCCACAGCTTTGCATTATTAATATGTATTTGTCTAGATCAGGGGTGGCCAACCTGCCTTCGACCGCGATCGACTAAAATTTTGAAAATAGCTCTCGATCGACTGATTGGCAATAAGGTCATACAAAAAAACGAATGAGTACTGAATATGCAGATAACTGTGAACACGCATACAAAAATTCCTCCACTGTCAATAAGCTCGGCTCTGTGGGCGCATTCCACAAAAATTCGATTTTTTTTTATGTTTCATTCAATTTGTTACTTTGTCATCCTTTATTCAAGATTTATTCAAATATTACAATTCAGATCTGATGCCTGCCTACATTTTAGTCGTAAGAGTTGAAAGTTTTTCAAAAAACTTGTACCCATTAATTGTCTGAACAGCGAAAAATAAATGTTCCCAAACCCTAAATGTTCATCAGACCCCAGTATCTAATTTTAATTTATAGTTTCCTCCAAGTCCGAATTTTTGCTTGCACGGAATTAGAAAAAAAACTGTACATACTGATGTCACTGCTACTGTTGCGAATAAAATTTATCACACTATTATTGGAGTAAGACAATAACTTTCAAATATTGCAGTAGGTATTGTAGGATCGTTTGTCAGCCAAAACGCGCGATATTCAGCACATTCATTCCTAAACCTTGGCAGCGGCGAAACATTTGGGACGTAATATTATGCTATTATGCTAGTATGTCGGACCTGCGCAGACTCAAATAGAGTATGTGTGTATCGTATTTTGCGCATATACAGCACTGCATTCTTCCTATTTTAAAACACATAGCAGGCGCTGCATGAAACTGGTTGAAGGCAATTTTTTAGCGTATGTTTTTAAATTCATCGAAGATGTGAAAAATCCATGCTATTATAAACTATTCTAATAATTTCAAGATTAACAAATTTCCTTAATTTATATTCCAAGTAATTGAGAGAGTTTTTTTGAAAGGTAATCTATGTGATTTTCCCAGATATTTTATAACGCTTGTTCTCTCTAAACTAATTTCAAGTTTTCGAACCTAATTTTTTTCCCAGACCCAAAAACCATGAATTTTGTTCTTGAATAGATCAGCGACAATTTGTTTAGTTTCAACCAATGGTCAATTTGCTTTATTTTCAAATTCATTACATTTTGAAGATCTACAATATTTGTGGCAGAGCTGTATAATCAGCAAATAGCGTGGTATCAAACGCACTAGAAGGTCATTGATGTAAACTAAAAATAGTAGGGGGCCAAGAGTGCTACCTTTTGGGACTCTACGTCTACATGATACGTATTGAAAAGAAGATTTATAACTATTTTGTCGGCGCTTTGTTAAATAAGATTTGATTAGATTAAGTGGTTATGCAAGTATGCCGTAATGGGACAATTTGTATACTGAAATATTGTGATCAACGGTATCGAATGCCTTTGCCAAATCTAAAAAAAATTGCACAGGTTACTTTATTATGTGATAAATTTTTCTATATTGAGTCTTTTAGTTTTACAACAGCAAATTCGTAGATTGTGCATTATTTATTTGTTTATTACATATGTAAAGTTCCTAGTTATGTAATGAAATATTTTTACTATGCAGGCAAAGGGCATGTAGGACATTCTGTTATAACCCTGAGACAGAAACAGAGAATTGTAACGTTGGAATGTGTAGCTCAGACAGAGGGGCAGATGGAACAGATGAGAGTGAGATTCCTTTGTAGAAAAGTATAGTGGAGCCAAAGGTTTTCACTTTGTTCTTAAAGCCGTTAGTAGTAGTTTGTGAATTTCCATGAACAAAATCGTATTTAATCGAGGAAATATTTTAATCGTATTCAAGGCCTACTAGTCAGCTGTGTGCAAATCTTATAATATGTTATAAAAATTGAGGATTTGTGAATATTTTGTCATTACTTAGGGACCACAGTTCTTTGATAATGTTTGATTCGCATGCTTCGTAACTATTACCACTTTGTATCAGCCCCTCCCCCCAGACACCTCATATTAAAAATTACACGACCCTGGTTTAAACTATCGGAATTGAGCGTTTTTGCGATTTTAAAAGAAGACTATATGCAACTGTTCAGAAATTGTTACATATATTGAATTGTAAGTATTTCATTAACATATTGTCGAGAATTTTTTTTAGATACGAGTTTGTTTGATGTGAAAGAAGACAGTGTACCAGATTTATGTGGTGGGGCAGGTAGTCAGTGGTATTTTGGAGATTTTAATGGAGATAGAAGAACTGACGCAGCTTGTATTGAATTAGACGGAAATGTGTAAGTCCTATTATTGTTTATCAAATTAGCTGAAAGAAAATCACACACACTTATTTATTCTCACAGCAGTAGAAACTTATTAAGAGCTATTACCATGATATTTGAAAATAATAGCCAACTGATTGCCCTCTAAAAATGATAAAAGTTTTAAGACTAAGAAATTTGTGAAAAATCATGGATAGGTACTCCTGAAGTATGCGCACCATACTTCAGAAGTACCTATTTTTTTGTTGTATTTGGTGGGTACACTGGCAAATACTGAATGAGTTTGTCACGTCCAACAAGTGTCATGACTGAAAACATTTTCTTCATTGTCACTTAATCCTAATTTATAAAATCTGCTTTGCACTGAACTTTGTATGACGAATGATACTAGTTGTATCAGATTTTTCTGCGGGTTGATGACACCACCTAATGTTTCAGTGCAATTGGACATACAACAACTTCTGGTTTAATGACTGAACTACATTGGAAAGGTCGAATTTCTCCTTGTGCCAGTGCAGATATTTACTTGGGAGACGTTAATGGGGATCGGAAGGATGATTTTGTTTGTAAAGATAGCGCAAGAAGGTTATCATCATATCTTGTGTTTTTATCCTGTTGATTTTTTGGGCAAAAATGAGATTTCCACAACCGATCAATACAAAGTAGAGTTCTTTAAGCCTTTTGATAGCAAAGCATGCTGCATGACATGCAATATGCGCTCATATCTTATTTTGTCCAACAGAAAGCTAATCATCATATATACGACAGAAGCTGGCGTATTTGGAGACAAAGAAGTTGATGGAGGAAGCTTCTGCACCGATCCTTCAGACAAACTATTTGCATTAGATATAGATGGAACAAAAACAATGGACCTACTTTGTTATTTTGCAGATAATCATATAGAGTTGAGGCTAAATGCAAACTTTCGGCCTTTTTAGATTGTTCTGTATCGGAATTCTGTTGAAGATAAAAAGCCAATATATATTGATATTATTCAATAGTTGTTTTATTTTTCACTTAATCAGAAAAAAGTTTTAACATTAAAGTTTTTGGGGAACAAGGAAAGGACAGGTGTTGCGAAGGACGGATTGCTCCGTCATCCAGCCTACAGCACCTTCGGATAAGCAAAATAAACAAATGATAAATAAGGAATAAACAATGTTAGCCAATTATTTGTTTTAGATGCATGTACTTAATGGTGGAGGAAGTCGTAACCGAACAGCGGTGAGAAGTCCAGCTATGCCTCGCATATAACGGACCCTGCAGCACTTTGAAAACTTCACATAGGATAGCTACCGGTACCTCCTGTCACTGCACATCGTTTTCCCTGGTGTGATACTGGTACAGTTTTTAACTTTTCTAAGTTATGCCCGTCCTCCAGGTCCTCTGTGTTTGTTTTTGTTTCGTTTTATACCAGAGCGACCGAAATAAAATTGATTGGTTGATTGATCCTGTACGTGTCCAGATTAATACTAATGCCGTAACCAAAGAAGTATCCCATTATGACCTTATTTGAACGAGCTGACCAGGCGAAGCCGTCGTCGCACGAGGGAACTAGGCAAGGTGGCTGTCATCGTCGCTCGATGGAACTCCGCAATATGACGGCCGTCGTCGCACGATGGAACTCAGCAAGATGGCGGTCGTCGTTTCACGATGGAACTCGGCAAGATGGCGGTCGTTGTCGCACGGTGGAACTCGGCAAGATCGCGGCCGACGTCGCACGATGGAACTCAGCAAGATCGCGGTCGTCGTCGCACAATGGAACTTAGCAAGGTGGCGGCCGTCGTTTTCAATTCGGAACAATTTTTTTTTGCGATTTTTCGCTCCATAGTACTACCATGTTGGAATCCTGCTGAAACGTATATATATAATATATACACTTAAGTATGATTAGGATCCTCATCATGTGATCTTGATCCTGGAACCCCATGATTTCGGCTCATCCCGAATGGATATTCCGGAATTTCAAGGAGGCAGTTATTTTTAAAATGTTAGCATGGTTCGGTTGTAAAAGTTGTTTCATTTAACGGTAGAGGCTAAAAATGTTTTGAGCGGTAATTTTCACGCGTCATAATACAGCGATGGTTTGTTTCTATAATTCTTTTAGGCAAGTTGGTATGTGCAATAGTAGTCATAGTCTAGCCGCACCAACAGAACATATATGTGAAGTTCTATCCATTAACGAAGGCTTGTAGCTGTATTCATGACAGGCCAGTAGCCTAATTTAGAAGATGAAGATTTGAAATAGATACAAGCTTATTGATGGTCAGTAGGTTTTCGGTCCGTGATGTGAATTATTGAACAAGCCATATAAATGTTGCGTTTTGTCTGTTAGTGCCCGATGAAAAAAGAATTTGGATCATGTTTTTTGAAAAATATTTCATTTATCTAGTAGTAATTAGCACACATACAAATCGCAAAAAAAGGAAACCTTCTGAGTTTTGACCACGTTGAAGTCAACATGTATAAAGAAACATTTTGTCGTGATGAATACCAACCGGTTTCGCGATAAATATCATTCTCCTGGGTTCCTTACAAACGTCGCATCAATAAATCATCGAACTAATCTTTAATTCATTCATCTCGAATGTCTCTGCAGCAGTCATGCAAGGTTATAAGATAAATTTACAAACATTTTCAAAAAATAATAAATCATTCTGCTAAGACTAAATGAATATATATACTGCATTCCAGATTAATATTGAGTCTGCGTGGTAATTGCGGCTATTACGAGGAGTTCTCTTTATGCGAACAGTGCACCATTATAGGACCATTATTCAAATGTACAATGCACTCCTAAACGGATCCTGTAATAGCTAGCTAAACGATAACTTAAATATAATATATATATAAGTGCCAAAAATATAACTAATTAAGATGCCCAAGACGCAAATGCTTCGCAATATTGTATCTCTTTGTGATATTCCGAGTGCTTTATTTTGTTGTATTTGTTTTGTTTTTGTAAGAATTGTATCTTGTATTGAAATTATTGTAGGGTTGGGGTGATCATAGCTGGATGCAACCAAATTTCAAAAAGATTGGAACTTGGGATATAAAAAATGAATGTCCAGTTTTGTGTATGGTTTACAGCAATTTCATTTGCTTATACATATTGCGACTGTTATAAAATATGGTCGGACCTGGCTGGTGCAAGTCGGTGGCAATAAAAACTATTTCGTAACATTGTTTAATGTCGCTATGCGTTGGGACAAGTATCTCCTAGTTCCAACCTTTGCTGACGCAGAAACCACAACGTTAGTGTCACGAACCACATACATATTGAAGCAGCGAAATGGAATAACACGTGACTGTTGATCTGTAAAACGAATAAAATTGTTACTTCCTGTGCTGACCATATGGGATCCCTATTGATGGAACTTACCACGTGGTCGTATGTTCCAGAATACCAACTTTCAGGGATATTTTCAGAATATACATATATACCTGAAAATGAAAATATAGTGACCATTTAAAGGCGTTCTCCGTCGAAACCTTTTTTGTTTGTTCCAGAAACAGTACAAGTGTGTGTAGGCTACCAGGTTAGGGTTGGGCCATAATTTAATTTCGATTAACCTTATTTTAGTTCTATTACGAGTTTGGGGACTGTCTGTTTTAGCCAAGTGAATATACTCCCTGTCCTTAAGTTTCAGTCCGTTTATACAAATTGATGTAAAGTAGGCGAACAAAATTAGTTACCTCCATATCGGTACACACACTTCGGGAGCGCCGAAGAAACTGCTAACGAAAAAAATCGTTAATAATCAAACACTTATATGAATAAGCCATCGCCGTGTATGGGTGAGGAGTATACAGTTCTAACCCACCTATTATCGCAACGAAAAATCCGAGAAAAGACCAGTTATGGCCATTATTCATTGCTGTTTTTATACCATCGTTGTAGAATATTCTTGCATATCCGGGTAGAATGAGGGAAAACATGAATAATGCTATTCCTGTAAATGAATGTAAATAGTATGTATTGTGTATGTATAGCTTTACTCGCACTCGTTCTTGAATTTGATTCTTAATCGCATAGAACTTGCATGACGAATCGCTTTAACCTTGGAAATAATTTTGGTTGAAGATTTGTCCAACACCTTTTAGACTTGTAAAGATTTACTACCGATATAAAGTCAATATACGTAAACGGAAAAAGGGTTGTTGGCAAAATGAAAATGCTTTTTTCACTTATTACAAAAATTGACTCACTTGTTCGGTCTTTACTTTTTTCATATCTTAGTAAGTCGCTCCTCGTCATACGGTAGGCACAGCCCACTGCATTCATAAAAATTACAGCCAAGTAGAAATTCTGAAATAAAAATCTGATATAAGTAATAACAAATCAATGCTATATAGTAAATGCTTCAATTCCACGCGTAGATACAAAAAAAAGAGCTACAGGCGTGAATCATTTGAGGACAATACCCGGTCACCCAAAAGCACAATTCTCAACACCGGTCCTCACCCGTCACTATTGCCTTGAGTTGAATTATGGAGTTGAATTATATTATTATTATAGCGTAAATATATCATTCAATTTATTATCTGAGACAGCATAGTAATCTGTTTCAACAAATTGACATATTTACTCATTCCAAGTACAAGTCGAAAATCATTTCCGAACTGTTCAATAATGGGTTTGATGATCCTATATTGCCCCCGAGACAAAATTATTCAACTTAGATTAATAATATTAATAACACTTTCTGAAATAATTATTAATTTACAGATTTTTACTCACCCGTAGCATAGTTTCGCAGTAAAAAGAGTAATATAGCAAGGCGACCCAACCTCCTTCAACTCCCGCAACAATTCCACAAAGATCAATTCTAAATTGAAAGAAGATAATATATATCCGTGTCATATGGCAAATATTTACATGGCGAATTTTGTATCACAATAAATCGCATACTCTCGCTATCTATCTTCTTGGTATAGCTTTCGGCCATTGACATATCATTGTGAGATGATCGATCTTTATGAGAAAGGCCAATTGAAATACGCTTGAAAAGAAGGGACCATTGAGTTATGGAAAATACTTCAATGTGAAATGAGCTGCGCTTATGATACAGTAGAAACTCTACATACGAAAGGACATGGATACAAAAAATCCAACTTACAAAAATTCTCTTGGTAAAAATATTGCTTCGTCTAACGTAAAATTTTTTTCCTGGCTTGATAAGTGGGCCCACAGAAAACTACACATAATCTTAGCGTCGCTTATCAAGTTTTGCTGTTTCTGCTCGGCCATTACAGGTTGATCAAGAACCGCGCTAAAATTTCCTAGGGTGAAAGTATGCAGACCAGAGCTCATTCTATATGTATATATATATATATATTTCAGCAATTACCAACGCCTTTGATTTGCTTCAGGTATGTTATCCTTACCTTCGTCTGATACAAAGACTACTAAAATGAATCTTACTTACTTCAAAGTGCATTCAAACGCTTGTTCCGAATAATGATAAAAAGTGTGAAAAAATGTAGATAGAAGACAACAAGTGCAAGTTCCAATAAACGCAAAACTTATGACAAATTTCTCTTCCCACTCTCGAATAAAATATTCAGATGGTAGATGTACAAAATAATAAAATGCGACAGCGGTGATTACAAACGCTGAAATATAAAATTATATTTAATACTATTGTAAGGCCGATATACCTGCTTCAATTTCCATCCAGCTCAATTGAAACTCCGGATTTCGCGCCCCATTTACTCCAAATTCAGTATTACAAAATTTCGATGCCAAATACTTTGGCATTGAAGTTTTCACTATGTTACATTTGAGAAGTCCGACTCCGATATTAGAACCGACACTGAAAACTTACTTTGCACGACCCTTGAAAATAAAAAACACCTGTCTGGGATACTAAAAACTGACTCCGTTTCCATATCTCCGGTAGCGGGATTATATTCAACCAAATGTCAAATAAGCTGCTATAAATTCTCAATCATAATGTACTGTATATATATACCAACTATTCCTAAGCTCAAATATTAATCCCGGCTTGTCCTTAAGATACCGTCTGACCGTCTGAAGAAATACCAGTAACTAAACTTTTATTTGTTATGTATGTATACATAGAGTTGTTAAAATTATATTCTTACCTATTAAATGGGACCAAACACAAGCCATCTCCGAGTTCTTTTCACATGTTGATTTCAAGCACCCCCATACCGATGGCGTGGGATGTCTTTGGTGAATAAGGAAATGTGGATTTATTGGAAACCATTCTGGATAATATACGAGTTTGTGTTGCAGTTTCTCTGAATATGATCTAAAAGTGTAAAATAATTTTTAAATGAATGGTCGAAGTTTCTGGCTTATTCAATGTCTTAACTTGAAAATTATCTATTATATATATATGATATAACAGACGACGGATCAGTAAATAATTGATGATTCTTACTTTTTATGGCATTCGATGATGTTTTTATTGTTGTTTATCTCTCCCAATGACATAGTTAAGACGATGTACAAGAAATATAAATATATAGAAATAACTATCTGTGATAATGTGATAAAAACGTATTGTTAGGCATTTAAAAGACAATAACAAGAGATCACACACGCGCTCTCTCATTAGGCGAATGCGCTTGATTGTAATGCAAATGAGTTAAATTACGGTGATATGAAACAATAGTACGCTTCTAACAAAAGCACATACATACAAGTATTTCCTCGAGTCACAAAAAAGTCAAGAAGTCAGAATAAATTATCTCTCAACAAAATGACGGCTACGTTTTATAACTATAACGCGCTGTGTAATATTCGAGCTGCTTTATCAGCCTATGCATAAGTATACTGACAATGACGACACCACACGATCTTTACAACTGCCGGAAAACCAACAGATGGTTTTAAGTCGAGATATGACGGAAGAATAGCGTTGTTCGACTCATCATACTACTCGCCCGTTCAATGAGTAACAGCAAATATCGTCAAGGGGCTGAACAATGTATGTTGGAAGTTTACCGCACGTCAAGCAGCATAATACCCACAAATAGAATATTTACAGACATCAATACTCTTTGACCTGTTCCACCTTCCGCATCCGCATTCGCCGATGCAAAATGAAGTGACGCCTGCGATTTCTTGATCTGAATGTTAACGCGCCTAGGTCTGACTTGCAATGTGCTTATGGGAACAAGAGAGCTACGCCCAAATATATGGGCACGTCTGTTCGCAGTACAGTACGGTTTACCGTACCGTCAGATCACAGTCTACAAATATATTCACACCAAGCGAAGCAGTACAGTAGGACACAAATAGGCGTCCAATGTCCGCAGAACGTTCGGTGACGTCAGAGCAAACAAAAACAAATCTCACAGAGCTAACAGATATATTTGAAACAAATAAAAGTAATAGCCTTCTGGAGAAAAATTTCATCTTTGACCACTAAAAATTTCAAAGCAATTGGTCCATTGATCAAAGAGAAAAGCTTTTTTTTTATATTTCCACTAGGTGTCCAAAAAGTGTCAAGTAACAACAAGAACAAGAACAACATAACAACAAAACGATCGTTATGTCCACTAAACGTGTCCAAAAAGAAATGCAATGGTGTTTTATAGGGGAATTTATAAGCATACTATTTGAAAAACAATTTGTTTTCAGAGGCGTTGTGGTAATGTAGTGAAAATGCTATACATATTTGGAATATGGTAGGCCTACTTATGTGAATAAAGAAGCGGCATGCCATAATGATACAGCTAGCTCAAAAAGTATACTACAAGCGGCGTGTTCTTTTTTTTTTCAAAAATTATAAGGTAAGATTCGATGAGTTTTCATTATTGTTCGCATGCAATAATACTACCGGTATGCCCAACTTGGATGAAAACTGTGGCCACAAACAATTACAGACTCATGTAAGTATATCACTTTTTGTTTCAGATGTTCACAATTCGAACACTTACAGCTGGAGAAGACTCGCATGCTTAATCTCTTACAATATGATCACCAAAATCCCATTACATAAACATGTTATACATTGATTGTGAAATACCGTGTAAATTACTGAAAAATGTTCACTACTATATGGTACATCAAGTTCACAATTATAGACTTTTGAACTTGCTTTTAGCTACACACTGGAAATATTTCAGCAAGAAGTTTGTGATGTCGAAGAAGCTCGTACAAGATGAGAGAACTGTAACATATTCAGTATAATATCTAGAAAATACTAAACTAATGGATAGCAATTTGCTAACTATCTTCTCTTGCCCGGATACTTAAAGACAGCCAAAATGCAATTACTAACTGGATAAAAATTACTACTATTGTCTTTTTGTATTTATGCAAGTTTTAAACAAATAATAAATTATATCCCACACACGAGTTGAATAAATTTCATTGAGTATTCCAAGGTTTCTTACCTGTGGGTGGCTACCATAACATGGATGATTACTATTCCTAAGGGTGTGAAATGCAGAATAGATATAAGAAATTAAAGATTATATATTGTTTTATTTTTTGCACATTAGAAAAAAGAATCACAGGGCACTGGCGTAATCTATTAGTGACCGAAGCAATGTTTCATGTCATCTATCATCGTATACGTAGATATGGGATAGCATGACAAAAGTCTATATTAGGCCACAAACTGCCAATTGTGACTTCTCATAAATGAGAAAGGGACGTTCTTCACATATGTGCTGTCTATTCCATCCAAATGATCCATGTACAATTATACAGCAGCTTTCATGATCAGACTGTTGCATGAGCTTGAGCATGAATGTCTTTTTCTGCAAGTATTCGAATCGTGAACATCAGAAAAAAGTGATATACTTTTACAACAAAAGTCCGCCCTTATTACCGATCACAGCTTTCAGCTAGACATAGTGTTATTGCATGAAACACATCCAATCTTACCTCATAACATTTGCAAAAGCAAATAGGCTAATTTTCTTTCACTTTGGCATATATTTCAAACTGCTGCTACCGGTATTCATAGACAACCATGCACCCATTTCAACTCGTTATTTTACTAAAATTACATACTGCCTCAGAATATGTTTCATTTTTTTTTCAAATAGTATCTTTTAGTTCCCGCTACGAAAAGCCGCTACTTTCGAGTATTCACAAGAAACGTTGCGAACCAGGCCTAGGCACGTCAACATTCAGAACTAGAAATCCCAATCGTCACCTCTTTTTGCATCGGCGAATGCGGAAGTCGCAATGGGTCAAAGAGTATGAGTACCGGTACCTTAGCTATCTGGCTTTCAGACTGATAAGGCATCGTTACATTTTGCTGCGAATTGCATTTCGATGACTGTGGACAGTTTTTTGTTGTTGTTACCGTATGAAAAAATCGCTCTTCTCCTTAACTACTGGATCACTTGGTTGATTGGTTCGGAAGTTTCAGTAGTTAAATCGCTATAAGGCTATATCCTTTATCTTTATTCAAAACCTTTGATGAGCTCTGTGGGATTTTTTTACCTTGAATTTTTGTGTGCTGACTTTTTAAAAAAATTTTTGTAGCGTATCTTCGACCTTACGTGTTCTCCTACCCTCTTGGTACGCGAAAGTCGGAAGTTTTTTAATGGTACCGATCGGAATTGGTTATTATTCAAAATGAACCATTACTATTAGGATACCAATGCAGATTTTTCAAGATCAACCTTCACTAAAGAAATATTCCGTCTTGATAAATATTAATCGGTTTCGCGATAAATATCATCCTCTTGGGTTCCTGATAATGTCACATCAGGTTATCATTGAAGCTATCTTTCAATTCATTCATCTCGTACGTCTCTTCAGAGAGTCTCTAAGTGATAATAAAATAACTAATTAAAATACCTAAGACGCAAATGCTTCACAATATTGTACCGTTTTTGTGATATCCCGTGTGCTATATTTTGTTGTATTTGTTACGTTTTTTGTAAGAATGGAATCTTGTATTGAAATTACTGTAGGGTTGTGGGTGGGCTCTCTCCACATAGATGGATGCAACCAAAAAAACAAAAATTTTGGAACTGGGTGATTAAAAATCAATGTCCAGCTTTGTGTATGTTTCACAGCTATTGCATTTGTGTGTATAATATATTGTGTTCACAGATGAAAATAACTTCATCGTTATCCGAATACTGCTGTTTCTAAAACAGTTTCTCATATTTGGAGATATAATCGTATATTGGTGGAACCATTATTTTCATAATTTTATTACAAAGTTACAATTCTTTCATATCATATTTTTACTTGTATTATTAATAAAATAATATTGATTTGAATAAATGTTAAATGAATTATATTTACAAAGTGAATTAAATTAATACAAATTAAATGTGTCTCATGAAGCTTTCATGAGTTGAGTTTACAAATAGAAAAGTGTTAGAACAAGTTATTCATGAGTACTGAAAACATTGCGGTCGAGAGCGTTACAGCGTTACTTAGTTACAAGAAAAAGTGTCTTTATATAAAGTAAAAGAGCAGCAACGTTCTAACAGTTACCGAAAAGGTGAGTCAATTCGCAAATTTATTGCGGAATTAGTGTTCCGCGCAACTCTAGAACGGTCACTTCGGAAAGTCTAAAATGCGGAACTGCAAAATATGAAGGATATGATGAAATTTCCATATTTATCCCGGGGAAGGGAAGGTCGATGATATGAGTTATCATATGACGAACCATCCCTTTTCGTCCGGTTATCAGCCCGTCTTGGATATGGGATTAATTAACCAGTTATATGTTTGCATAGGCTCTATACCAGAAAATTATCCTATTTCCATTTCATTGAACACCCTTACAAAACATGATCGGACTTGGCTGGTGCAGAATGGTCGCAATAAAAACTGCTCTGAAACATTATCTGATGTCACTATGAGTTGGGACATGTATCTCCTAGTTCCAACCTTTGTTGACGTAGAAACCACAACGTCAGTGTCACGGACCACATACATATTGAAGCAGCGAAATGAAATAACACGTGACTATTAATCTGGAAAACGAAATGAAATTGTTACTTCTTTTGCTGACCATAAGGAATGTATTCTTCATCAATTAAACTCACCACATGGTCGTATGTTCCAGAATACCAACTTTCGGGGATTTTTTCAGAATATGCATATAAACCTGAAAATGAAATATATGATCTCTAATGGCGTTCTCTCTCGATAAATATATATATATATATATATATATATATATATTTACTCAAAGCGAAGTCACATGCACTCACTCGGGAATAAATCAGACTGATCTCTGAGATAGCCTAAGCCAGGGTCGTCCAAACCGTGGCCCGCGGGTCATATGTGGCCGAGTGGCCCAAGGTGTTTTTTTCAGAATTGAATAAATAAATTGGAGTAAAACTATTTTTCGAGTGATGTAGTATACAAATATGTGATACAAACCATCTGTTTATTTTTCTGAAATGCGCTCTGCCAGCCCTTTCGAACGAGCCATTAGTGCCATTTTGAATCGAAACCAGTTGTGAGGAGATATCGATAAATAAAGGTGCCATAGCCGGTTACACACTTGGTCTTTTACTACTCTATATGACGTTATCGCAAAAAATCAAAGCCATTCTCAGATTGAAAATTTGTTAGGGAATGTATATTATGTATTGTTCGGGTTGCCAATGTTTTACGTCTGGAAATAAAAGAACTGTTTGCAAAAATAGCCTGTCAAGACAGACCATAACTCGTCATGTCGAAGAGCTTGAGAACTCCATAGCGGAAACCTTAATTGCGAAGGCGGGAAATTTTTCATCGTTTTCCTTGGCGCCTGACGAAAGCACTGACATTAAGGTTACTGCTCAGTTGGCGATCTCCTTGTGGGGAGTTATTGATTTCGAAATTACCCCTATTGTCCATTGTCCCTATTAAGGGTACGACTAGACTAGAGGCATTGGTCTGTTGGGAGCTGTGATGAACAAAAATCAAGCGTCTTGGCTTGGCTTTGGCGAAACTTTCTGAATTAACTACTGATGAAAGTTTGGTGTGCGGGTATTTTTCTTTATTAACCCGTAGTCAGTGTAGCAAAACTAGAACAAAATGCCATGTTAAGTGGCCCACGCAATTATTAGTAAACTACATGTGGCCCTTCGGCCGAAAGCTTGGACGACCCTGGCCTAAGCCCTAAGTTAATTAAGGGAGGCCACTGAAGAGCCAAACAAAACTACTGTACTGAAACTATAAAGAAATATAGCGTAAAATTAAGCGTTAGTAAATATATGATATGTAAATGTATGTTAAAATAGAAGGCATTCAGCAAGTGGTGCATCGGAAATTCTAATCTACTTTTTATAAATTTTGATAAGCCTTATACACGTTTGCGGCTTGCAAGCTACTCTTGAACAATAGACTAAGATTTGTATATCCAAGCTCATCAGTAAATTGCACCGACAAAAAGACATATGCCGGAGAAACAACTAACGGAAGAAATTCTTTATAAGGAAAACACTTATGAGTGGAAGCTATCGCGATGTAAGAGTGAAGAGTATACAATTCAAACCTACCCATTATCATGACAACAAAGCCGAAAAAAGTCCAGTTATGACCATTATTCATTGCTGGTATTATACCGTCATTGTAGAATATCCTTGCATATCCAGGTAAACAGAGAGAAAACATGAACACTGCTATTCCTGTAAAGGAGTGTATATATATCTAAGTAGTATAATTATATAGTATATATAGTAGTAATATATATGTGAGTGTAGTTTTACTCGTCGGACTCGGAGTTGTTCCTGTATCGGGTTCTGAATCGCATAGAACTTGCCTGGTGAATCGCTGTTACTTGGGCATAATTTTGGTTTAAGCTGTGTCCTGCTTTTAGCCACATGTATGGAAAAATCGAAATTACTCAAATACCGATCAATTACGTAAAACGACACATAGTCTAACTCCAACTTATAGCAACAGTCTGATATCTATTTAGATTCAAGTATAGGCTTACATAAACGAAAAAATGGTTGTTGGTGGTGTTTAGCTATTACAGCGATTGTACTTACTTGTTCGATCCTTTGTTTTTTCTTCTCTTAGTAAGTGGCTCCTCGTCATACTGTAGGCACAGCCCACTGCATTTATAAAAACTACAGCCAAGTAGAAATTCTGAAATAAGGATCCGATATAAGTGAAAATAAGTCAATGCCATATTGTAAATGCTCCTTTCTAATCGTAGCGGGAACCAACTATCTTCAATTCCGCACGTAGGTACGGAAATATACCAAATACAAGTCAAAACCCGTTTCCGAGCTGTTCAAATATGAATCCGATTACCGGTACATGAATCAGAATTATTAATAATTATATATATATTATAAAACATTTTTTAGAATAATTATTAATTTACAAATTTTTCCTCACCCGAAGCATAGTTTCGCAGTAGAAAGAGTAATATAACCAGGCGACCCAACCTCCTTTGACTCCCACAACAATTCCACAAAGATCAATTCTAAATTGAAAGGGGAGAATATGTTAAAATATATCCATGCCATGTGGCCAAAAATTTACATGGCAAATTACCACAAGAAATCGTATAGGCCTACTCTCTCTATCTAACTTCTTGGTGGAGCCTTGGACCACTGACAAGTATTTTTAGTTACTATATGGCTATTGGCCCCCTATACACTCTGATACATTACAGAAATCTTTGCTGGGTTGCGTTATAAGAAATGGGCAAATTTGATGAGTCTGATTGATTGCCTAGGCTTGATAAGTGGGCACTATGGCAAGTATACATTATCCTAACAAAGCTTATACCGTTTTGGCTTTCTGCTCGGTCATGGCAGGTTTAACGAGAACCGGGCTGAAACTCCCAAAGATAGAAGTATCCGGGTCAGAGTTCATACCATATGTCCTCTTCCAGCAATTGCTAACGCCCTTTATTTGCTTCATTCATTTTACCCTTACCCTTACAGAATTAACTAAAAATAAACGTACTTACTTCAAAGTGCATTCAAACGCTTGCTCCGAATAATGATAGAAAGTATGAAAAAATGTAGATAGAAGACAACAAGTGCAAGTTCCAATAAACGCAAAGCTTATAACAAATTTTTCTTCCCACTCTCGAATAAAATATTCAGATGGTAGATGTAGAAAATAATAATATGCGACAGCGGTGATTACAAACGCTGAAATATAAAAAAGTATATGTGATACTATTGTATGGTCGATATATCTGATTGAACTTCCATCTAACTGAACTGATCCCTCAACTGAAACAATAAACCGTAAACATGATTTCGCGCCACTTTGACTCCAAGACCGGTATTACAAAATTTTGATTACAAAACTTTAGCGTTAAAAGCTATACAATCTTGCATTTGAAAACTTCGAACTAAAAAGCCCTGACACTAAAAACTTCAGATACACAATTTAACCATAAAACACCGGTCTGGGATGCCAAAATCAGACTCCGATTTTATATCTCTGGTTGCAGAAATATAATGAACCAAATGTCACAAAAGTTGCTCTTCGAAATTCTCAATCATAATGTAACATACCAACAAGTCCTAAACTTTTATATATACTATATCACCGTTGTGTTTTTTAAGATACGGACTAACCTTAAAACCAAAGAAAGACTAACAAATAAACTTTAGTGTGTTAAATATTTGTTACATAATAAAATCAATACTCAATAAGACTCAATAAAATTATATTTATACCTATTAAATGGGACCAGACACAAGCCATCTCTGAGTTCTTTTCGCATGTTGATTTCAAGCATCCCCATACCGATGGCGTAGGATGTCTCTGGTGAATGAGGAAATGGGGATTTATTGGAAACCATTCTGGGTAATATACGAGTTTGTGTTGCAATTCCTCTGAATTTGATCTGAAAGTGAAAACGAGTTCTTAAATTAATGGTAGGAGATTATGAATTATTCAATATCTTATCTTAAAAATTATCTATGATATACAACACGACAGATCAGTAAATAATTGGTGATCTTACTTTTTATGGCATTCGGTCGAGTTTTTATTGTTGTTTATCTCTCCCAATGACATAGTGAAGACGATGTACAAGGAATATAGATATATAGAAATAACGATCTGTGATAAAAACGTATTATTATTGCATTTGAAAACATCAACATAAGATCACTCACGCGCTCTCTCACTAGGCAATACGCCTGCTTGTAATGCAAATTAATTAAATTAAGGTGAAATGAAACAATAGTACGCTACAAGTACGTAGTAGACGTATTTCCTCAAGTCGCAAAAAAACTCTAGAAGTCAGAGTAAATTATCTCTTAACAAAGTGCCTGCTGACTTTTTGCTTCAAACTATAACGCACACTAATATTCGAGCGCTCTACCAACCTATACATATGTATTCTAACAATGACGTCAATTCACAAGATTTACAATTGCCGGAAAAGCAACACATAGTTACAAGATAAGATTGTAAGGAAGAAAAGCATTGTTCAACTCATCATATTACTCGCCCTTTTAATGAGTAACAGCAAATACCCTCAAGCTGAACATTGTATGTTGGGAGTTTACCACATGTCCAGCATAATAGTTACAAGTGAGATAATGCTACCGGTACCTTCGCTATTCGACCTCACTCGTTCTACCCTCTTGCTACGCGGAAGTCGGGAGTTGTTACCGACCGACCTGAAAGGCAGCCCAATATACGAAGGAAGCCCTTCAAATGATAATTGGAACGATATAACCAAACTTACAGCACTCAAATGTAAATTAACATCATTCCGTGTTAAAACTTTTATTGATAAATGCATTGTATGACGTAATTTTGACTAACATGATTGATTGCATTACACAGTATTTAAAATGTAATATATATGTCTAGTAATTGTACTGGCCCATGTCTATCATTTTGTTTGCACTGAGCATCGTTTATAATAGATATTATTATAAGGGATTGGAAACATAAACTTTATAAGTAATAAATTATATAGGGTAACTATAATAAATCTATTTTGAAACTGTCTCCAAAATGTTGTTCGTTTTTTCTCATCACACCTCAAACGTAGTCCAAATATGAATTTCTGTCAATTTTACCAAATTATTTATAATAAAAAGAAAAATTTTAGAGAGTTTAAAAATAAATACCGAATTTGAAATGCCCAAGATTATCCTTTGCTTCGCTAATGTTGAAATATGCTTTTTCTCTGCTCTATTTGTAGACATTATGAGGAAATCTGCCGACCGAACTTTCCGCCCATGTTTCCAATAACAAATGTTTTGATATACTACTACATTTCTACGCGAAAAAAGTTTTTTCTAGATCATTTTTGCAAGTTTTACGCTTCCAGCAAAGTTTGCTACTTGATTAACTCCCGATGTACTTTGCTCATTTATTGGAAACAGAAACTTGTTTATTGGCAGCTGTTCACTGTCTGGTGGGGTAGTATATATGCACAACGAATATCAGATTTGAATTTATTTACCCCTAAAATCATAGAAAGTCAACCCCAGGGGTAAATTTACCCCAGGTTAAGAAAAGTAATTCAAGAATTTTTTGAATTTCGTTTCTATAGATCTGTCAATGACAGGGCAGACATTAAGTCTTTTTTATACACAGAAGTTGACCATTAAGTTCCTCTTACAGCTGAGCTTTTCTTGAATGTTTGCTTTTATCGACCCTTTCGCATTTATATTTACAGCGATCGTTTCTGCAACTCCGGTACTAAATTGAAATTATTGACACCTCTACGAAAAGTTATACTGTATCACAATTGATTTAAAGGATATATATACATGAAGTACATGAAGGATATACCGGTACAAAACGACAATTATCTCGATCGGTCACTTACATAACTGACTGATTAGCGGGTATGCGCGCCATAGATTTTTCGATCTTCATAATCCACTTTATTAAACAAAAACTCGCTGTGAAAAGGCGCACGCATGACGACATAGGTGATTTGCAAACTCCGGAAATCGAACACATGCTTAAGCAGAAACGATACAACTGTTAGAACAAGACCGCTCAACTCGCGTAGTTTGCACCTTAATTTGCTTATATGAAAATATGGAAGGCTATGTGGTAGTACGTATTCAAGGTGATATCAAAAGAAAATATACGAATATGCTTACTTGTGGATTTCTGCTGTTACCACCTTATCGAACGAGCAGTTTCGGTTTCTAAATTCGGAAGGATGTGACGCCCGCCTAACGCTGTTTTGTTACATAAGATGTAATGTTTGTGCGTCACAAATACTGAACTGTTATATTTATAATTCTACAGAGCATAGAAACAATATATAATATTAGTCTGAATTTATTCGTTCAAATGTACTTTGGGAAATATATCGATTATTTAACTGAGATGATGTTTCCTTTTACACTCTGCACACTTCAAATTATTGTCATATGTGTGTTTCGTTTAATACCAACTGATACCCGAGGACTCGTCCAATGCCTCTGCATTTTATGTCATATTTTTTCTGAGTGTTTCTTAGTGTTAAATTCTACCACGAACTTGAAAGATTACTTGAATACTGTATTCCTCTGTCAAACTACTAGATATTTGCCATTTACTATGTGCTGACCATCGTTATAATATAAACAAACCGTCAAATATTGCGATATGTTTCCGGGTTTTGAAATTACATAAAATTTAATCATAAAAAATAAATCTACACGACTTTTTGTAATGTGTTGACTTATTCTTAGAATGTGCGATATTCACAACGTCATAACGACTTCAACAATATAATAAAGAGAAATGATCTTTCACGTAAATAAAATAATTCACCAATAGGTAAAAATAGATTTGCTACATAGCAATTCATACCATTATGTTGTGCTTATAGTAATTACCATGCTACTGATCAATATCAAACTTTATAAACCGCACGTACTGGGAGAATGTATATTGATTCGCATCTCGCGAGCTCTAGAACCCTACTTATAATCTTCCGAAATGGCAAATTTCCATTTTTCTTGCTACCTTTTTTTTACAAGAATAGCGTTATTACACAAATTTCGCCCAAAGTGATTTTTCGATCATGGAAGTAAAACACTAATATTGCATGGGTGTAATTTTCAAGTTTTGCTGTCAGCGTATATTTATGGTGACTCACGCCCATTTGTGGCCACCAATTTACTGATTACACGCTGACGTTTTCAATTCAGGATATAAAGTTACGTTTACAGATTTGTATCAGATTACCGCCGTGGTAGATCTCACGCTATAGTACCAGCTTGGAGTAGATCTCCGCTATCGTGTGATGGACCTCATGCTATCTGGATACGATAGGAGCTGAAGCTAATTACGTTTGGGATGCTGCAGCCAATTCTATCTGAAACACTATTTTTTCGACCATTCTGTGTTCACGGTAACGTTTCAACAACAAACAAGCAATTTCTGACAAGCAGAAACCATGCATTTAGGCGACAAATTGCGGTATAGATCTGACTCCATAATAACGTCAAATTTTATATTTTCTGTATAATTTCTGTCAAATAAGTATAGATTACAGCTTTGAAGCTTTTTGAATATATATAGTGTATGTCGAAACCTCTCCAAACACGAAAACTTGAAAATATTCTGTTTGCTCTCGCTGGACGTAATAATAATAATAAATAATCTTCTTTTGCGAACGGATGTAAACTGAAACCCTATGCAAATCTTCTAATGCATTCCCCTTGTGACGCAATTGCCCTAGGGTGCATCGTCAAGTCGTTGAATCACGGATACATGACGTTGGGAGGGTTATTACCTCTTCATATAATAACAATAGATGGTTTCCATGCTCACACCACGACCTGATATCGGCGAAGTAATATACACGATTAAACACAAATATCAAAAAAACATTACCGTTCTGGATTATAATCAACTCATTATCTTTTGCCAACAGGCAATCTCTCCTTCGCTCCACTTTCACTGCCAAATTGTTGGAGCAAAATTACCATACAAATACCAGTATACGGGAAGCTCAGTGCATACTATGACGCGGCTCGTAACGTCTGTATGTGACAAAAATATTTTCTTCAAAAAATGACATTGCTATTAGCTTTTTGACACCTAGGATTCATGTGAGAATCCATTCTAAATCTATATGTCTTCATAGTAAGATAAGAGATAGAAACAATTATCTATGTCCTGCAAACATGTTATATCATTACTTCCAACAGCCAAAGTCAAATAATTGTATGATTTTGGTTTTGCGCATGGTTATACGAGAATAATGAATATTAATTGAGGCATGTAAACTCAGCCTTGCGTTTTAGAAACACGCAGATTAAGACTGAACTTGGAAGGCGATTAACACCATCAATTCTATCAAACAAACACCAATTTTGAGTTGGCCAGTTTCAATATATATATGTATATGTCTTAACTTAACCCAATCTTTACGTCGTGTGGTATGATGCATCTCATAGTCCCAAACAAATGTTATGACTTTTGGTATAGTAATAATATCAATTGAATAAAACATTTGGCCAAACTGAAAATAATTTTTTGACAAATTAATTTGAAAGCAAGGCCGCGAATGTATCCAATTTAGTTCTACCTGCCAGATTTGAATCAAAATTGACCAAATAATGTGAACTATTCGTCCATCCCTCTCGTTATTGGACACGAAAAATGTACATCCTGTTATTATGCTGTTGTTATCGTTATGAAAAAAATCGCTTTTCCCATAACTACTGTACCAATTGCTTTGAAATTCGCAGTGGTTAAAGATTATATTTTTTGCTTGAAGGCTGTTACTTAATTGTTTCCAAATTTCATGTGGTTTCTATATGATACAGTTTTACTTCAAAATGTTGTGTGATGACCTCTACTAAATTAATCGGAAGTCGAAAGAAAGTTTTTTGACCGTACCGTACAGTAGACTAAGTAAAGTGCTGCTTCGCTTTGGCCTTTGTGCATCACATCGGAAATTGAATCGCTTATAAACCATTTTCTATATGTCGATATGAAATTTAACCAAATTCCAGACTATTAGGAGGCTGAATACAGATTCAAAAAACTTCTAAATGTAGTCTCCATCCACATCAACTGTACCGAGAAATAATTGCTTGCTGACAAAAACACAGATAGGATACGTCATATGATATGGTCTGAAATTCCAATCTTAGATTGTTATCGATAATGAGTGTGATATTGGCACACAAGTAGCATCTAGCAAAAAAAGTAATAATCTAGTAAAATAATCAACTTAGAAAAAAAAATTTCATCTGATAATCTTCGTGTTCCCATTGTTGTACAATCAAGTCAAGGCAATAAAGCCTAACATATAAATTTCAGTACAAATGTGTAATGCTCACAGCTAGGAAAAAACTTTGTTCTTTCCTTTCCTCTTGATTATACTCTCTGGCAAATTTAAAAATCATAAACCTCTATCTCATACATAAATGATTGACAAACGTTCAGGAGGAAGTAATTGTTTTGAAAAAATAAGGGCGCTGACTTTACATAATTACAATTAAAGCATGCTACAATGCTTATGTTTCAATACTAAGCGATAAACAGTCTCTGGTGAGAGCATAGTAAGTACATTATTACGGAGGACGTTGCTATCCCAATACTGTTGTTATCTGCTAGTGCTATGTGTCACCGGAAACATGGTCATGTATTCGATAAAACCGATAGACTTCGTGTACTTGTTGGCAAAATTTACCCCGGTAGAGAACCCCTGCTAAACGCATTGCTACAGCATTAATCGCTGCAGGATAAAAAACGGGAATCAGGTGGCTATAGGTTCCACACAAGAAACCCTCTTGGAATTATGTTTACTCCGGTCGTTGTTAACAGTAATGTAATGCTTCATGTACTTTCCAGATACTTATATTGTATATTTTTTTAAATATACTGCGGGATTTTGTCCTTGAGAGTGATAATAATGTGTTTTAATAATTAGAGTGAATTCAATTCCTGTTTTATCCAAATATTTACATCAATACAAAACCATGTAGTCATGTCGGACTGATAACTCACCAGTCCTAAAAGCCCATAGCGGTTATAACTTTCGTAGATACTGCAGAGCTGCGCAGTACAAAAAAAGCTATATTTGATTTCGACTGCCGGCCATTAATAACCCCGAATTACAATTTGAAATCTCTGCTTTTTTTTATTTCAACTCTAACGCCAGCGCTTAAAATTTGGTACCGAAGCTTTCGAAATATGCAATAAAAATATTAAACCTATTCTAGACTGAGAAAGATTTTGGCTCAGAGTTTGATTCCCTATTCCATATTATTAAATTCATGGCTTTAACTACATTCAGATATTCCGGTTATATGAATTGACTCCGACAACATCTCCTAAATACGGAATGATTAAAGTTCAACTCTATATTGTTCAAACTTTCGATTCCGATTTCAGATTTCAAAATGCAGCAAATGTCCTCTCCGACCACGCATAGATAGAAATATGAGCAATCTCACAACTTCAATTATTTTTTGCTATCATGCCTCGTTGGTATTATCGTCTGTTCGACCTCTTCTAGGTAATCAGTCAAGTCTTTAACATGAGACACCGATAACGATCGAAATTTCCACTGTCTTGTATGAAATTCCAGTAATAGTTACTAGATTTTGTTTGTGCTTATTTCTGCTTGTATTACCAAAATTCGTCGGAATCTTTCCTGGAAAGCATTAGTTTTTGATTGCGCAACTGCGCCAGAGAATTTAGGCCGCAACTATTAGAGATACCGCGAATTTCATCGGGCGATAAAAATAGCAAGAGAACTTCAAACGATCTTTTTCCATCAATTGACTAGAAACATAAAATAGATTGCAACATATAGAATAAAGTAAAACATATTTTCAGCACAGCAGTAAATTTAAAGGCAAACCTTTAATCTTAATCTCTATTAAGTTGCCGGAACCACTTTGTAGGTAGCATTGCACGGGGTCAAACTTGTTATTCTAATTATCACTGCTGGCACCGTGGATTGGATATCTTTGTTTTAGCCATGGGCGCCGCCGCGATTTTTCAGAAAAGGGGGGACGGAGGTCGGAAAACGTGGGGTTTCAAGAGTTTCGAGGGTCTAAGATATGTTTCTAGCCAATAAAAATACCCCTTTTTACATTTAAAAAAGGGGGGTCCAACCGACCGCTGGCTACGCCCCTGGCGACCTAAGATTAGTTAGTTGTGTGACCACAGCTCACCACCTTACTTACGATAAAAACCTTGAGTTGGCAATGGCGAAGCGTTAGGAATTTTATTTCACGATCCTATTGAATCTGAAGAACTGGTCAGACAGAACGAAATGATAATATTTCAATAATTTATTGAGCATTTGGTATACAAACAAAATAGTTACATTTTGTCAGTTCTGAAAATCTTCTAAATATACTATGATTTGCATGATAATGATATGTAGTTACATTTGCCGGTAATTTTAAAATGCAATCTTGTTCGCCTATTATTGATTTCATCATTTTATTCTATTAAATGTCTAACTGAACTGAAAATTTTCTATATCTCAAGCTTGAAGCTTCTGCTATAACACAAGCTGCATTCTTTCGTTCTGATATCAAATGAAATTTCCTGTATTCGTCATGGAATATCTGTTACCTGGAACGTTTTATATTAACGGAAATGATTTTACACGTTTTCCGTAAATACAAACATCTTATTTGCCGACATCCTTAGAATCTCGGCGACGATGGTTTAGCAGAAATATACTTAGTCAATTTCCTTTATGATAAATGAATCAACGTCTTTGTTTCCGTTCCATCAGCAGCAGAATTAGCTGCTAAACATTGCTTGCAAGCATTGGCGGCGCTTTAAAAATAATTTCATAAGAATAACGGGCGCTCTAGAAGTGTGTGTACAAATATGGAGGTAACTAATTTTGTTCGCCTACTTTACATCAAGTTGTGTAAAGGGACGGAAGCCTATGGGCAGGGGGTATATTCACTTGGCTAACGTAGACAGTCCCCGAACTCGTAATAGAACTTAAATAAGGAAAATCAAAATAAAATTATGGCTTAACTCCAACCTGGTACACACACTACGGGAGTACCTAATAACATACTATTAAAAACTAAATTTTTCATCAATCTTCTCATAAAAGAATTGTGTAACGTCTGTCACAAAACTGAGTAATATTTTAGCAGTTTTGTCGTCTATTTTGGTCAAAATCTCAGTCCCATATTCTCGTGTACAGATGATATAAAAAATTGGGTATGCTTTCTCAAACCAAAAAGATTACAAACTTTTAGTTGTCGGTATATTATTTAGTTGCTTTTATTGACCCTTGCCTTAGCTCTTTAAATTAGATAATTATCAATGAAGGAAATTTTCTGAATTTACAATACCACAACATTTTTTATAAACAGAAATTTACCGAATGCACTAACACCGCTGCAGTCTGAAAAATACTGTAAACACAATATTTTGCTAATGTATCCTGTTTGATCACATAAATTTAATAAATGAATTTATTTCTCCCCCATCGTCTTGACTATGATCCGCATACCATTTCTGTTCTACCTAAACTCCTGAATTGCATCATGTATTAGAAACCAGGGCAGTAGAGGAAGGGTCTGCAGTTTTGGGTAATATTTGGGTATTATATGGAATTTTGTTTTCAAACTTATTGAAGTTGAGGGTCATGGTAAGAATCAAAATTCAGAGATTCAAATTTTTCATCAAAACAAAACAACGCTTGGAAGAAACGTAAGTGATCCCAGAGTCGTATTTTGAATCGTCGCCGGAGCCGAATTTCGTAAGGTTATTTCAAGCTTGTATTTGGGGGTCAAATTTTTGTCAACCTGGCACCGCTATTAGATTAATGGATGAATCGGGGACTCTTTGGGCCAATTCGAAAACTGTAGGTCTGTATTACACTCAGAGATGTAAATGAAAAATCAATGTACTGGCTTTCTACATTTTGTAAATGGTAACATCGATTAGATTCATTTTGTTACGAACGACACGGGAAGCATTCATGTATTCGACAGGAAGGAAAATGAATAAGTTGAGATTCTTTGAAGGTTTACTCACTTTATTGAGAACGAAGATGTTGTGAAATGGAGTAGGAAATTTAGGCGCTTCTCAGTAAAGCTTCATTGTGTAACGACGAGGAAAGAAAATTAATTTAATCAAAAATGTTCAGGCTGCTTGATGATTTTTGAAGCCTATGAGTATGTAAGAATCCAAAACTAAATTGTCCTTTTACTCTTTTTCTCAATAATATAATAATAGTTACATATTGTTACAAATATTGAGATGTATACGAATATTCTAACGAGATTTTGGCAATAGTAAACAACAATTCCCATCTTATAAAGGTATTTCGGTTTTACTTACCGTTATATGATACTATATTTTGAATTCCCAGTTTTATCGTATTCCATGGCTAATTAAAATTTGAAAACCTTTATTAGGCCAAGCCAAGCACTATGTTTTTACAGATTAAACAATGAGACGCTCGAGTTTTCGTGTCATAATTTTATATATTTTTTCCCTTAATTAAATGATCTAATTGCTAGTCGACTCCAACCAACGAGGCATAGATTTTTAGGCCTAATTTTTTCGCCACGAGCGAGTTTTAATTTGCATTATTAATGTAATAGTATTACTTTTTAGAGCAGCAGTTTTTCACACTTTGGACCAGGCTTTGGAAAAGAATCCGCCGACAGGTAAGAAAATATATATAAGAATTATGGAAGGACCACAGACCTGCTCAATAACTATTTGCTCAACTAGAATTCATTACACCGTTGGTAGGGCGATAGAACCATAGATTAGCTTGTCACGCTACCACGCTTCTTGTTTAAAACATCCCGTTAATGCTTGTCTTATTATAACAATATTCAAAGTCATCTTTTTAAAACAAAAAAAGGGTTATCTATTCAACGAATTAAGAAAAAGGCATGCAGTAATACGAATTGCTATTTCGAGATAACGTGGCGCTTCTAGTTCCGTTTCCGGGGCGGGATGGCTCTATATGATCCCTGTGCGAGAATGTTTTACTCCATTCGACTGGTGTTACTTGAGTGTCATCATTAAAGAAAAAGATATAAGTTGTGGAAAAGGGAAAAAGATGGGGTTCTTTTTGAAGATAGCGGTATCAGCATTTCTTCTGGTGATAAATCTTGTCTTCACACATGCAGAGGGTGAGACTATTTCTTGATGTTAATCATAATAGGGACGTAAGAGTCCATTTGAGACCGTGATGCGTTTTAGATAAAATAGTTTGATTGCGATATCGGGGTTTTAATTATGATGGACTAATATGTATTGCCGTCTCACTATGCCAAAATGTGTGAATTCGTTTATTTACTTCTAGTTTAGTTCATTGAAATAAGACCCCTACATGAATGATCACGGTACATAAATTCGAATTTTCTAGAGAATAATTTTTGCTAAAAATGTTCTGGTACCGCTCACACAGACTGTCTGGCTGAGTCTTTTCTCATTATCGTCAACCGTGATCCTATTTCTGCCTGAACTGGTAACCAGACGACGTTTTTTGCTACAATTACTTGTTGACAATTTACTGTCTCCAATTTTTTTCACGTAATTATCTGATTCATACTCTCTCATGCCATGCAATTCTACAAACTGACAAAATCTTTTTTATTTATGAAGTGTGTAGCTCAACAGCAACACGTTACAACTGTATTCAAAATGGTGTAATCACTCAACAGAACTGCAACGACAATTATCCGACATGCCTTTGGTGTCCTGATATAGATCAGAACAGTAGAAAATGTCAGACCGGTAAGATATTTCAAACACCTATTAACGGCAGTGATTATGGAGAGGTAACGGTTATATAAACGCCAAAACTTTCAAGAATCCTATTTATTGGTGTGAAGTGATTTTATCTTTCTTTCCAAGCGCCAACCAGACGCGTCGCCCTAGCCTTGCCATAGTCTAGTTACTAGTACTCTAGTTGTTTAAGCGTTAGAACTTAGGTAACTGTGTTAGCACCGCAGATTGCACATTTCGGGTTCAAATCCCATGTCCACCACCTTATCCAGGGTCTAATTAATTGATTAGAAATGCTGAATTTGAAAGTAGTAGTGCGATTATGAAATTATCGAATAAATATAGTTGGTATCAACGAAGATAGTCATATAGTTCACCAACCTGTATTTGCAAACTCCGATATATATGTTATTTCTAAATTATGAAAAACTATGTCATAACTTTCAAAAAACTTACAATATTCCCCAACTACGACTTACTAATAGATAATAAATAGAACATGACAGTGTTTAATTTGTTACAAACAATTTTTTTGCAGCAAATTTGGCTTGCAAGGTACCGGATAGAAAAGTTGTGACTACTTTCACATCCCAGACAACGTGTGAGGCAGCAGGACACGTCTACTGTAACGGTGCTGTTACCCAACAATGCGTTGAAGGCGAGAATATTATTATGCTTTTAATAAAAATTATTTGCATTGGTCGAGGTTTTAAACCAATTTTACAGTCGTGGTTCTCATCGAATGCCCACAGTGTGGCATTGAGTAAATTATTGAGTATATGTATCGTAATCGCAGTGTTTAAAAAAAATCGAATTTTCTTAAATAAAATTTCAACTATTCATATTGAAATATTTATTCCAGATGAGCCTATTCGTAAATGGTGTTATGCGAAGAATAGCGAGAAAACACTAGTGTCTTGCCCAACGACTCACACGAATGAGGCAGATTGCCAGAGTAATAACTGCTTTTGGTGTGGTCCAGATGCTAGAGGCACCAAACAAAATACATGCTTTGCAATACCATGTAAGATATTTTATATTTGCAATATTTGATTTGTATTTACGTATTTTAACCGCTAAAAATGGACAATTCAATATTGTATTTTGTAACTGGAGTCCTATACAATGTTTTTCAAACGTATGCTAACCTCTACTTCGAAGCGGATATCCTAAGAATCACAGTACATCGTAACGCGTACTTCTCAATTTTTTGATTTTTTTGGCAGGGGGTGGGGGGAAAAACATTTTTGAAAAAAATACTCAAATAAAAGCTAACTAAAATGGTTTGAAATTATTATAAGTTGACCGAATGAAACAATATGCAATATTTCTGCAGCGATAATGATTTATACTTGATACAAAATTACGAGTAAGTTGCTTGATCCTATGAATTCATCCATACATTCAAATTCGCTCGAACGGGCCATTGAAAATTTCTCCTTCGTCTCTTGGCCCCGGATTAAAAAAGCTCGACTCCGACTTTTACAAATTTTTACCACGAAAACTTACGCCTTGCAAGTTTTTTTATATATATTTTTTTCAATATGTAATTTAGTTTTCGACTCTAAACTCAATACAAAATTCCGGATTCTTTCTTTGACTGCTAGGTCAAATAATTGAGCCACACCGTTAAATCTTCGCACATATGCTATACTTCCTTTAATTAATTAATGCTAAAAATATTGAAACCCGTAGTAAAGCATATCGACTGCTCACGAATTGTGTTATTCTGAACTCATACAAGTTCGATTCCCGCGTTATTAGATTGACACGGCGTGGCCGGAAACGATACGTCATCAAATTGGTCGATACGAGAAAGGCAATACATAGAACGAATGCCTCATCGCTGTTGCGATAATAAAGTGACCTATTTTGTGAAATGTTATGTGCTATTAATATAAAAGGGTTAAATAACATCATAATCCATAGTTACACAATGCACATACGCTACACATTTCCGCCCCGACAGTAAAAAAAATTAAATTGGTAATTTTTCAAATTTTGGAGTCCGGCCGCCGAGAGATGAAAGTCTAAAAACAATTTGAACACGAATTAATAAAAGACATTGGTACGATATTGTGAATAATGGCTAAGTTAAACGAGAGAACCTACGTCGTTTACAAGAGAAATAAAATACTAGAAAAAAAATTCAAAGGGGCCTATGTGTTACTTTGAAATGCTTAACTTAACATTTGAAAATGAAATTGGAACGAAATACAAAATGCACATCCGCTACGCGTCTATACGATGTTAGCAAAAGTTTGCTGGAAAAACGATATTTAAATTCTTTGTGTCTAATATACCAGATACAAGTACGACAAAGTATTTTTAAAAACCTGACTTTTATTTTGCACACTTAGATTACTAGATTTGAAATTGCAATCATTTATTGAATGTGATTTAAACTCCTATCGCACACAGCAGGCCTGCCCAACCTTTTTTGTCTCGCGGGCCCCTTTCACGTGACTAAATCGGTCGCGGGCCGCAAACGTTTCTACCAAACACAGATAAGTCCTGATTTTGGTGTAGGTAATTACATAATACATAAAAGGCGAGTTTATTAATATGAATTCAATCAAATTAATAATTGCTTTCTGGTTACTGGGTAGGGCTGGCAAATTATTCGAATATTAGAATAGCGGTTTACTATTCGAATGTCTGGTAAACGGGGCGTGGACATAACACTCTCGGGCGACCGAGTCAAAGAATCAATCATTACACAACACACTTGAGGTTTTTTGGCGACCACGCAAGAAACACACACATCGCGTCAAAATTGAGTGTTATATTTGCGTTATAGTGTGTTTATTCGTTCATTTTCAGTAGCTACGATACTGCTTTAATGTTTAAATGAGCATAATGTGAGTCAATGTTGCGGCAATATCGAGTTTTAGTAGGCCGTTTCGTAAAATTTGAAACACCAATACAAGTATTTGATGAAGTAACATAACAAAGATTTCTGAACGAATAGTCGATATATACTGATTTGTGACTAATTAGTAGCAATGCCATTACGTCCATTTCATCAGAATTATTGACGAATACGCAGTGACGACATTTCCAAAATCTTATTTAACGCGAACAGAACATGAACTAAAGTACAAACATAAAAAGACAACGAGTCCGGGGACCAGTACCCAAGATATTGTTGACTTTTTATTTTACGTTGGCGATAAAGACGATCGAAGCCGACACGAAAGAAAGCAATCAGAATGAAATTAATTTGCAAACTTGGGCTCCAAGTTCATTCCTATATTTGCGCTCAGCGTTTGTCCCCAATGATCGCACAAATTTATAGTTCGTCGAACAGAGTGCACATTTTTGCGAGAAATAAAAAAATGACGTTTATGTCCACCAGGGTGCAAGACTTGACACATACGTAATAATAAAAACCGGCATTTGAACGTATATAGATGGCAGGAATAATTACACCAAAATCACGAAAGATACTTATGTATAGTAAAATGTATGTGAAAATTTAAAAAGTCTGCTTACAAACTTCATAGGGCGGGCCGCATGCGGCCCGCGGGTTGGGCAGCCTTGGCATACAGGGTATCGTGAATTGTATAAGCCATTTCAAATCAAGTATTTAGGCTTCTGATACCACGATGTCCTTGCTTAAACAGAGAATCTCTCCCTATCAGCTGTTTCCCGGGACTGTGGATTTTTCTCTGTCCTCTGTCCATCGATAATATTGATAACAAATTTTATCCCGATCTATTGCAGCTTTTGCAAATTAATTTTTGATTACTGTAACTAAATTTAATACCTTGGAAAACAGAATGGCCGTCAAATTAATTGGTTCATACGTAAATTAGGGGTAACACAAATAAAAACAGGCAAAACCATGAAAACAAGCAAATGCACCAGGCTTAAAAATCTGTCTGAATGAAAGAAGAATCGGCTTCATAAATTCCAATTGTTACTGTGACGTATGTGATTACAGAAATGATGAGCAGCGCGACAATTGTTGCGGCGCCCCGCATCTAACCTATTCGTCTGGCTCAGCAGTCGTTACATAGTCGTGCTAACTTGTAGATCTTTGTTTATGATCAGTGTTTAAGTTGTGATTGTGTTTTCAATAAACGGTGTTCAGTTATATGCAAGTTTCTATTCTGAGCAAAGAGCAATTAAGCATCGATACAGTTACGTCACCGTTGACATCTTGCTGATTAGCCAATGTCACGGAAGTAAATAAATGCTCGAAAAAAATTCCATTGCTCGACAAACGTTTTTTATTTGGTTGTAGAAGTAACATTTTCTTTCCAGCTTTTCTACAATGAAACAAACTTATTATCTTCTTAAATAACTTCTTCAATTTCAGCTGATGTTACATGTCCCAATACGGCTTCGGGAACTTGCTGCCCTGCTTACAGTTGTCTAAAGAATACGATAACTGAAGCGACATGTACTGCTAAAGGTTGTAATTATTGCCCGGACGATAATCTATGCGTGCTGGGCGAAGGCGGTCCTACAGCCCCGCCTCCCTCAGCAAATTGTAATGCAAATGGTCGCTTCAACTGCATTCAAAACGGAGATGTCACAATAGAAAATTGTAAAAACTCATGGCCAAACTGCAACTGGTGCACAGGACAAACAACCAGCAAATTGTGTCAAACAGGTATATCATTGTAAAAATTGTCCCTATAATATCTGCCTGTGAAATAGAGCATGTGGTTCAGTTTTCCAATCAGCAATGAGGGCCAGGAGGGTTCTGGTATGAACTGATTCAGTATTATTCTACTATGAAAGACTATCAAGTCGGAGAAAATGTGAAACCCACTCTCGATTCGGAGTTGAAAACAATTTTCTCTCGACTCCCATTTAAAAAAAAATTAGAATTTCAAAAATTTATTTTTGGCTTACGCAAGCTTTCTTAAATAGACTGTTAAAAACGATTAATGAAATTATTGCTTTATAAGTTTTAATAAATGGTTTTACTCCATCCTTGAAAGTCTGCAATTTTTGAAACTTTTTGACTCCGGCACCACAGTCCAGTTTTCAATTATCAAGGAGTTGAAGTCATTTGGTCCAGTAGTTATAGAAAATGCTATACCTAATAATTTTTAATTGGATTCTGTGTATTCATATAATGATACAATCTTTTAATAACGAACGTACCTGCGTTTTCTCTTTCAGAGTTCCTGGACTGCAAAGTATCAGATAGAAAAGTTGTTACTGGATTGACAAAAACTCAGTGCTTGGCAGCAAATCACATTTACTGCGACGGAGATTATTCACAGCAGTGTATTCAACGTATGAAGTTACATTCAAATTCCATTCTAAGTTTTTTTGTATTATATTAACAAGACTTATCTAATTTTAATAATTTCAACTTTAGACAAAGATAAACCCAACAAATCCATTCTGTTTAACTTAACATTCTTAGATTAGACATGTCACATACTTCAAAGACACCGATTTATGGTTAAATATATTTTACGAAGATTCCATTCACACCAAATTACCATCAGCTTGTTTTATATCGAAGACTGACTAGTGCCCTCAGTCAAACATATGTTCCGGGCTTAATTGAGGATATAATGCTTCTTTTCTAATGTAAACATTTTAATGTAAGCGCGTACAAAAGTGTGGTAGACTATATGAAAATTAGATTCTGATGCTGGGACTCCCACACATTATTAGGTATACGACACGGCTACTTTTGGACGCATTACATGCAGCAATAGATGTGTATGCATATCGCCTAATATGCATGTTTTCGGGATTATAAGAATTGCACTCTTCCTGCCCTATTCATTGTTGATTTATATTTTGCTCATAAATTAGACGAATTCCATGTCACTAACGAATTTCTGAGTTAATAAACTTGGTACAGCTTTTACCGTGTGAAAATCAGCTCATTATATTCATAATTTGTATGTATGCATGTAGTAACATTGGATCTATCAAAATAGTAGGCTCCCAGGTGGTTGTCACTTGCATTCGGAAAAAAGGCGATTTTTAAAATACAATTCTTTCAATATTTACGCTTCTGTTTCAGCCGAACCCATCCGGAAGTATTGTTACTCTAAAGGATCAGAAAAGACTTTGACAACTTGTCCGTATACAAACGAAGTTGCTTGCCATAACGGTGGCTGTTTCTGGTGTGGAGAAGATTCCAGAGGCGTACGACGAAATATGTGCTTCCAAATTCCATGTAATATATCATATCGACTATATTGAATTATATTTGCGCTTTATTTTATAACAAACTTATCAAACTATTTCCAATCTTTTACGGATGTGGACCTATAATGTCAAACTGCATCGTCTAGTTCGGGATATAAACGAGTGTGAGTAACTGCAACCACTGCAATTTAATTTATACCGCATCTACCATATTGAGATTCCCTTGATGTTAGGAAACCACATAAAAACATCAAAAATGTGAAATTTTAAAACAATTAGCTTGAACCGACCAGCCTTGTGCTAGTACATTTATAGATCTAGTCAGTATTCTATGCCTTCCTTTTAAGCTGAGGTCATGTGTCCTAGTGGAGGAACATGTTGCCAAGATTACCAGTGCCTTAGAAATGGAGCGACTTCAGGAACATGTGCAAGCAAGGGATGTCATTATTGCAACAACGAAATGCTTTGCGTTTTTGGTGGCCCTGTCACAACTACGCCTCCGACTACTACAACCCCAACTACCACGACTCCAACCACCACGACTCCAACTACTACGACCCCGACCACCACGACCCCGACCACCACGACTCCGACCACTACGACGCCGACCACTACGACTCCGACCACCACGACTCCGACCACCACGACTCCGACCACCACGACTCCGACCACCACGACGCCGACCACCACGACTCCGACCACCACCATGGCAACTACAACACGTGAGATGATTTATTTATTAAAAATCAGGTGACAAATTATTATTTTCATGCTTCTTGCGCTTCGCGTGGCTATATTTTGTCTGACAATTAAAAATTGTGGTTGATTGATTATTCTTAATAATTATACAACCAGAAAAACTAAAATTGTTAAAAGCTCCAACTCTGGTATGCAAGTCAGAAATATACTAATATACAATTGTTATCAGATAAACACAATTGTCGTCCATTCTTGATCGACTTATACGACTGTGACTAAAGTAACCCCAACTGCTAGTATGAGTGAATGAATTAATTTTTTCTAATGGAAAATACAGAACCAGCATGCCCAACTGCAAACGTGGAAGATTGCCTCAGTACTCCAGTTACAAATGCACAACTGTGCGTGGATTTAGGCTGTGAGTGGTGTATGATGAACAACATGATGACGTGTAAACGAGGTAAAAAAAGCCGAGATGTAATAAAATTCTTAAGTCTGTTCAAATTTAATCAAAATTTTGACAGGTGCCACTTCAATGTACCTAACTGGGTATAATTACGAATAGTTGAACTATCATGATAAGCTCTAAATGGGGTCTTTGAGGTTAATAGTCGGCAATTGGTGGGGGTTGGAAATACAACGAGTAAGTTAAACCCAGTGTGACGGCATACAAAGAGTTGAAAAATCAACGAATTTTAAAATCTTATTACGTGTCTTTGATTCAAATTTTTGTCGATTATACTTTTCTGACTTTATCATATATATAGAAAAGTCGTTTGCATCCATTCTAATCCCCCAATTTCGGCAGTTTAAATTCCTACTGCCAACTGATATACTCTCAAAATCTTAAATACAACTTTGGAATCTGAGGAATCAAAAATAAGACTCCGGATTCGACTCGAATATTAGCAAAATATCACCTTTCAATACACGTATGAGAAGTAAAAATGAAAGAGAGAGCCTCACGAAAACAACTTTTTTTTTCAGCACAATATGCGTCAACTTGTAATGCACCGACTGGTCTGTCCGTTTGTAATCCACCACCATGGTTAACCTCGACTCCTCCCGGTTCTTGTCCTACTTGTAAATCTCATGGGTGTGAATGGTGCGGTGACTCATCAAGCAACATAGAATGCCCCGGTTTGTATTTTCCTTTCATTACTGCATTTAGATTTTAGACGGGACAAGTGTATTAATAGCTATGAATACATTACTATTTATATTCTTTTTTTTCTGGGTGACTCGAGTAATTGCATTCGTTTAGTATGACTATGAAAATTTACTAAATAGATCAGTTGTTATCGAACAGTGGGGCAAGTTTTCAGACTTCTCAAAAATATGACAATGATAAAATAACATTAATATTTAAAATCTTGTTGTAAATTTGACTTCTTTTTGTCCAATTGACCTCCTAAAACCCGATCAATATAATATGATGATTCAATAACTTACGAATGATAATGTTTTATTTAGCCTCCACTGGATGTAGCACTTGCGATTGTCAAGATCCACAGCCCTGTGCCGGTGCGAATATGGCAGCCTGTGTTCATAATGGATGCCTGTGGTGTAACACACCGACCGTTAATGGTGGTTACAATTGTATTAATGTGGATGCACATGGCCGTGAGTATTTATTGTTTATTGGACACGAAGATGTATATCATTCATCATCATAAGAAGTATATATCATTTCCTAAATTGCTCTTTTTCATCTTATACGTTGTTGTTGGGTGATTTCTCCGCAATTTATGTCGACGTCGCAAGGAGGTTATTACCATTTTAAATTCTCTTTGACTGCTATAGAACCCGATGTTTAGTCCAAAATTTTGTTGTTTATTTCAACAATCTTTTTATTTTGGCCGCCTCCGACGAAATTTTGTCCGTCCATGTTGACAAAAAAAATCGGTTCTCTAAGACCTCACAGTACAGGTACGATATGAACTCTTTTCGTTCATATGATCTTCAGATTTCAAATCAGACTGAGATTCTGCTATTTATTTACAAAGAGAAGTCCGAAAATAGCCATACCATATTAATGATCCATGTTATGTCCATGTTATGTAAGTAATGATTTAAATATTGGCCATAAAATGGTAGACGTCAAATGCTGGGGAAGTATCGGGTATTCGTCTCTAAACTTGACTACATATCTGTCTCTCTGAAGTGAAATATTCCACAATGAATTGCTCCTAATGCATTTTATATTACAGTTCTACCAGGCAATGCTAATCAATGGACAGCATGTAGTCGTTCTTGTGGAGGTGGGACAAGATTTAGGTACACACCCACATGTACAACGATCACCACCAATCCGTATGCCTGTACTAAAGAGTACGAGACCTGCAATGCAGTGGCATGCCCACTTGGAGGTATCTATCATTTTGCTTCACCTATGTTTAATGAATGACTAGGCAAACAGACGATTGGTGGACAGTCGCTCAGATTTTACGTTCTATCTTGTTGACCTATTCTATATTGTTTAACTTTTTTCACAAAAAAAAATGTTTTGTTACAGATGTTTGCCCACAAGGCGTTGGCGTGCGGTACGACGATACGAAAACATGTTGCATGAGCCAAAGCACATCCTGTGGAATGAATATATTGAATCGACTTCCCGTGGAGGGTTGTCCAACAAAAAGAAAGAAGAGAAGTATTGAAGAAGAGGAGGATTACGCTCACCATCGAGTTAAGCGTATCATTGGAGGCGCTGAAATTGACTGCATCGACAAATGGCCATGGCTGGTGAGACGTATTCCTTTAAGTATTTCAGAATGAGAAGGATTGAAATCCATCTCCCGACGCAATAATAATCCCTAAAATTAGCTCTCAGTATTCCTGCCTCTTTTGATTGAGACTTGAACTAACGCTAAGCGAATTCGTATTTAAAAATTTCATGCTCATTTGTTGTGGATCTCATAGAATACTTATTGACCGTCCCTGAACCAAATTATGAAATCACTACGCAGGACGTTATTGTCCCGAGGGCGAGAACGAGAACCACTGCCTCAGACTAACGGAAGTAACATTATTTAAAATCAATTACTGCGATAGTTTATTTGTAAGCCTATGGAAACGATTCAAATCCTGTAATACGCTTTGTTAAATTTGTGAAACTGAATTCGATTGTAAATTGGTATAATATCGGATTACTTGACCGCCCTAACTGAGGAAATATACTGTCAGCATGTCTTAAGTCGAGCAAGAGTTACCAGTGACGTACAATTACCAAAGATAGTAAAAAGTGCTCCGTTATTGATTCAACAGGAACACTGCTGCAGTGTGCTGAATAATTTTGAGCATTCTTTTCAGGTTGTCATTTATGTGGGAAGTACGATAAAATGTACTGGCGTTATCGTGTCTACAAGTCACGTTCTGACTTACAAAGACTGCCTCGGGTAAGTGTGTATATAGTATGACAAGATTGCAATGCTCGAATGTCATTAATACGTATCAATCAATGGTGATACCTCGTATTGCTCGTCGGAATAGCTAACCAATGTGTCCCAACTGGGAAGGAATAGCAAGGGATGAATAAGAGTTCATAAATAGGCTAGCGGATGAACATATCGGAAAAAGTTGGTGATCACAGAGCTAACCGAAAAACACTATTGAGACACTATTGAAATTCAAGAGAGATTATATTTATATGGAAATGCGTTTTTGCCCCAGCAATGTAACAACACACGATCCATCCCTTGGTTTCTTTCCCTTCCAATAGGTACAACAAGATGTCAATTAATGCTGGCCGACCTCTAAATCAGTACTTGGCCACAATCGTTGTTGTATAATCTTCTTTCTTGATGCCTAGTGAAAAAACTACAGGCCAAAGAATTGAGAAATATTTGATGTTCTAATAATAAATAACCCATTGGAGTAAATTCAAACTTGGTTTAAGTTAATATAATCTTCAATATCAATGTGATTTATCCACTTTACTGCTTCCTATGAAATCTACTGTGACTCGGATTTGAATTGTAGTCGGAGAAAGAGCTGCGACGACTCTTTTACTTGTGATCTAAACTTTGCCACTACTCGTTCAAGACGACTGATAACCAGTTAAATCCAGACAAATAAAAAAATTATTAAACCATTATTAAAGCTTCTAATATGAAATAACATTTCAGAGCAACGCTCCCAGCAGAGGGAGATATTGCAGTCCATGCTGATACATATGATCGCGCTTTAGATCCTGGACTCGCATTAAGTGTGGCAGTTGGTGGCATACTAGTGGAGCCAACTGATTCACTGTTAGCACTTCTTGAGGTATGATATCTTTCTGATACTTTATTCTATTTTTGTTATTAAATTAATATTTTGTAAACGTACATTACGAGTAAAAACTTTGTTGAATTGATCAAATTATAAATCAATAATCAATTTGGCTTTTTAAATAAAAAATTAAATGAACGATACTTTGCAAAATGCAAAAAAAATTGAGACAAATATATTATGAAAAAATTTCCTTTTATCATTTTATGTTACCCCAGCTTGACGCGCCCCTGGTGTTTGACAAACCGTGTGTTCAACCAATCTGCACACCGAACGGAGAGATGGTACGACAAGATAACAAATGCGTTGTTGCTGGCTGGGGATATAGTAAGTAGAAGTGAAGTGTCTTCACAAAGTTAGAAAGGGATTTTTCCCCCCTCTTAACGGGAAATGAATTCGATTAAAATAAAGTCGCAAGCACAGGTGTAAGTTCACCAAGCCACATTTATACATGTTTGTGTTTATTTGCGACTTTTCTATATAGACCGATTTAAACAACTAATCTTGCAAAACCTCCCGCCGTTGGTTTGACCAAATCGAGAAAAGGAAAATCAAAATAAAATTATGGCCTAATCCTAACCTGGTACACATAAATCGAGAGTACCCCTATTTTTCTTGGCGTTAAACTCACCAGTAAACTGGTGAACACTACACTAAAGTTATGCTCAATTTTCTCAACAGCAACCAAAGGTGCGGCAAGTTGCGTTACAAAAGCTAGAGATGTGACTGTCAGAGTGATGCCCTGGACACTGTGCGAAGAGGCATGGGGGGTAACGGTAGACTCTACGAAGCATTTCTGTGCCGGTATACCAGAAGGAGGCAAAGACTTCTGTACGGTGAGTAAAATACTAATGTCAAGCTTTTTGTAATTTGTATTTTTTTGTAACCAGTAGAACTTTTCATCAAAATTGTAATCAAACTTTTTTATTTTTATTTATATATTCAGAGCGACACGGGAGCTGCTCTCATGTGTCAAAGATGTGACAATTGTGGCTGGTACGTTGCCGGAATCGCCACCACCCATACCGAGTGCGGAGATGCTCTTGAACCCGGAGTCTATGTGCATGTTGAAAAATATGAAACTTGGATCAAAGCACACGCTACACCGCTCGATACAGGAACATACTCTTCTTGTCACATTTAAAACAATATCTGACATGTACCTTTTATGAGCAAAATATGTATAAAGTCGAAAAGTATAGAGCTTTTCTAATAAATAAAAAAAATTATTTTGTTTTCTGAAAAAATAGCGTAGAATATTCTGATATCAGTATATTGCATGCAGGTTTAGATATTTCTAAATTCTTTTGTTTGACTAGTTTTGATTTCAGAATCATTTCTAACTGTATTTCAAATTATTTATACTATCAAAAATCGCATTTTAATCATATTCTAAAATAAAACAATTGACATATTTTGCTCAGAAAAAAGTAAATGTCTTCAGATAATAATGACGGAATGATCTAACATTAAGTTGACGATGATTTTTGTTTTTCCTTGTTCTTCAGCATAAAAAAAAGAGTGAAAATTGCTTATTATCCGCAATTGCACAAAAAAATACGAAATATAATACCACATAACTATATTAAATCGGATATACTCCATTGTTTACATAAAATGGAAAAGGGTGGGAAGACAGTAAATTTTATTTGTGAATTTCTCATGGTTCTCTTAATGCTTTCTCTGGATTCTTCCCGAAAGATCGGTCTATCGCAAGGTGAATCGCAAATTTCCCTATTTGTTTGCAAGCTAATGGTGGCGCGAGACAATGTTGAGTTCGTAGTAAAGCGAGTGTGGTATAAAAGTCCGTGTAGCCTACAAGCAAGATTCGATAACAATTCTCCAGTCGTAAGGTAAAACGAAGCATTTAGTCATAGTGTGTAACGGGACCTCAATTCGATATTATATATCGGATATCTTGAATGCACATCACCACTCTGTGCAATCGCATCCCATAAATCGGAAGACCATGTTGAAAAATGTCAAAACTTTTGTCATCAATGCTTGAGAAATTGCCTTTCGAATGATACTGTTTGCACTCGTTGCATATATTGCTATAGGAAAATTTGAATGTGTTTTTCGCAATTCGCGCAGCATTTCAGATAAGCCAAAACTAGTCCAATGTAACAGATCAATTTGTAAATATGAAGGGGTCTCAGAGACTGCTTAGCGCCAGTGCTTTCCAGTCGAACGCAAAGCTATTCAAGGTGTATCGCGAAGCATTTCCAAATGTTACATATAGTTTTCGATTATATTATTGTGGCATTATTATTACGTAACAGTTATGAAACAATATAACAAGTAGATGCGCTGCGCCGCGTAAATAATTTCAGTATGCCCATACATGTAGGAAAGCGTAGGTAGGCTATTGCCTCGACAGATTAGTAATTTGTGGTTTCGGGTAGCCAGGGGTTCTCAACCTTTTCTCTGTTAAGTACCCCCCGAGTCACGAAACAATCAACGCGAACCCCCAGAGTCACGAAACAATCAAAGCGAACCCCCAGAGTCACGAAACAATCAACGCGAACCCCCCGAGTCACGAAACAATCAACGCGAACCCCCCGAGTCACGAAACAATCAACGCGAACCCCCAGAGTCACGAAACAATCAACGCGAACCCCCAAAGTCACGAAACAATCAACGCGAACCCGCAGTAATCAGACACCAAACGAAATTGTGATATATATATTGACTAAAAATTTGCTGCAACGACTGCCAAGCCATGCATTTCACATTGTTGCGTCACAATCACAACAACGCAAGAGCAGGGATAATGTACGCTGAGTTTAAATTGGCAGTTGGCGCATATTCTTATCTTGCAGATACTTTCTTTGTTTAAGGATATCAAAAAAAAGCAACACACGAAAACTCATCTATTCAATTGAAGAGTCCAGCTGCACACTAACACAAATGTATTTCTGTAACGTTTCGTCCGACCAGAGTCAGACTTCCTCAGACAAGCAGTTTACAACAATGGCCATGTTTATTCCAGCTACAGTATCCTTGCATTATACGCATACGGATCCACTAGCATAAAGGCATAGAGAAAAGATAGGAAGTTAGTCTCGCGCAGCCCAACTCAAATTTACACGAAAACTCAACTGTCATCCAAGTACCCCTGGAAATCTTCTCGTGAACCCCTGGGGGTTCGCGAACCCCAGGTTGAGAACCCCTGGGGTAGACAGTAGCAAAGACGCCAACTTATGTAATTGTGAGCTTTGGAGTCTTGTCCAATTTTAAATACTGGCTGAACCTTGGTTTTAATATAGTTCATTTAAATATACTAAGTTTGCATCATCAAATGTAGTTTAATATGTGGATTCACATGTGTTTTTTCATATATATATATTAACATCTATTTGTGGTTCACCTAAAAAAAATGGAGATAAAAGTGGGTCGCGAACTCAAACAAGTTGGGAAGTACTGGTCACTAGAGCAGATGAGTAACAACTGCAAACGCACTGCGTATGTTTATTTGTAATAATTTCGGAAATATAAATATTAAAAGTATTAATTTAAGTATTAAAATCAGATCCAATATTATTTTGAAGTTCCGCGTGTTTTTTTGTAAATGATAACGGATTGCTTTTTTGTTATACACTATTTCTTATATTCTAAAAACAAAACGACGAAATAAATACCAACATGAAGTGCGCTAATTTTAGAAAGATAATTTTGCTGACTATTCTGCTAGTACAGCGGTGTACTGTGGAGTAGATTACCATAAGTCACACAATCCATTCAAAAATTACGGCGCTGGTAACTGTTAGCGTGACGACCTTCAAGTACGTTTAATTTTTTTAATCAAACTATGGATAAATGGGGTTAATTTTTGTTTAAAACGAGAACACTTTTATAATTTCACGATTGTGTCGATACCGACATGAATCCAAAGTACATGTCATCCACTAAGGGTGTACTTTTCGTCCTGTTTCTACCGATAAATCCTTGGCATATTGAATTTAATATTCTATTTTTAAACAAAAATCATTTTAAACTACCGTGCGATTATGTCATGCTGGTATCCTGTCAGTACCGGTGCCAGGCTACAGCTAATTCTATATTTATCAACAAAACAAAATTTCGTCTCCGGCTTCGATTGTCATAAATTTATGCAATCGACTTCCTGACATTAACAATTTCACGACTGGGACAAAATGTCTCCAATTTACCTATAATTTTCATCCGAGCCGTATGATATAAAATAAATAAAAAGACAAGTAAGTCTTCCCTCCAATCTGAAATGCTTGTATAAATGGAAAGAAAAACAATTTTTCACAACAACAAGAAGAAGGAAAAATACCAACAACAACAAAAATTCAACAAAACGATCATCTGGTCTATTTCGTGTCCAAAGACGCGGTCGAATCGGCGCCATTTTGGATCGCCTTTTCCGTTTTTTTCTTGCCGAAAACGTGCCGTATATGCGGCTTCTATGAAAACATAAAACCGCAAACGACTGTTAAACAGAAACAAGAGAGCCAAGCTCAAATATATGAACACATAGCCAAAACGAAAGATTCCACCATCAACTGATCCGAGTCGCTTCTGTATTCATCAGGTACTGCAATCTATCTACCGTTCTCCATAAAAACTTCCAACTGTCATCTGCACGAGGTCCGCCGACTTTCACTGAGCACGAGATCCGCTGATATGCGTAGCTAGAAATAATTTTTATTTTTGTCCACGTCACCACGCAAAACTTCAGATAGAAAAACGAGTCCCATAGCAAATTTTGAAATAAATAACAGTATTAGCCTTCTAGCGAAAATACAATCTTTAACCAAAGAAAAGTTTAAAGCAATTCGTCCAGTAATTAAATAGAAAAGCGATTTTTGCATAACAATGAGCAGAAACATACCAACGAGAACAACATAGCAAGAGATCGATGCAAAAATATATGGACACGAAAACTGAAGTCTACCACACGGTACCATCAAAAAAATTTCGACTTCCACGCAGCACGAGAAGGGTTGCAGAACCGCTACAAACAAATTTTTATTAATTTCAAAGGGGTCATGAGAGAAAATTTCGAATTGAAAAACAAATCACATATAGCTCACGAAAAGTTCGGAGTAAATAAAAGTAATAGCTTTCCAGCGTAAAAATACATTTTAAAGTAATTGGCCCAGTAAATAATGAAAAAAGCAAGGGGAATAATACCAACGACGTATTAACAAAACGATCCATATATATGTATATTTCATGTCCAATAATGATTGCAGCTCAGATATGAACAGAACATCCCTACAAAATCCTATCTGCGAATAATAATTGCATAAAATAGTGCATGGCTACTAGAGTCGGAGATGGAATCGAATTTTCACGCCTCCTGGAGACGGTCGAAAAAATGGAAAGTTTCCGGAAACGGGAATATAAAAATTTTAACCACTCAAATGTCAATCAATCAACTCGATCAAAAAACGAAAAAGGCGAAGGCTGTTGATGATGAATAAAACACACATATATATATATAACTTATGACAAAGCCACATTGTAGAAAAAAGCACAAACGTAGTATTTTTTTTATTTAAAAATACCTCTAAATTCAATATAGCCTATATATTTTAATTTTGAGTAAAAGTTCCAAACAAAAATATTCGTTATTGTCCAAATTTACTATATTTCAAATAAAAATTTCGGCTTCGAGTCCTATTTAAAGGTTGTTAAAATTTGTGACCTCTGCTACAGAGCACAATGAGTTTCTGGTGTTCACTGCAATACTGTACTAGCAAAGAAACGTCAGAGCCTAATTCTGAAATTCAAACTCCGATTCATAGTTTAGAATTAGATTGGGTAATTTATTACAAAATTCATCATACGTATACAACTTGGATTTCACACTGTTTAGATTTGTAATACGTATTTAGATCGGTGGTTCCATCTTAGTATTATTTATTATTAGCGCTCGTTTCTAGGTATCTCTGAATACAAAAGGAAATGTTTTTCTTCACATTGTTATTCATAACTTCCTTCCATAATACCGTGGCAAATGAATGATTCGGAACGCTTAATTAACGCTTAATCATTTCTTCCTGCAGTTTGATAAGTGCCGAAACAAGTAAACTCACAATGGCTCAACTGTATATACACGTACGTTTCAAAGATGGCACAAATACCGCATATCAACTTATTTCTAATCGGGTCTCATTTCGCAGGGCTATGCAGGTTGACTGACTCCCTACTCCGAGTCAATAACATTCTGGATCTCAATTTTGAATTAAAAAAACATGCAAGCTGCGATTCCGACAGCGAACTAACTCAATCTCTTAAACAAAAGTTGCCGTTTTAGACAGTTACAATACGATTGTTACTTTTCGCACACTATAATGCAGGGATTTACAAAGTTTTTTTGTGCAATGGCTGATTTCAGAAAATTTACTATTCTACTTCTACTATTATTGTTAACCCCCCCCCCCCCCCAAATAATTGACTCTACACAACAAAATATTTACAGCATTATTAATTCAATAAAGTTATGCCCACTTGCGCGAAGTGAGAAACGATTTTAGCCATTTAACAATGTTCAACCTGGAATAGTATGATTCGTCGTAATCTCGAATAAATATTCGACAACTATATTGAAAATATATAATTCCGTAATTCGAACTTTACACCATTGGTACAAGCGAGGGATTCTTTACACTTATAGGCTAACGGCTTTATCAACAATTTATATGCAATAAAAAGCTTTCAATTGAAAGTGGAAACTACCAGACAAATCACAATAAACCCGATCGTTTTACTATGTATATTGTTTATTTTCGTGGAAGAGATATCATAAGATAGTGGTTAAGACGAGTGTTGAAACATTCTAGTCAACACTACAGAGTAACAGATCTGGAGGGGACGACGATAAAGGAATGGATGGATTGTGTCTATTCAGTAACACTTATTTGGTTGTATAATTCTTGGGCATAGTACAGTCCTTCCCTGTATTTCCTACATTTAGTCAGATCGAGAGAACGTTAAAAAAGGGAGAAGAAGTTCTTATTTCCTTTGAAACGGAAGTAGCTGGCCACGCTGCTCTCAGAAACATTTTTCTGTTTAGGAAGACTGCTGATTTATACTGTGTATGATTGAAAATATGAAGATGATAGTTACTGTTCTTTATATGATTCTTCTGAACACCGTACTTGAGATTGACGAAGTAGAATTGGCAAGTATGTACTGCAAGACACATATTTCGATTTTGGTTTTACTAGACAGCCTTTGCCTTTCAAAAAAATGAGTTATTTGTTAGTAAGGTTTGCTATCGTTGCACTAGATCAGAGTGGTTCCCAACTTTTTTCGTTAATTCACCTATCTTGGAACTCTTTGTTCCTCCTTCACCTTGCATAAGGGAGGCCCAGAGCAAGCAGTTATTTATTACCCTTACTATGGCTTACTAAGATCAGGATAACCAGTTCTTCAAAGCGTACTCAATTTGTATATCTTGGGCTTGTCGTAGACTCGTAGCAAGTACAAGCAACTCGTTGGTCTGAATATCGTTTTCTCGAATAGCCAATGATAAGAACTGAGGCTCTTAGAGGCTGGCCAAATTCTTATACGAGTTTCGAATTTAATAAGATGTTATTTTCGAAATGCGACTTTACATACGAAATTTTACGCTGATGGAATTGGGACATACCATACAGTTTGTTACATATTATATGAATTTAGGCATTTGGACTTGAATTATGTTGCAATAACTTTGAATGCTGCTCTATTCAGTTGCTGCCATTATTACCTAAATATTTATATATATAAACTATTGGGTGTCATTCATTTTGCAAAATTTAAATATGAGAATAAACAACATAAGATAGCACACACGATTTATAAGTAATCAACTTATAAAATCACCATTGTAAGTGTCAAGTTCTATTAAAATCATTCTTATCATAAAAAAGACGCGTACCGCTCAAATTTATGAACAAATATCGCGCATCAGTACCAGTTCAGTATGGCCTTAATAACTGAGCACGACGATCGTCACAGACGGAGGCTGTCTGGCATTACGGAATAAAATGTTACCATACAATTTAAAAAAAAAGTAATATATACAATAAATTTCGGGCGAAATATCGGGTCCCATAAGAATGTTGTAGTACTATAAATGTCTTCCAGCTATCAGTCTATGAGTTGCGAAGAAAAGCGATTTTTGTCAACAACAATAGCAATCGCCTCGACAAGATGAAAATTTCATTTTCATTTATATTTCCTAATACATTTCAGCTTGTTCTGGTTCAAATCGACACAACTGCTTATTGAGTCTTCCGAAAACAGTGAATGAGTGCGAAAAACAACCATTATGCAGTTGGTGCCGAAACCAGAGAAATACGTTAAAATGTCAAACTGGTATATGTTTTTTATCTCGTTCTTTAATGAGTAGGATTTTGTAGGCTTAGATGCTTGTAGAAAAGAGAGCGCAATTCTCTAATTTATGGATACGAAAATCGCGCATCGATATCAGTAAGACCTTAATTGAAAACCGAACTTGCTCAAAGATCGACAGGCAAGGCAGAGGGAAGAGATCAAGTATCACAAAATAAAATAGTGGTTTCATGAAATAAATCAGCAGTATTTCAGATGAAATACCGGTTCGGGAATCCAGAATTTAATCTTCCAGTACTTGGAATTTGAAAACGATTGAAAACATCCACAATCACTTCAACAGGAACAACAACAATGTAGTAAAACGATATAGCAGGGTGACCGAAAACGAAACTATAAATTGCTTGATTATTATTATTTTTTTTTCGAAAAAAGATCAGTCTACGTTTGAACTTCTGTCTGCGTGATTACACCCAATGGATTCGGCAATATAAGACGAAAAGTTTTGGTCTTTATACTACAATATAACGTTAGAAGTTCTCGGAGAAAATCTCGTGCAAACTAGCAATTGGTGAAAACTTTTTGTTTATTCATTTATTCTTCTTCTTTAAGACGACCTTTCATGTATTGTACCTGACCACGAGGAAATACCAGGAGTTATAACTCAATATGTTTGCGAAGTTCTAGGTGGTGTTTTTTGCAAGGGTGACCAATCATGCAAATGTGTTTATCGTAAGTAGAAAGGAGAGGTATAGAGTTGTTTTGTAACCTTTACTTTTAAACTAGTCCTTTCTGATATCAAAAGTGAATAATTTGACAATTTTAAATTCAAAATATGTCGGAGCATTTGCTCATAAGGAAGATATTCCACTTCGGCAGTATTGGAAGCGATCTCTTGTTTTTCTAATCTGTGAATTGTTTAATTTATCGTAGCCGAACCAGTTCGTTCTGTCTGCGTAAAGAAAAAAAGCAATCCTGAGTGCCGTGACAGTAGAGGGAATTCCATTATATTTGAAAATATGTGTCATCGGTACGGCTGTGTTTGGTGCCCTTTTGGCACAAGACCTAAAAAACATGCAGGGAGATGTTTCCAAAAACCAGGTGATGTAAAAAAATCATTTACGTTGGAATATATTCAGAAAATTAGATTAGTCACAAGCCGTGATGTGAAACCGGAAATCTTGTATTCATAAGATTTTCATATGATTACTGATGTGCTTTGTTATTGTGACAAAACTTTTAATAGCGAAAGATATACAAATGAGGAATTATTTCCACAAGATAGATGCTCATAATTAGGTTCCATTATCTTTGCACCGACGTACATTCGCACTTGTACATTTGCTATGAAATTTGATCATGGGTGCAAATGTGCATGGGTACAAATTACGTGGATGCGAATATGCTTGGGTGTGAATGTCAATGAGTGGAAATGTACGTAGGTGCAAATAAATGTACGTGGGTGCAAATGTTCGTAGATGCAAATATCATGAGTGCAAATGTCCGCGAGTGCAATCTCTATGCGGGTGCTGAAATCCGTGGGTGGATATCATGTGTGCAAATGTCCGGGATTACAAATGTACGTGGATGCTAAAATTAGCAGGTACAAATGTCCTGGGGCAGTTTATGGGTGCAAATGTGCTGCCGCTTTTTAATTCAAATTCGTGGTATATTTTGAGACAGTAACGCATACTTGCAAAAATCGGAATATCGGTTTGAACTGAAGTTCGCAATGCGGAAAGATCGCTAGAGAAATTTAAGTATTGTTCATGCATATATTTATTGTGTTACACAAATCCTGTTCCTAACATAATTTATCGTTTGTGTTCTGCTTCGACTAGCAATTTTAATTCCAAATTCTTTTCTACACGTTGATGTTGACAGGCATTAGGTTCGAGTTTAAGTAGAATATGAGCAATTTCGATATAGTTTTAACTTTAACGAAAGGGAGTTGCAATTGTGACCATTTTTACTTTGCGTAGGTGGGTATCTGCTTTCATATCCACGATTCCCAATTATTTAATAAAAATCACTTGAAATTATAAGGCAATTATTCAATTTTGGTATTATTACAGCTGCTTTTACGACATGCAGCAGCAGTTCCGGTTGTTGCAGAGATCAAAATTGTCTGTCGGGACCATTTTCTGAAGTTACTGAATGTGAACGTAAGGGTTGCCATATTTGTGCGGACGACAATGACAATATTTTATGTAATTTCGGGTCTCCTCCACCTCCTTCAATGCGTGAGTTTTTTTTATTTAAACTCTGTTTAGGCTTGGAACTTAGACTGTTAAGTAGAACTTTTCACAACTTTTGATCACAACATATTTTTAGCATCGGTAGCCTAAGTCTAATGATAATAAATTTTTCACAAAACCAATTGTATTAACTCAATTACATAATGTACAACGCAGGCAAGTTTTTCATACTTTGGTTTATACATTTTGCTGAAACTCGGCTTTTTATTATTATTATATTGCCATAAACAGCTTTGGCTTGCTGACTAACTGTAACACTTTTTCCTACTTTTAATGATTCCTTGCCTATTTGTGCTCTCAGAGTGTTCTGGTTCTAGTGATAATCGATTCAATTGTTTGGTTGGCCGAGACAAGACACTTTTCAACTGCCTCGCAAACCCTTTTTGCAACTGGTGCCCGGATCTGACCAACATGCGGAAATGTCAAACAAGTATGGTAGTAAAAATGATCTTTAATACTTACAGAGTTTTTGCAGAGCAAACTTTTCCTTTAGGATCTATATGTTCTGTATACTTATGAAAGTATTCCTTATATATATATTCGAATTGAAAAATTCGAATAGAAACACTCTTGCCCACCACAGCTTTACTTATCCGAAGGTAGACATCTTCGAATCTAGTGTGAGATAATTATATTGGATAGGTTTGTTGGATACTTCGTCGGATGGTTCACATACCCGTTAATGAGTTTCATTTTCCTTCATTTCTCATAATCATACATATACTGTGATTGATTACCTATTCCCATAGGCCATAACCATAACCAACCTGGTCGCTGTTAGGCATATGTTTAAGCCGTCAGTCAATACGATAAGAAGAAAATTTTTGTAATGGCTTCATTAAGAATCAAACAAGGTCGGGGCAAAATGTTGCCCTACTTCAAATTCGGTAAATGAAAATCCCTTTCAGCAAACCGTGCCTGCATAACACCCGATCACGAAGAGGTTGCTGGTGGACACAATACTAAAGCATCATGCCAGGCAAATGGTGGAGTGTTCTGTGACGGAGATCGAAAAACTAAATGTGTTTACCGTAAGAAAAGGTTCCCTGTTTTCTTTTCGTTTTATCCGTCCTTCCGACAAGCAATCTAATTGAGAAATCAAAACTGTCTATGATAAACTTCATTGCATTATAGTGATCGTGGGTGTTTATCTCGGAATAAACTCTTGAGCAAGTTGATTTATAAGAATGAAATGAGACTCATAATGAAACTGATAGGTAGTGCAAACGGTTTTTTAGCAGAAGATACCAACCTGTGTGGAGTACAATAATTGCAAGACGACCAGAATTTCAAAAACATAACTAAATGATACTCAAATGGTATTTAAAGAAAAAAAACATAGTATGGCAACAGAGAAGTACAATATGGGCAATTAGTCCCATAGAAACAGAAAAACCTTTACCTTGTCCTTATTTTTACCCTCGTAAAATATAACCACATTAAAAAACTTTTTTCAGCAAAACTATAGGCCTATGATGCATCTTTTTGCTGAACTATATAATATCTTTTGTTCTTTTTAAAAATATCAACGCCCCTACACATTCAAAATCCCACAAATTTAGGTGTTAAAATTGCTATGTTTTTTTCCTCAATAGCGGAACGTATTCGTTCAATCTGCTTGAAAAAACACACAAACCAATTGACGGAGTGTACAAATGTTGCTGCAAGAGCATCTGAGATACTTTGTCATCGGGCCAAATGCGTGTGGTGTCCTGCTAACATATATCCAACAAAGCACCGAAATAAGTGTTTCGAGAGACCACGTAAGTTAGATCAAAGTTACTGTATCTGCGCTCTAAGTCTAGGAGACCCTTATTCTCAGTTAATATGTTTGTTTAACTGTTGCGTTCAATATGCGTTTTACCGAAAACCCCGATTGATGTTTCGTTCCAAGGGCAGTAGAAATTCAACGGGTCGACCGTCGGGAAATTTCTAATTAACTCACAGTTTGTCGCCATTTTCTCGTCAATTAGGCCGAAAATTTCCATCATGGGCGCCTGCCAGCTTGATTTAATCCATATTTTTGTTAAATTTGCAATCGAGAATGTCGTAACGTGAGTCATAGTACTATAGAGTCTACAGTATAGACCAGGAGTATGCAAAGTGCGGCCCGCGGGACAAATGCGGCCCGCAAGGAAAAATTGTGCGTCCCGCGGTGAAGTGCAATTTTTGATTGCTGTGCGGCCAGCTAAACTAGTTTTAATTTAGTTTGATCTAGTTCCATTTGCGTTGCAAAGCTTAGATCCGAGTCCAATGCCTATGACCGGTAAAACGTCTTAACAGCGTAGCGAACAACACGATTCACAGAGCTATCATTTGCTGAGCAGCGAACAATTTTTAAGGGAAATGCGGAGCAGACTTAACGAATTTGTAAGAACGGGCAATTGAAAATTAGGCAACCGGGAAGCAGCTTAAAGAATTCTACCATTGAGAGATACAGAAGCCAAATGAGTTTTGGTTCCAGCCTATCAATTAATTTTGTCTAAATTCAATATAGAATGGAATTTTACAGCAAATTATTTGAAAATGAATCTTGGCGTATTTTACCGAAAACACCAAGATAACTTTCTACATTTGAAAAAAAGTCATAGTTCCAAATATGGCACTTTTCGGTAACATATTTTGTTTCTAAATTGGCGTCATATCGAATTGCTAGCACTTCCATTTAAAGCAAATTTGGATAAAGTAGCCGGGAAGAGAAATTTCTCACTGAATTCGTTTAAATTGGGTGTGACAATATATTTGAATTACAATTTTGAAAAATTTATGCGTTTTAACTCATCATTTCTGCAAGGACCCCTAATGATGACATGAGATCAAGAACGAAAATACACTATTTTGTGCCTGCAACTAATAGAAATCCTATGTTAAATGAAGGTGCGGCCCACGGCTTTACCAAGTTATTGATATTTAGCCCGCCTGCGAAAAAGGTTGCACACCCCTGGTATAGACTACAGCGTTGAGAGAGGGGACTTGGGACTTACAGTTCAAGCGAACATCTACTTATTCGTCTTGTACTACAAGAAGGTCCGTTCATACACTAACATCGATCATAAAGTTTCCCCTTTCCTCTTGTCAGACGTTGTTACTGAAAATATCCCTATTCAGTATTTACATATCTGCCCCATTTAAAATATAATTGCGATTCTATCCTATCTTTAGATAAACAAATTATGGCTAAATTCTCTAATTTATTCAGCAAGAGTGGGTTGTGGACGTGAGACATGCTGTCGAGAGTTCACGTGTCTCTCTGGCCCTAATCCAAATCCAGATCTATGTAAGGCTAAGGGTTGCCACATCTGCACGGACAAGAATGGCGATGACCTGTGTAATTTCGGAGAAGCACCTCCACCTACGACGACTACTTCAACTACGACTACTCCAACTACTACGACTCCCACTACAACTACTCCCACTACAACTACTCCCACTACAACTACTCCCACTACAACTACTCCTACCACGACTACTCCAACTACGACTACTCCCACTACAACTACTCCTACCACGACTACTCCAACTACGACTACTCCCACTACCACTACTCCTACCACGACTACTCCCACTACGACTACACCTCATCGTGAGTAACCATTATCTGTTTTATATATATATAAGACAATAAAGTTGGCTGTTTCGCACCTTCGTTATGACAACGGTGATGTTACGATGTTACTGTCTCGTCTACTTATTTCGGTGCCTTACGACAACCCATAAATTGAAAAAAAAAACAGTCAGAGTCCCAAGCGATCATTTCTAGTTTTTGGTTATGTCTGTTATTGGTATAGATTATCGTGCTCTTGTAAATCAATATCGATTATTGTTGCTGCAATGCCCTTTTGTTACCATCAAATTAATAATTTTTTTCTTGCTTAAATGGCTTCAAGTTGTCATTCATATTTGGCCTTTCTGCATATTTAATAATGTCGTTATATCGTTTTCAATTTTTATACAAATAGTTTTTTTTATTTGAAGCTGACAACTGCAAAGTAATCGAGAACAGTGAGGACTGTTTTTCTGATACAACTGCATCTCCTAGCGAAACAATATGTATGGAAATGGGATGTACTTGGTGCCGGAATCCTGAAACAGCAATATATATTTGCAGACGAGGTATACAGCTAATTACATGGAGAATAGTCGTAATTAAAGGGATGCAATTTTAATAAATTCAAGAGTCCATAAAAATGAGTCTCATTTATCTCTGCGTGACTTTACTATGAGCAAATTTTCTTTGAAATATGAATTCCGAAAAAAAATTCTAATCTTTTTTTATATTCCACTAAATTGTTGTTTAATGTTTATGATGTTATTTCATAGTTTTTGTAAAGACTTCGTTTATCACCGTTAAAAAGTCTGCAATTCCAACCATGACAAATGAACAATTTCCACTCTTGGGAAAGTACAACTCCAAATACCAAAGCGGGTGAATGCATGCTAAACTCCACCTCCACAGCCCTAAAGCTAAACAACCATACGTGACAAGAAAGCGTTTCTCAATAAAGAGAAGAATATCTTTTGAAAGCAAAGTCGTTTATAAACTTTATACTAACCGAATACCGTGAATCTCCCATACTTTTGATTTTCTAGAATCGTTTCCGGATACCTGCACTTCAAATATTCTATGTCCTACTCCGAATTTGGACACATTCCCAAAATGTAAATCTCGCGGCTGCGAGTGGTGTGGCTCTGAAACCTCATTCGCCGATTGCCAAGGTAGTAAATATTACTCTGCTTGCTGCCTCATAAATTGAATCTAATTATTGAACTGTTATCAAGAATTTTGGTATGAATAACTAAATAACAACACAGTGCATCGTTTTGCTGCAAAGTTTGTTTCATGAATATTTCATTACAATAGCATTGCATTTTTATTATTCAAAAATTGGGCTATCAATACTTTTCATTTACAAAGTATATTATCCACATTATGAAAATTAACAGACTCCGTTCCATTTTTCACCATTTGATTCATTTTTGCGATGAGACAGTGAAAATATTTTTACTGATATTGAGGCTTATCAGATTTCGAATTTTATTGCATAGTTTCAAAAAAGCATATTTTCGTTGTATTGAAATCACAAACTAATATCTGTCAAATTACAACGGTAGGCTTTTCAATGTGATGCAAGTGTTTGTCACCAAGATCGTCCGTAAATTGCCCTTTCAAGTTGTACAAACTCATGTATTTACATTCAATAACTGCACAGCTCCTGAGACTTTTAGGAGTCCGTTTTAAATATAAATACAGTTCTTTATCACGGATGATTTTTTGTAAAATCGATACAACGTATTTAAATATATTAAAAACCATTATAATTTATATAAATGATATTTCAGCCTCAACCTATTGCACTACTTGTGATTGTGAGGACCGTGTCAACTGTCATGCTGGATCGGCCGCTGCGTGCGAGGAAAAACTATGCTTGTGGTGTCCAGCAGCAACTGATTTTAAATGCATGAACTTGGATTCGGAAGGAAGTATGGACTTCATATTAGTATAGACATTTATATTTTTATTGTATGCTCTAACTGTAATATTGGCTAACCGTAGAACACAGTCTGGATTTTATGTTCTCCAACTTAATTTTGTAAAAATACTTCATTTTAGTAACTACCCCAGGAGTATGGACTCTGTGTTCACGGACATGTGGAACTGGATCCCAGTGGCAATACGATCCAAATTGCAATTTAGAAAGTTTTTATATGTGTCCGAGAATACATAGGTTATGTAACGTAGACGTCATTTGTCCTCCATTTGGTAAGTAATTTTGCCCCGGATTAATTTGTATTAGTCTTTTTTAAAGTGGCGTTCTATGACAGTTAGTACTGTTTAATATTTGTGGGTACAACAGTCGTTGGGTAGTCCAGTTGTTCCAGTATTGACGAGAGGCAAAGACAAACGACCTGGCCCATGGTTTCTGAGGTTCTCAGACACTTGAATATCTTTCACATTATTCTCGTCTCTTGATTTGTATTTATTCGAAATCGGCACTTTTATTTCCAGAAGGGCATTTTTTCACTGGGTTTCAAATACTGTTTCAAAGGACCCATTTGTTACAAGCTGCTGTACAATCGGACCTCTCTTGGGTAGCATTAACAATTTTTATTGGCACTAAATAATGCTGATATTCCATGGCAATAATAATAATTTGCACAAATCCAGAGTTTTGCGATAATGGTCATAGACCAAGGCATGTGGATGGCGGAGCATGTTGTGAAGACCACACTTTGGATTGTGGAAGAAATCCTTACAACACAGGTGGAAAACGACGAAAGAAAAGGGTCGTCGGAGGAACGAATATAAATACAATTGAAAACCAACCCTGGCTGGTAAATAATAGGATATGAAATACAGTTATCAGTTAGATTTTTTTACTTATGCCTTCATGTAAAAAGGGTCGACTGCTCCATCACAGTTCTAAATTAAACTCATTATTAGTTATGCATTCCCGTAAATGAAGCTTTGAACTAAAAATCGGATTCATCATCAACTAACCTCTTGCAGGACTCAATTCACTCAACTCGATTGCGCTTTACTCGATTTCGAACTCAACTCGAAATTTGGATGACTTGGTGTTTAGGGACTCTTATTCAATATCGATAGATAGCAGTGTAATTTGAATCGAATAATATAGCCTGCAGAATTATGTTTAAATCTATATATACTACTATTCTATGTCATAATAGATGGGCGAGCCGAACAAAGATGAAATTTGTAACAAAATAAAACTCTTTTTAGGTCGTTATATATATCGAAGAAACGCAGAAATGTACGGGAACATTGGTTTCAAATATGCACGTTATTACCCACGAATCATGTATTAGGTACGCTCACGCTTCGTTTTTTAAACATATAAATTGGTTGAATATTGATATATATTTATTTTTGAACTTTTGATAGCGGGAAACTTCCAGCAGATATTGTAGTCAACCTTGAGCAGTATGACAGGGCTAGCCCCCCAACAAACCAGAAAAATGTGGCATCGTTGTTTACCCAAGGTGATATCGGACTGATAGTGGTATGTGAACACAGCATTACAACTTAAAAATACTATGTTACTATACTATTAAATATTTATCATCAGATCTAAACGAACATATCTTTAAGAAGAGAATCACGCTCAAATGTATGATGAGACAGCTGAATGGCTAAACGCAGTACCAGTAGCCTACACAATAACATCAAGCATTTAGCAAAACGATCCATGTAGGTCCACATTGTATTGAGTAATACGAAGGGTAACAAAACGCGTGGGTCTGCCGATATATTAAAGTTCGATATTCATCTCACGAACCACAGGTCTTTTATATTATTAATATTTTTGCGATTGTAAATTGTCAAATTGAACGAATAAAACACGACATAATGCTTATTATTATTAATAACATGACGGTAACATCGCTCAGCCCAAGGTTTAAGTCCGTGGGTATACAATTTGAAACAGTAATTGGTGCTATTTTGCAGTTGGATGCACCTGCTGTCACGATCACTACTACAGTTCACCCTCTTTGTCTACCCGGAGGTGAATTCCCCAAAATTGATACGGATTGTATTATAGCTGGATGGGGGATAAGTAAGTTTTGATTATTTCATAACAGAGTACAATATGACACAGAGCAGTTGAACGTTTTTATTGTTTTGTTGTCATTTTACCACGCCAATTGGTCTGTAACAATATCGCTAATTTTTAATAAGAGAAAACGTTATCGGATTGTCAAACAATATGATAAAAACCATTTTATGGGATATTCATATTTAAATAGAAATCTACGAACCTCAAATTTTTATCTAAAACTGAATTTGAAACTCAGTTATCTAAATCAAACAATAAACACGGTCTAAAATAACATCTTGCACTGAACTTACAAGTTATTTTCAGCTGACCCAGCTACAACTGATTGTACGTCCCAAGCACACGAAGCAACGGTACGCACATTGCCATGGGGCCTATGCGAACAAGCCTGGGCTGGGAGTGGAGTTAGCGATGCCGATAAGTATTTTTGCGCCGGTAATCCAGAAGTAGGAGGACCAGATGCTTGTACGGTAGGTTTTCAAATGATATGATTTTCTCATTCCTGCTACATCAAAACGAAGCATGGGTTGCAATATCCCATTGTATTAGATCCCTGCTTTAGTTCCAGGAAATACATCTAGCTCATTTAAAAATTGTGTTGTGAGTTGTTACCTTCGACATTTTAATTTTACAGGGTGATAAAGGCGGGCCATTGATGTGCCAAAGATGCGAAAACTGTGGATGGTTTCTAGCTGGTGTCGCTACCCCTTATATTGGATGTGGGGAAGTTATGAAGCCTACTGTTTACGCCAGAGTGGACGCTGTTGAGCAATGGCTCGTGAATAATATGGCTGTACCAGTTTTAGATCCCGGACCATATTCTTGTTAATATGTCTAATAATAAACGGAGGCCCGAGTATAAAATTGATATCATTTCATCTTCAATTGGCGACTTCCAATTTAAAATAATATACAAATGATATGCAGGTAGCTTATGCAGCCTATATTTTTGTTTGAAATTTTTAGCCAGTGATTTATGATGAATTTACTTAGTTTTTTACTAAATCTGTTTTCGGTGCGATGTAAAATTATAATTCTTATACGGTTACAATATTGAGACTTGATATGGAATATATATATATTACAAAGGCCGTACACAGCCACTATTACTACATAAATCCGTCTGCAAATAAAAATAAATTTATGACCCCTGTATCAAAGAAAGGAGTCTATCCAAAGGAGTTTGGATTAGGCTGTAAAATAGATTATTGGGTCAAAGCGACTTATCATAGGCTTCTGGCGTTTTGTTCTTTATGATGTGCTGTCACTTGTAGTCATCCACCATAATCTTTTTTCATGCACCCTTGCTTTTCACTTGAATTAGTAACATGACAAAGCTTTATTACCGGGTATCCTACCGTGATAAATGTAAGTGACACTCTTAACTCTTGAGAAGTGGCGGTGAGCACGTGTCCGCCGAGAAGATCGAATTGAGGACAAAATATCTGACTTCAAACCTAAATTACTTCGTTGCTCTGAAACTGGACGTAATGGTGGTGCCATTGTTTTAGTAGGCTCACGCGCCTTTTTAAGATTCTCGGCTGACAGCAGTTATGTGTGTCACACTAATGGCAAAATTGACGCCATTGGGCTATTTGTAGTACATGTTGGTAATGGAAGATGGGACTAAAATGGCTTGCATGTGTGTGAACACAATGCTTGTTGTTAAAAGCGCAGATAATTCCGCTCTGTAGTCTATCGCCACCACGAATTCAAAATTGGCACACGATTTTTTTTTTGTAATATTTTATTATAAATAAATTACAAATAAATTCAGAGAATATTAAATCGGCATTCGCCAGTTCCAATGTCTGAAAATACAATTATAGTTGGAATATTATGAGAAATATTTAGACCAATCAAAAATACAAATCTTTCAATGCCGTAAACGCGATTGTAGGCTATATTTTATAATAAACATACCTGATCCCTCCACAACAGCATCAGCCATTACAATATTTATGGCCACGCATATTGCTGAGAATAGAAAAATATATTTGTGAGTCTACTTCAAACCATAACAAGACAAACAAAACTTTTCTGGAATAATGTAAATCTACCGCTGACAAAGTTATGTAACTCCATATAAAAAAAATGGATTGAAATCCTGAATTAGCATAATAGGCTACACATATATATATATATATATAAAACATGTATATGTATAGGAATATTCAATCACCTTCATCAACTATAGTTCTAGCTTTCTTCTTCATCAGGATATCTAAATAATAAAAATGTTACATTACTTTCCTATATTGTTCGCCCTTTTATGGAGACTACTTTTTCAATTGAGGTAATAGCACAAAATAGCATACAGACATATTCATCTTTTGATGCACATAATCGTATTGTTATATTTACCTTTTTCGGCAACAGTCGGGATCAAATCTTTTTTAGCCTGGTATAAAGCTAAAAATACAAAAACAGTTCAATAATTCATCGAGATGTTCGGCATGATGTTTATATATTCAGTATGTTTTGTTAAATCTGCAGATTATCATGAGCTATCTGCATAGTAGTATTCCATCTCAAAGTAGGTTATACATTAAATATAATACCGCTAAAATCTAGATTTCCGTTTTCACACATATATATCGTATTTGCAACATCTCACACGTTGCAAGACCATGAGCAGGTAAAGATAAAAATCATTCGTAAATATTAGTTATGCTATCGAATGTATATATCTTTTTAAAATCTTACCAACGTGTACCAAATTCTGTGCCTCAAGATCCACAAGAAAATCACCTGGAAACAATTGAATAATGTATCAAATAGCCAAATTGGTAAAAACAGCTCAGCAAAATTTGCATACGGACAAACAATGCATATCTTATCTTGTTATAGACTTAGCCATTAATAAAATGACGGCTATTATTATAATGAGAATTCAATACAAACTCATATTCTCGGATAAATTAATAGTTTTTTTTGTATATATAAAGGTCGATGTCAAACCTCCTCCTTGAAGCATCCTTGTCACTGGTCCTGGTTTCGCAACTGATTCTAAAAATTGATAACAAAAATTTGAAAAATACACACTGCTGATCATAAATTAAAAACGGGAATGAGAAATAGAACTATATACCACTAAGTGTCAACAACTTTCTCTTTTAAACTAAGGGCTCCGTTTATCTATCGTTGTAGTTTCACTTATTAACAAACATATTTTGTCAAAAACTAGAATTGAAAATTATGTGAGTTCAATTTTTATCAATGAATTTAGTTTGCTCTAACCAACAGCCATCACAACCGTATTGATTGCATAACTTTTAAACAACAATCCATCAGTTGACTTTTTCTTTGCGAATGATATCCATCGGTACATTCCTCGTAAAGCAGCTGTTTACCATCAAAGAGTGAGAGTACCACTCATTTCTGGAGTAAACTTAAATAAAAATGAATATGATTACCTATGGGAATATCTGCTTCCTCATTCTTATCGTCTGGATCCTTGGTAGTGCCATTTGAAGATTCTAATATAAATATAAATTCGTGATATTTCGATATATACAATACCTATAATATTGATAAAAATACATCCACATTCACTAACCTTCTACGTTTTCTTTTCCAACGTCGCCACGTAGATCCTTCTTGGTTGGTATTCCATTAGCTGCAATTCGATAAAAATTTGAAGAAATAAGTTTACTAAATCAAAGTTATATTAATATGGATTGATTATTTAGAACAATTACAAATAGTTTCTCATGATTATTTTTTTAGACATTTTACATATATACTCGATTTTAACAATTCAGACGTGAGAACAGTTTTTTCATCTACTGAATCCTCTCTTGGTTCTTCTCTTCTTTTGGTTTTGGATTTCTAAATAAAAGAAAGATGTAATCTATTAAAAATATGGATATATATGTTTGCAGCAAATACACATAACGATTTGTTTACAGTAGTAATGTTCTCGGGCTATCGACCGCAACATGTCGCTTCCATGAATGATTTGTCGATGAACTTACTTTCGGAAAAATGCACGTTAAACAAAACAACATCTCCACGAAGTTTTTGAAATTCTTCCATTTCTGTAATGAAAATATATTCATCTGTAACTAGTCACCATAAAATAGCTTCTGTACTGTATTTTTTTTGTTCTGAACATGCTGAAATGCCTAACATATTTAGTGTCTGGCAATTATTAAAACAAATTCTAAAATAAAAAAAATTAAATTAGGTTTAATAAAATTTGGTTTGAAGTAATTGAGTATATATCTCTGATTTATCTATTCCGTGATCATACCATGTTATGATTTACCTTGTCGCCACGTTTACGCTTTTCTTCTCCTTGCAATCCTTTTGTCATTTTTGATCAAAAATTGACGTCCGTAGACAACTTTCTGAACAAAATGTTCAATTTGAATCTTATCCTTAATTTAAGTATATAAAATCTTGGTTGTGACGTCATAATTCCAATGTTAGATATTTTTCGAGATTAGCAAATATTACTTTACGGCAGGCCTGGCAATGTACACTCCGTGTCCGGAAACAATTCACATGTACACTGTGCGTTTTCGTGCCCAATAACAAACGATCCATAAGTCCATTTCGTGTCCAGTAAGTAAGTTTCGAGTTGAGAAGTTAATTTTTCTGGGGTCAAGGGTCGGGGTTAAATCTATTGTTGTGATATCTTGATGTCGCAATGACGGTTGTTCTGCAGATTCCAAACCAAACTATTGAACAGTGCGTAAGAATTATTTGAAATATGGAATTAGGTAGAGCTCAATAAACAACATCTATTAAGGTATTAAGAGTTTAAATGCGAAAAGAAATCAGAAATATATTTATTTGTCATTGTTCTGCAGTTCTGTTTACATATTTCAGCATTTTACAGTTTTCTAGTTTTAGGCTTTCACTGGGCAGTCCAGCAGTCGGGGGTCATGGCAATAAGTTGAGATTTTTTAGGTTTGGATTAGATCAGAAGATACCCTACCATAGTCAACTTCTTAATAAAGTAGTACCGGTATTTTAATAATTCAGTGATTTACTCATCCAGCCATCGGACTTCCTAATTCTGTAATTGCTGAATTGAGGAATATTTTTATATTTCAGTAGGCACGATATGATAGTAGGCTTTAAAATATGAAAATGTAGAATGAAATAGCAGCACAGTGGTATTTGTTGACAAATTCGTGGGGATACAGGAATAACTAAGTTCAATAATTTCAGAATTTGCTTGTTCCAGCAGTTAAATGGATCAAGATGTCTTTGAAAATGTCGTCAAAGACCGCGTCAGCTGAAACAAAGTAAGTTGACTTTTTATATTCATACAGTCATAGCATAATGCTGCAGTGATTCTTAATTGGTTGCATTTTTTTAAGAATGAATTATCTATCACAGTACTGCAGTATCATGCAATAACCAAAATGCAAGTGCTTTTTTGTTGTGTTTTGGTACAAAGTACCTATCACCCAAATCTTGGCGGTGTGGCACTTGAAAAAAACGGGTTTTTTCAGTTCAAATTCATTCATTTAAGCCTTTTATTAATAACAAAAAATTTTAATTTTTTCAATATTCAGATCCAAGACAAAAGCACTGTTATTGATGTTAGAAAAGGTGATATCAAGTACGAGCCCAGATAAAGAACAAACAAGATTTCTTTGTCATAAACTTCTTCATTTTGTCAATAACCATGGTGCGTGGTTTTTAGTTTCATTCTCACATTATTTTTCGTAAAAATTTATCCCTATTAAGGGATTTTTGACAGCTTTCCTAACCATGTAGATTCAAACTGCTTCAAGTCTTGTTCAATATATGTATTTATAAAGGAACTTTGCTCAAAGCAAGGTAACTCACACTCACTCAGAAACAAAGGAGACTGATTTCTGAGCATAGTTATGGGAACCCCTGCGGTACCAAAACCTACTGAAATTATAGAGAGTCATGGTGGAGAATTGTGCGCAATATAATATTGCCCTCTATTCACCTAATAATGCTTGATTTTCAGTGAGTTTCTATATACTCATCTTGACAGACGAATAGAAAAAGTGATTTGCATTTTTGCCTTTTTCAAATTTTTTAGTTTTTTTTTCCTACTCAAAAACTTGTTTTTAATTGCAGAAGCTGCAAGAAAAGAAATATCCAGTAAATCATCTTTGGAAACAGTCATTTCAATACTAGAGGTCAGTATTTAGTGGAACAGAAGTTTCATGACTCATAAACTTTCTCATGCAAGGGAGAAACTACAAGATAAATAGAAAAATTCTTTCCACAAAAATAAACATTCCACTTTATCAATCAAAATTACTAGTGAGAAAATAAAATCAGCATCATTATTAACCCCCACACAAAAATGTGATGAGAAAGTGACCGCTGGTATTTGAATTCTTGAGACAGATTTCTTGTATATTGTTTTTAAATAGAATTTGAATGAAATTATATATTTATTAAATCTTTCATGACAATTTGCATCATCATTAATTTTTTTATCAATGCTTCTAATATATTTTGTAATTAAATAAAATTTCTTATTTCTTATTAAAGACTTGTGGAGATCAACCGACATGCCTATCACTTGTAAATATCCTCGGAGAAATTGCTTCTGGAAATGGAATGAAACGTCTTGTTAATCATGATGTAACGAGAGTACTTTTGCATACAGTTGCATATCTTGGAAAGGAGGCTGATAACAGATTACTTATTGCACTGTTGAGCTTATCCGTAAAGATTGCCCCAAAAGGTGATTGTTAAGTCTTTATAAGATGCTTATTCATGCTTTTCGCTGGCCTTGTACAAGCAGCCACTGATCACTAACGATAGGTTTGGGGACAAGCCGGAATATTTCCGATTTAGTGTTGCCTAACCAATTTTTTGCCCCCCAGGTGAGGTGCGGCACGTGGATTTGAACTCTATATATTTAGCAACTAGGTCATCACGCCCATGTTTTCTAGAACCAAGCTTTAGTCTTTAAAGACAACATACATATTCCACTGACCGACTCAGACAGATTTTCACTTTGTATGATAAATTGTTAAACGATATTGCAAGTAAATTTATTTATATAATAATATACCTTGAGTCAGAGGTGAAATTTCAGACTTTTAATAATGATAAAGCACCAGGGGATATTCAACAGGCAAATAAAAAAGGCTTGCGATTTATTTACCTAATTTTTTTTTATTCCAAATTTCCTTCAACTCATAGTTTAGATATCTTTGGTGCATCTACCCAGAAAATTTTGTACTAAAAAAGCTTATTGCTTCCCTAGTGTCTGCTTTTGAAACATCTCATAAAAGTCGTTGTATAGTAAATGGTGTTTTCCTACATTCTACTCAAAACTGTTCTTTTCATTTTTTCTGTCCTTAAATTATTTTATAACTTATATTATATATAATTTTGACTTTTTTTTTTGAGAAATTTATTCTACTACTATTTTTTCTAGTCAAGATTTTAGTGATTTTCCCTTATTTTCATTTTCAGATAAACGTTTTGCATTAAGAGTACGATTAGCAGGAGCTTTACCTATCCTTATATCAATAGTTCGATCGTCATCTGCAAGTTCAAGCAATAAACTTTTATCTAATACACTTCAGTGTTTGAAGATATGTGCATCCAATGGTAAGGGAGATGCTTCTCAAAATTTAAATTATTCATACATATTGATATGCAAAAAGAAATTGTGAAGAAGTGTTAACTGTTAATGTGAATCAAAATATTCTAGGGGTTAATGCAGGGTCCCCATCCATATCGTCCAAATTTATACTTTATTCTGTTCATAGCATCGAAAGAGGCATAATATGTTAACGTTCTTCTGAGTGTCACTCGATTTCTATGACATCATTTGTTGATGTATTAAATTTATTCTGTCGCACGCAACACTCCAGATACCGGTAATGTTCTTATTTATGAAACATGATACTAAACATTCGTCATGAGTCATTCATTCGAATCAAAACTATTCAAAAAGGCATGGGCCATATTTCTTCAATCAACATCTTGTTCAGACAATTAAAAGGGTGTGTGCAATCATGGGCCAGTTGGTCAAATAATGGTCAAGCAGATTATCATTTTGAATGCTCTATGAAGGCATAAATAACATACCTATATGCATTCAAATCGTGTGTTGGATATATGGTAATTTTTGGTGATATAAGTTTAGATGTTTAATTAAAGTACCACTTTATGATAAATAAAAAACTCATAATAAAGTCCAGTATCCTATGATAGATTTAAAATCATATCTCAACTAGTTGACTCTTCCCATGACTAGATGACAACATTTCACCATAAAACCTTCAATTTTTAGGAGTCAATGCAAATATACTTGGAAGACTTGGTGCTGTTCATGTTCTGCAGAAACTTGTTTTAAGTATTGGACGGAAACAGCCTCCGTTAGTGAAGTAAGGATTTTGTATATACAAAAACAATATACAGCTTATTATTAATTATATACACTGTGTCCGGGCTTCGAACTTTGTTGGCCAGTTTTATTGCTGTTTGTTTAGGAAGTTGTACAATTCATCACCGACTTCCTGATCTTTGTGTAGGTGGATGTTCTTGCTACAAATCAAAATGTTTACTTTCATTAGTTATCCACACATATAATAACTCAATATACCATTGTTTTTTATGAATGGTTTGTGGAGTCAATGTTTTGTGACTTCATTTCACTTTTTTTAAACATAATAATGATAATATAATATACTGTACTTTTATTTTGTATTTGATTTTAATATTGAAAAATTTGATTTGTCTGGATTTATACGAGTTTAATGGGATTATAAAAGTGTGGAGGTTGGTATATTGTGATATTCATTTGGAGCATACTTAATAACAGTGCACCACGGATAGTTTTGCTTGCTTGGCATTCTTTGGTTTTCGACTAGTTTTCGTTGCAAGAAAGCTCAAGTAACTTCTGGCTGAATATTGCTTCTTCTACCTCAAAATCTGAACTAATTTACTGTTTAGTGAATTTGACTTTAATTACATTCTTCAAAAGCCTTTAATTCCAACGCTCGACTTCAAAAATTCAAAATTTCTATGTTGGCTCTGCCACCAAACTTATGCGAGTGTGAAAATATGACTCCAGTAGCAATAAATACATGCAAAGCTTTCTTTACCAACCCTGTCCAAAACCCTGAGTTTTACAAATTGTTTTAATTTTTTTAGAACTGCACTTTCAGCATTAAGTTTGCTTGTCAAGTCTTCAAGTAAGTATTCATCTATGAATATCATTCAGTCCAGGATTATGTTGTTGTTTTCCAATAATCAGATATAATATATAAAATATACCATAGGCCTATATAATATTTAGAAATTTTTTAGGATAGTGTCTTGTGTATAGCATATATGGCATTTTTCATATTTTCCCAGGAGAAGTTTTAATATAGAAATAGCTAAGCAGGTATTTGTCCGAGATTTATGGAATTTGGTGGTAATATCACACATATTTGTAAAGGGTTTTAACATTGAAAATCATTTGCAAATCAGTTTTGTTATAAGTTGAAGCCTGCGTCATTGGGTATTTACTCAAGCGTAGTTGACGCATCATTCTTTATATTCATTCTCCTTTTCTTGTGACCGAGTGTGCATAACCTTGTTTCGAGCAAATATTCTTATAAGAAGGTTGCATGTTGTCATAGATTTCAACACTCCAGTGGTAGCCCACAATTTCGCTCATAGATCGGTATCTTTTGCTACTGAGTTTGGTAGTGATTGCTACTCACTTTGCTTGCCTGTGACTTTGCTTTGAGAAGACATTTCATATATAAAAAGGCTGTTGGTTGTTTTATCATTATCTATTAGTGAACGTCTTCATCATTCTTTTTGATGTTCCCCACTTTCCCACACCAGCCTATCCTAACTTATGAGTATTGTAAACAGGGTAAATGTCATTTGATAGTTAACAAATCATACAAAAGATCACACAATAGGTTTTTAGTCTTTATTTGTTCAATAAACAATGGTATAGTGATGTGAATTGGTTTATTTGTGTAAGTCTACTTGTGTTGGTTAGTCGCTAACAACTGTTTTGTTACCTGTCTGTTGGTTGATAATGCCATTGAATATAATATTGTTGGTATTACACTTGTTGGCCTAGTTGACGCATTGATCGTAACTTGGCCTTGGACATTGGTCCTATTTGTCCATGCTTTTTTCTCTGAACAAGGTCTTGATTGATATGTAGTAAAGTTCTACTATTCCTTGGAAGGGCCGAAATGTTTTTAGTTCGTTATTGATTGCGTACCCGAATTATTACCCTCTGGGTGAAGGTGGGAGGCATGGGATTTGAACATGAGATGTTTTATCTGCCATGCTAACACAGTTACGGTATGTCTTACGCTCGGGCCGTTAGGCAATCGTGTCGCACAATACTAGTCTCAGAGGTGTTTTCGAATTCATGTTTATTGTTTCATGCAGTGCCTAACAAATTGAGCAGACAATTCTTCAAATCATTGTAGAAGCTATGCACATATTATTATATATGCTTGTCAAGATCTTGTTCAGAGCAATTGTGTGAAATACCCGATTGAACAAATTTTTATGAATATTTTATTCTGTATCTCTCAGTCATTGATGTATTGTTTTATTTTCTATCTTCACAATAACAGAATTGTACAAGATGGTTATGCAATGAATTCAAAATTGAATTAAGAATATACCGTCTAAATATACTGTCTCTTTTTCATTTAAATATAAAATAATAAACGCCAATCTGTGTATCATACCTCTAAATCGAATATTTGGGAGAAATTATGTCTGAAATTTTATTCGCATTGAAAATTTTACAAAGATAAATTTGGAATTTATTTTGAATATCAAAAGAATAGAATTCTTATAAATCCCAAGACCACACTGTTTAGTTCAAAGGTATTTTGTCAAAATATATTCTAAATTATTCACATTTAACCATCTAGGCATCAAACTATCATAATTTGCTGAAATAGAAATAATGTCAAACAAACTTTCTTTCCTTGATTCAGGAAGTAATGCTAACCATGGTATCAGCAGTGGGATGGTTTCCAATATGTTATCAATACATCAAGAATGGCATAAGAATGACGTCAGAAGTCACAAACATATTCCGGCACGAAAAAGCATGCTTAATATATTGAAGCATTTGACAGTTTCAAGTAAGTGTCACGTTACCTTATGTAGTGTTCATTGAATTATCAAGTTTATAGAACTTGGTCTTCAATTTTTTTTCATTTCTACTGGACATGTTAAATATTATCAATTACGGTAGATAGAAATAGTCTTCTGCAAAATTTTTTTTTTTTGGATATTTTTTAAATTTTATTTTAATTGTAAAATTTTAATGATTTGTATTAGTTGGGATTTTTATATTCATTTCGGAGAGAGAAATGTCGATACAACGTTAATTACACGATAAACCACAACGTCTCGTTTTAATGTCCAGTAGTAACGTATATGACTTTTCTACCTCACAAGTATCTGATTATCATTATGAGTTCATTACGTATGAGTAACTGTTCAAAAAGAGCCGTTTTTGGAGTAAATTTATTTTTCTTCGTATCGGTCTTCTCTCTATAAAAATTCGTTTTCGGGTTCTTGTTTTGTAACTAAATTGATGTGTTTCTGTTATTCAACTTATTCTATATTTACAGAACGTGGAAAGACCGCTTTTGTTGAAGCAGGTGGAATGAGAATATTACATAGGACATGTAAAGAATGCATTGCATGTAGGTGGAATAATTTTCAGTAATGTTTTATATACTTGAATCGAAAGTTATATTTCATGAGTCACTGAATTATTTGTTAATTTTCAATAAAATTAGATTACATTGGATCACTTAAAATGGCGAATGTTTAGAAATAGATACTGATATGACGGGGCACTAGGTATGTGTGAATAATATGGAGCAAGTTCAAAATATATTGATTTTAAATGATAAATTACTGTGTTTTTGTTGTGAATCTTTCCATATTTAAATTTCAAATCATGGTATTATACTCAAAAATTTATTATTAATCCATTATTTTGCTGTAAAATAGATATTTTCAGAATATTCACTTTTATTCGATATTCCCCTAAATCAAATTTGGTTAGCGAGATAACCAAATGAATGCCAAATTGTATGGATTTGAGCATATTCAACCTCGCTGTGTTATCTATCATTATATAGTAACTTCAAATTATTAACATTTTTTTTCGACAGTGTCGTGTTCAAAACCAGCAGAACCATTATTAAATGTCGCTACAATGATTTTACGACGATGCCAACCAAGATTCCGGCTACCTATTCCTACTGTCCAATGCTCATTTCAATTCCAATTACCTCAAGTAGAGGAGAAAGAAGAGAAATACTTAAAATCTCATCATTATGAGGGTGTTGGTGAGTGTTTTGGACTCTGAAAATCTTTCTGCATATGTCATTTTATCTGAGGATTTTATGTTGTTTAGATCAGTGGTTCTCAAGCGGCGGGGTGCGCCCCAATAGGGGGAGTGGAAAATTTTTTGAGGGGGCATGAAGCTAATTACAAAAAAAAAATTGTTAGATTTGATCTTGCCTGCTTTATTTTGGATATTTACATTCCACATATTTTCAATGTGTTTTTTTCTGAATAAAACATACTGTCGTTCACCATACAATCTGTTATTTATAGCTTATTCTTAGCTAGTTATTTTTGGAGGTTGGTGAAAGACTTGACAAATTCTAAGTCTGGAAATGGTTATATCATATGGTTCCAATTGCTCTTTGATTGATCTTTTCCATAGAGGGCATTTCGGCTGCCATATTTGACAGCAGATTTTTAGGGTAGCTTCATAAAATGTCGGATGCATGTAAAAATATCTGTGATCAAGTGAAATCTTCATTTGTTATTGCGTTTAAAGTGTTCCATCTTGAATGAAAAGCTATTACACTGGGGCATATAAGGATTGTCTTCAATGGTAATCATCATAAATTTTGCTTAAAATGATATTGAGAAGTTTGCTAATTTATTATCTACCGTATTTCTTTATGAAAGCCATCACTCAACAGTTTTAAACTTGATCTATTCCTACTAAAAATTATGAGAAAAATATGGGTGTGTGATGTTGCTGAATCTTCTTCTCATATTTTAGTTGATGATGTGATTGATGCAAGTGATGAAGATGATGAGGATGAAGATTCTCTGGAGAATCAGGATCAAGAAATACTGGAAACTGAAGAAGATGATTTAGTGGAAGACAAACAAGAGGTTTGTTATATGAATGTTTTAATTAAAGCTGTAAAATTTAACTCAGATTCCTACTTCCAACTACAGATTGATAGAAATTTCAACTCCAGCTCATGCTTATAAAACATGCTTATGCTTTATATTATATCAAAAATTACATGAATATGATCGTCTTCGAATACAATAAACACCCTCTATAATATCTTGTAATTTTACCTTTTTCACTCACCACTTTACCTTGGTTTAATCGAAGTTTTACATTTCGAAAAGCTAATTTAGTTTACATAATTTCATTTCTTAGGAGACTAAAGATGACCTGGCAGCATCCCCACCAATTATCATCCCTCCGATCAGCACTGGGATTCCACCTAAACGTTCCGCTGCAGATTTAAAATCAATGTATGAAAAGTTTTTCTCTGAGCTTCAAGATTTTCCGGTGAGCTATCTTTTTATGAAAATTTCCTCAATATATTTGTTAAAAAATGAATGAAACTTGAAAGAGAATGATAGAGTAATGAAAGGGCGTTTATGTCAGTTACGGCTTCCTCCATCAACAAGTTCAAGCGTCAACAACCAATAATTGTTCAAATATTCCTATTTCCCAACATGGCAATAGAGTAAGAGGTTGTTATTCCTTTTAAAGTACCCTTACAATTTCAATTTTGTCATGAAGTCAGTTCTCATATACCTTAACCAGTTTTTTTTTTTTTTAATCAGTAATTGTTTAAGTGTTTTTGAATAATACACCTGTGAGGGCCAAAACAATATATGGTATTGATAAATTTCCTTTGCAATTTCAAAATTTTTTAAGACCTAATGCTAATGGACCCCTCATATACCGTATGATCGGGTCATCTCGTCGACTTTCTGCCTTGGAATTTCATTTGAAAAAATCCAATCTATCATAGTTGCATATGAAATAGGAATGTTTATATTTAGACTGATGGATCTAATAACATACAAGAAGACACTGTGTTTTTGCATCCACATATTTTACATAAACTGAAGGAACAAACTAACAATAAAGGTATGATTTTTCTAATTTTCACATCTAGATAGATATTCTTGTTTCCCTGCACATTCTTGTCTGGTCTCGCAATGGTTTTTGTCTTAAATTTGTTCTTTAATCCTATTATAAGTGTAAAACCAATCATTTTTATTGTTTTATCTAATGCAGGGGTGGGCAAATTACGGCTCGGCGAAGTGTTTCGTCCGGCCTACTCGGGCCTTCATAAATTACGACTATATATGAATTTGCGTTAAAAATAACGATGAAATTAACGAATCGACGACTAAAATATCGACCTTAATTCAACCTGTAATATCTGAACCTGCAAAACCAACTCACTCATTCGAATTATTTATGTCATTCTAAAACTCTAGTGTCTCTAACAAGATCAGCGCTTCTGATATATCAGCGTTTGGGCCTGCAAATTGTGTTTTCTTATAGAGCTACTTTCAAGGACTTTTTTCGTGCATGCGGCCATGAATGTGGCAGCACATGTTCTTTTTTTCTGTTCGGTACATCAATTTCAGTACTTAAATCCAATTATTCTGCTAATTGTGATGATGAAAGTTCATTTGTAATTTTGATTTGAAGCATTTGAATTATCAGATAACAGATTTCTGTGTACGTCAGACTCGCTACTCCAGTTAGTCATTTAAGCATTACTCTCTCATTTCTGATATTTTCTAATTTCATTTATATTTTTTCCATCTTCTTAGACGTTAACGAAAACTTAAAGACGAATAATTCTGAAGTCAAATACAAGCAACAACATTCTCTATCTCGTGCACACTCAGAAGGAAGTGTTTTATCTATTCAATGTTCTTCACTGTACTATGATCCACCTGCATCTGCTCCAAGCCCAAGTATTAATTCAGGTTAGTTAGTTCTGAACAATGATGAGGACCAATTCAATTCAAACTATTTCATATTTAGTTGTGGTTTAAATTTATTCAATTGTTTAATGTTTAACGTTGATAAAATATCAAGCGAAGTCTGTCACTGACAAAGGAGATCTGTGCTGATCTTTGAATTGCGCAATATCAATGCAAAGCTTCTTCTTATGGCCCTCTGAGAGCCCCTCCATGGCTTCTAATAGAAGTCGAGGGCCTTTTGTTAAACCTAGCTTAGGCTATTATAGGTAAGCATGAAGGCAGCTTAATACCTTTTCACGAGCATTGTAATTGCTACAATCCGAGTTATCACAATTGTTAAGAGATTCACCAAAATTGAATATTCATTGAATGAATATTCATAATATGATAGTGCATTGTCAGTGCCAAAATCAGCCAAATTTGCGATAAAGTGCCAGGGTAGAGCCATAAGAGAAAATATGATAAATGGTCGAACCAAGATTAAATTCAATTTTCCATTTTCGAGTATTACAAAAAACAGTTTCTCTTAAAGATACTGTAATGACGTGTGATTTTCTGTCCTTAGGTAAAAACTCGAAAACCTGCCAATTATTTTTAATTAATATTTATTCTAATGGTTACCGTATTTTGTTTTTCTTTTTAGGTGATGAACATTCATCACTTATGGCTACGCTTTCAAGTTCAACCCAATCTCAAAAGCAACGTATGAATACTGTGTCGTTTGCTGATTATTTCGGTCACACTCCACCTAGTTTTCTTGAACATCAAGTTGTGAAAAGATATGGAGTTCAAAGGTGAGGGGTTAAACGTTATTAAAAATCAAAAATTTTGTTAAAACCAATTTTTTTTTGGTAAAATTGTATTTTTCACAGAATCAAAATGTTGGAAGACATAGGACGAACACTCAAACAAGGGGACGTTATAAACAAAGTAATTTATACTCGCGATGGCAATTACAAGCCTCCTAAATCAAATGATTATTGGCAATATGAAGTTGAACCTTGTACTAGCAATATGCAATTATTGAAAGAAGTCATGGGTAATGGATTTAATGAGGAAATGACATCTTCGGAGATGACAGAGGAAGTTCAAAGGTGAATATAATGGGAAAAATTATAGTTTGAAACAGGGAGATGGATATAACCAAATAGTTTTTACAAATTTGACTGTACTCACAGAACTTTTGCCACCAGATTTAGTTTCCATTTTACTGTTGCTTTACTTACACTCTTGTGTAATTGTACAAACATCTTGTGAATTTTCCATACTGATCAATAAAACTGGCTAATTTTTCACCTTCAGTAATTAAAAATTTTTTTTCAGTATTGGATCGACACCGATCATTCAAGATGCCTGTTGTTTCAGTCCAGTTGAGGCAAATTATCAGTCGTTCGACGGACCGTGGCTTAGTTCTGGTTGTCAAGGTGAGATATGCTCCGTACAAACAGCTATTGATGTGTAACAAACACTATTTTTGGAAAGGCCAGAATTTGCCTGTACTTGCACTTGCACAACAGATAACATTTCTAAGTCTCGCAACTTCTAATTGTATATTTAGATTCTTCTAAGTCGGGTGTCTTGATATTTAGCATTTTTATATAGTAATGTATCTTTATGTTTCAGAGTCGAGTACTATTTTCCCTCCAATAACAGATCAAAGTTTGAAGTTGAAACGACCATTGAATTTTTGCTCTGATTTTGAGTGTGGAAATTTAAGAACAGCAATACAGGTATTTAGTATTCAATAAATCATATTCACTTCCTGAATGCAGATGAACGTTGGAAATAGGTATTCTATCAAACCATTCATTAATATCAACATATTTTTAACCTTCATTCATATTCATATTTGACAAAAGCGAGTACAGTGAGGCTCACAGAATTTGGTTAAATCTAGAAAAAGTATTATATGACTCTTGCTTTTTCTGTTTGTCTATATTGAGTAAATTCACGTTTTAAATCAGATCTTGAAGCCATTTTGAATAACGACTCTGACTACAGATTTGACTTTGGCTCCCTATAACGGCACAGTTTTTTTTACTATAGTGAGTAAATTCATGTTTAAATCAGATCTCGGAGTCATTTTGAAAAATGGCTCTTGACTACAGATTCGACTCTGGCTTCCTGAGTTGACAATTATCTTGACTTTGACTTCATTTCCTAGCCTTCAACGAAACCAAATTTTAATAAAAGCTTCCAGCATATGCATGCCTTTTTTAATTGTCTCGTAGGAGAATGCTTAGTTAACCTGACGCTTTTTGAGTTTCTTTGATTAAAATTTTACTTCGATTTTCACCATCAAAATTCTGAAACCGAAAAATTCAGAATCTTTAATCCACTTTGGAGAGTTCGAAAACATGACCCCACTTCAATATCAATGAAAGCATGCTATACTCAGAGTCCGCAGCCCTACTATCTATTTTAACCTACTTCTCTTTACGAACAAATCTCACCTTTCCAGGTTCGAGAGAATGAATATGATTTGATATTGGATTCAGATTGTAACACGAATCATCATCATCAATGGTTTTACTTTGAAGTATCAAACGTAACTTCTGGTGTTCCATATAGATTCAATATCGTAAATTGTGAAAAGAGTAATAGCCAGTTTAATTATGGTAAGATTGAAATATGTTGTTTATCATGTCATAGTACAATTCTCAAATATATGGGCATGAAAGTGAAATAACTATGTGGCCAATAGGGCATTGCCAGCAAAATTTTAGTCGCATTTCATAGGAATTGTACCGAATGTCATATGAAGGTGGGTACTCATAAAATTAAGGTAAAATATCTGGTCCACAGGGTAAAATTATTACAGAAGCTTTTGAGAAACTTCTTCCTTCTTAAAGCGGTAAAAATTTGAAACTGATTGGTGGTTTGATTAATATATTTTTGCAACAATGCCACAAGCCCACAATAACAAGAAAAACAACCATTTGATAGAACGTTTAGGTCCACTTTGTATCTCATAATACATAAAATATATTCAAGAGAAAAATGCCAATAATCTTCATTGACTCAACTTAGTAAAATTACTGTACATGTGTATTTGAAAAGTTCGGTTTTAGTTGATTTTGCAGTTTAATCAAATACTGAGTGGCCATGCCAAGTTTTTTGATCAAATGACTGACTTTCGAATAAAGATAATAACATTCAATTTTTTTCTAAATCAAAAGTGTATGTATATTTAAATGTATCTGAATATTCAATCCACTAACTCAACTAATCCAACTAACTTGATTTTGACTGATGTATTTGGCATGTAAAATATAGAAGGGTTAAATTTTAGGGGTTCAATCATCTGGCCTATTGTTAAAGAACTATTAGAATTGCTTTTCCATATAAATGGCGGATCACTGCCTTTCATTCTTTGACCAGTCTAAAACAGTAATGGAAACAGAAATATCTAACCATTTTTTATTTGTTTGAACTTGAAATATTCTCCAAGTTTCAGCTTTTCAAATTTAATTCATTTATTTTCCAGGTATGCAACCCCTCATGTATTCTGTATCTGAAGCTCGTCTTGGTAATCCTTGTTGGCGTCGAGCTGGTACCAATCTATGCTATTATAAAAGTCATTTTTCAAGGAGTGCAGTTTCGGCGGGAGGGGTTAAAGGTCGTTCGTACTTCACAATGACCTTCACTGTGAATTTTACTCATAATAAAGATATTTGCTATTTTGCGTATCATTACCCCTACACCTATACTCAACTGCAAGTAAGTAGACCATTTTTTATCTCCTTTTTTGTGTATTCAAATTTCTTCTCTTTTGACACTCTTTTTCTGTTTTCAATATTTTTATAACAAATTGAATCTTTACAATTTTTTTCACTAAGGCTTGAGATTTTGCATCATTTAATATAGAGCAAATGCGGCATGCCGTGCAGTTGATTGCCAGTACACGACTGACCAGCTGCCCCAAAAATCAAACTGGTTGTCTATATGTTAGCAAATTACATCGTTTTGCTAACACCGGTTGTGCTTCATTTATTATCAATATATGTTAGCATGATTGGCTTCTATGGAAGAGGTCATTTTTTCATGGAAATTGGGACCATAATATATCCAGTGGTGCAGCCAGAGATTTTTCTAACCTCGATAACAAATCGGCAAGATCGGAAAAATATGTATTATAACTCAATATAATCAGGCAGTTTATCTCATATTTCAATGTCCACAGATTGGGGATATTTCAGTAGTAGTAGTAATGTTTTTATTATGTCGTGAGAAGATGCAATTGCGAATTATATCTATGTCGAACACAGTTGAATTTATATAGAAATACATTTTAGATTCCTGTAGTTGTCATCAGTGTTCACTATTATCGCACTTTTTTGCGAAAATTGCGAAGCACTTTCGCAACTTTTTAAAGACCTGGCTGCGCCCCTGCATATATCCATACATAGTTCAATATTCTAGAATTGTTACCTATGAATAATTTCAATTTTAAATTATGAATTTACTAAACAGATTGAACTTGGAATTTAATTAGGCATTTCTCTCATTCTATGCATTTTCTATATTCCTAATAGTTTGGTATTTCAGAAAAACAATCTGCACTCTGCACCAAATGAGGAATTTTGCAAAAAAATTTTGAACAAATTTTGAACCAAATTCTATTCTCTTTTTTATCATTCTTTTTCCGTTTAGGCTGATCTTCATAAACTGGTTAGTCAAGTAGATGAAAACGAAGTCTATGTTCGAGTGCAAACATTATGTCAAACTCTCGGTCAAAACAAAGTTCCTGTGTTAACAATAACTGCTCAACCTGATTTTAACGAAGAAAAGGACAACGAGGAAGCCATTGCTGAATTACGTAAGATATTTTTTTATCTTACTGTGCACACTGGAAAAAAAATTATTTCTCTTTTTTTTACTTTATTGTTGCGACTTTGGTCAGATGAAACAATAAAGAATAAAATTTTGTGATGTCCAGTGCAAAATATTTGAACCTATTAATATGAATGTCTTGAAACTTATATTAGTCAGTTTTTTTTGGAATTTTTGTGAAATTTGCATTATAATTTTGATTTATGCCAAAAAGTATGAAATAAAATATAACCAATGTTTCAATGCTGTTTTCAACGCAAAATAATTTGAGTTGGAATTTGGACAATTTATGTTATTGATCTAAGTCTGGGGTGGCCAACCTATGGCGCATGCGCCAAACGTGGCGCATTGCATGATTAGAGGTGGCGCATTGCATCTTTAACCCTTTTCATGCCAAAATTGTTAATTGCACTTGGCTTCTCCACGCCAAGCCGTTTTTTTGCGATTTACATGGTGACTTTTGATTGTACCTAAAATCTATTCTCCTTACTCCACGTCGCCCACTTACGGCTTGTCGGAATTAGAAACAACAGGCGATTATCGACGTTGGCTTTTGGACGGACTTTATGACATTCATTCTAGACTTTTAGCAAGAATTAGTAAAATTTACTATTTTTTCCCTACTGAAGTAAAAAGTTCAGAACTTCTGGAAAAATAGAAAATCGTCATTTATCAGCTTGAAACATGGATTTTCCATTGCTCAGACTTCCCAAATATCTACCAATAACCATTGAACAACCAGTTGAATTGCCCAAGCCTAAAAAAATTTATTATAAATCAACCCACAACATGCTGAAAATGACCCCTAAATACCACCTTTTTCATCCAAACTTCAAATGACCGTTGTCAACAAGTGCTGAATAGATTTTGGAAGCTAAAAAATACTGTCCATGATTTTCTTGAAGAGAAAAACGAGCTACCTGAGGAAAGAGCACTTTTATGTGATAAAAACTGGCTATTTGATTTGGCATTTTTAGTTGATGTTACTAGCCATCTCAATGATCTAAATTTGAGATTGCAAGGCAAAAGCAAACTATTTCCAAGCTTAGTAAATGACATTATCGCATTCAAGATGAAGTTGAAACTTTTCGTTTCCCAGTTGGAAAAAAAGGATTTGTCCCAATTTCCTCACATAAAAGATCACCGTGAATGTGATGCTGGTAATGGCAATTTGGCAATATACACAGAAAAAATCAAGTTATTGCAAGAGTCATTTGAAAGTCGTTTTCATGATATTTCAAAAGAAGAATACTTTATACTTGCTTTTATAAACCCATTTTCACTTAGTGAACTAACCATAATGAAGATGCCAAGCAATATACAATTGGAACTAATTGACTTGAAAACTCATCCATCATTGAAAATTAAATTTGATGAGCTTTCTCCAGTCCCAAGTGCATCTGACATGATCAAGTTCTGGCAATCGTTACCCCGTGAAAATTTTCCAGAACTGAGAAAATTTGCCTAGGGTTTTATATGTCGTTTCGGAACGACATATAGATGTGAACAAACATTTTCTGCCATGAAATTAATTAAAAGCAAAGCGAGGTCAAGACTTACAGATTTAAGTTTGAAGAATGCACTGCTCCTCTCAGTAACAAACTTAACTCCAAGAATAAAAAAACTGGCGAAAGTAAAACAGCAGCAAAAGTCTCATAAAGGCGGTACTTAAATAAAATTGATCAGTTTTATTTATTATACTTCCTTGCTTAATTTCTATTCATGTGAAGTTGTAAATTGTAAAATCTACATATACGTGTGTATATATGTGTGTGTATTATAAATTTATATAATTTCAACAAGAAGCGGACATTAGGCGTCGGAATACAAGAGATTTACGCTCATCTGAAACATTATGTTTAAAACGTGGCGCATGGTATGTGAAAGGTTGGCCACCCCTGATCTAAGTGATGTAAGTGTCTTGTAGCATACTAACACAAATATATTTTGTAACGTTTCTTTTGACTCAGATCAGATTTCCTCAGACATACGGTACATAATTCGAAGGTGTCTCAAAAATGTTGTGTCTTACTTGTACCACATGTCCCATTGTACCATGTGACCTGCTTGTACCACTTGTCCTACCTTCCCCATCTGCGACATTTGTCCCATGTGTCCAACGTATCCCACATGTCCCATTTTTCGAACTTGGGACAAATGGGACACAACTTTTTCCAGTCACCGCATAATTCAACAACATCACAAAACTATGTTTGTGTTATTATGCAGCAAAACTCTTGAATCACATAGGATAGTTATCTTCACTCTTGCTACAAAATCCTTGCATTATATGCATACGGATCGCAAAAACTCAATCCATAGCACTTTATTACTAAACTATTATTTATTTTTTTTAGGTTCAAGGCCATATATATTCTTAAGCTCCCGTGTTCATCCGGGAGAATCAAACAGTTCCTGGACAATGCGGGGAACACTAAAACTACTTTTATCGTCAAAAAATTCAACTGATATCAACCCAAAAATGTTAGGGGTTGCTCAACAATTGAGGAGATCATTTATTTTTAAGATCGTTCCGATGTTAAATCCGGATGGTGTAATAAATGGACAGTAAGATCTTTTGTTATTTTTTTTGTAAGTTTAAATGCAAGGGTGTCCAAAGCAAATCGAAAGTTCGAATTTATTTGTAATTATATTTGAAATTGTGAATTCTAGATTTTAGCAAGGTATTGGGATTGTTTTATTTAAAAATGTATCGTTTTAAGCAAATAAAAAGTGAAGAACCTTAGGATATGATAGGATGTTACATATTTTTTCCGGGGAGAGGAAAGTCGATCAGATGGTTCAATCATATGGCATACATCTGCCTCTCGTCTGGTTACCAGTTCATGTCGGGTATTTGATTAGTAGGTTACGTGAACCACCCTAAGGCAGCGAGGAGTCCAGCAATCCTCTCATACATAATTATTCCCTTCATGATTCAAACCTGCGAACCCACATAGGGTAATCAGAAGTGTGATGGCAAGCTCTTCTCTAACGTTTAGCATGATGTGCCACACCGCCAAGCCGAACTTGCATTTTATTTTGAACAATGTATAAAAAATAGAATCAGAGCCTTGTTTAGAGTAGAAAAGTGAAAACACTTTTTAACAAAGTAAATCCATACTGTGATTATTTCAAAGTGTGATACAAGTAGAAAAATTTGTTTTTGAAGTTGCATCATTCCTGGCCCCAGTTACATTAATTTAAAACTATGAATAAAGTATTAAATTACAAATTTATGAGAATTAAAAAAAAAAATTAGCAAAATCTTTCATATTTTAGTCACAGATGTTCTCTCACTGGTGAAGATTTGAATAGACAATGGACTGATCCAGATCCTGTTTTGTTTCCAACTATTTATCATACCAAAGGACTTTTACAATATCTATATTCTATTGGAAAAGGTGGTCTATTATTTTAATTCATTCTTGAGAAGAGAGAAAAGACATTTTTTCCAATTTTCAAATATGTCTAATCAATATCAAGGATACATATATTGTACGTCTAAATCAGAGGTTGGCAAACTGCAGCCTGCGGGCCGGATCTGGATCTCAAACACTATAATCGGGCCCGCGACGCTTCACTGAATTATATTAACAAAACAACTGAATTGACAATTATATTTCTTACGTAACAGAATTTGTTTTGAGACACTAAATTATATTATAACCTAACAAGTATATAATTTACAATCACTCGTTTAATGAGCCTATAAATTGAATATAATTATACTAAAGGCAACAAAACTTAAAAAAGTTGATAATGAATGCAAATGGTTTAATGTCGCAGAAAATATCCAAATGTCTCCGCGCGCTGCTTGAAATTTAACTGAAATCTGTGGGAAAAAATGTGATTCATTGGCCATTTCCTCGGTTTTTAACTTTCTAAAAAGATGTGCGGCCCACCAATGACTTGTAACCTTTAATTTTGGCCTGCGAACAACAAAAGTTTGCCAACCTCTGATCTAAATTGTAAACCATTTTTGGTTTTAGCTCCCTTGGTATACTGCGACTACCACGGACATTCGAGACGTAAGAATGTATTCATGTATGGATGTTCAAGACGGGAATCTGTTATTGCCGGAGAAAGTGATGTAATTCAAGGAGCTCCAGACGATACTGGGTATAAGGTATGTATTTTTCTGTGAGATAATTTGACTCGAAAAAAAGTATAATATATAAGTTATAGTCAATATTGTAGTTATAGATTGTTGAGTTTGTAGAACAGCAGTTTCCAACTTTTTCAGACCCATGGACTTTTTTGATATTTTGTTTTTGAAAGGTTCGGACCCCTTTAAAAATACTAGTCACAAGGCGTCTCTAGAGACATCTCCCATCAAAACTGTGCCCATAAGCGCTTTGTATTTATAGGGTGATAACATGATGTGCCCTGTCCAATGCGTTCAAAAAACTAGACTTGTTGTGAGACATAGAATTCCAAGATTCTAAACAACCATCATATATTCAGACAATTCCGAAGTTGCTCAATAAAATGGCTCCTGCTTTCTCAATGTCAAATTGTAGTTTTATTGTCGAGAAATGTAAGGAGAGTACAGCACGGGTTGTAGTTTGGAAAGAAATGGGCGTTGCTAGGAGTTATACAATGGAAAGCACATATTGTGGCTGTGACCAGGGAAAATATAAGGTACTTAATTTCAGTTTTTAAAAAAATCAAATGTTAGATATTTTGTGGATCGCAGATCTAATCTTTTTGAATTACATTTTGTTTTTCAGTAATATTTTCATGTTTTTACCATCCTAAGCCGGTTGTTGTCAAATGGTGTTTACTAGTTACAAATCTTTAAAAGCGCAAATAAGCTATTCAGTCATATCTCGGCGGTCACGGAAACCTTTTTTCCACTTTGACCCTGCCTTGACAAAAATTGTATTTTAGATTTTTAATTCTTTCATACCAACTTGTACTATTGGCAGATCTCTGATTCTGAAGTCTAAATTTGAAACTTCCCTGGAGTTTGGGAGCTTGAGTTGAAATTTAAGATTTCGTCAGAGTCAGAATTTTCAAATCCCAGTGGTGATAATTAAAGTCGAAATTTCTAACAAACTTAAAAAGCATTGAGTAGGTTAAACACTCTCAACAGAAAGTTGGAGAAGTTTTGCATATAGGTTTTGAGGTTATTTTTTCTGTACTTCACAATGCTGGTCATTGGATTGCCAATTGCAAATAGAGAGTCAGACATACCTAAAACAAGTTCAAACATGTTCGCCGTTCTTGTTGAACTCCGTTACTGCACACTTGGAGAAAGCGTCTGAAATACTCTCGGCGTATTCTCCAGAGAAGTGTTCTCTGTAGCTGTAGGCCAAAACAAAATGAATTATTTTAAATTTAGATTCGCATATTATTTTCACTCGTGTAATTGGTATGGTACCACTGAAATATCGATATATATTTAACTATTCATTATTGTTACAGAGTTGTCAGATTGGTACTTATGAACTTGAAGAAATGGGAATGATATTATGTGAATCATTATTGCATTTGAAGAACAGAGAACGTGCAAGAAGATTGCCGCTTTATGACGGAATATTCTCCGAAGAAGAGTATGTAGTTTTCTTGTGAATTTTTTTGCTCGAAATTTTCTCTTTTTCTAAGCAAAGTCATACTTTTAAACTCAGTAGCAAATGAGACTTATCTCTGAGCAAAGGTATGTGAGGCCATTGAAGTGCTAAGACAGCAACTGGGACTATAAGAAATCATAACAGTGAGTTTAGTGTTGGTAAATACCAATTAACATGAGGCTTTTGAGAAGTTCATGAGATACGATCAGGCTCAGGAAAACTCAAGTTCTTTGAAAATACTCAAAATAAACTCATTCTCTATGTATAGAAATATGTACATGAACATTCCATACATACACATTTCACACATAATAAATTTGGATCACACCTTACAGAGTGCAAATCAAATAACTGCAATTCAATTCTGGATATATTTAAGTGCTATGAATATGTGTGAACTAGTTTGCACCGATGATGACATTGGCAGGTATAGCAGTCGTATTTGAAGATTGTTCATGGCAACAGCTGATGACTTTGGTAGTGCCATAGAAAAAAGAAAAGGTGTTGAGTTAGTAGTACAAAAATGCTTGTTCGGATCTCAAAGTCACATTCGGATTCAATATTCCTATTTTCTCATATTGTATTCAATACAAAACCTAAATTTCAAAATGGCACCAAAGAAAGGAGGAAAGAAGGGAGCAAAGAAAGAACAAAAAGCAAACTCCAATGTATTCTCTATGTTCGATCAAACCCAAATCCAAGAATTCAAAGAAGCTTTCTCTATGATTGATGCCAACCGGGACGGTTTCATCGACAAAATTGACCTCAAGGACACCTATTCAGCTCTCGGAGTTCGAGACATCAAGATGGAAAAACTAGAAGCAATGGTATTGGAAGCACCAAGCGCTATTAATTTCACAGTTTTTTTAAACATGCTTGCCGATAAACTTCAAGGTACTGATCCAGAAGATACTCTCGTACAAGCTTTCAAGATTCTTGATCCAGAAAATACCGGAGTAATCCACAAAGATGTTTTTTCCGAAATGTTCATGACCCAAGGAAAAAGATTTACAAAAGAAGAAATTGACCAAGTGCTTGAAATTGCACCAGTAGATGTCGCTGGTAATCTCGATTACAAAGCACTTTGCTACGTCATAACTCACGGACAAGAAGAAGAATAAAAACATTCCTCGTTTTCACTGTTATATTTCTGATACGGCCAAAATTTTGATTCATTAACATTTAAATATCAGCAGTTTATGTTAGAGAAAATTAATTATTTTCAATGTTAGTGAGCTTTTTATTGAAATAAAGAATTCATAAATAGAATTGAGTTGTTTGATCGATTGAGTTTTTGAAGGGTTAACTACTTATCCTTCTTCTATGCTTTTGCGTCAGCATGCATGGGCATATAATGCAAGGATGCTGTAGCAAAAGCTATTCTGAGTGATTCCAAGAATCTTGCTGCACTAATAATGTCAGACGTAATTTTACAACAATATAGTTGTGTTATTGGAGCAAAAACTCTATCTGAGTCACAAAAATTTTCAAATTGTGATACCTCCTAAGAGAGCCAATATTATTCATAAAACGCCTATCAGCTCAAGTGAAATATGAGGCTTTTAAGAAGTTCATTTCAATACAGTTAAAATCATTTCCAGGAAAAATCAAGTTCTTTGAAAATACCTTAGGCATAAAAATAACTATTGCTCCTAACAGTTTACGCTATCAGCAGTAATTATAATAGGTAGTATTTTATAATAACGTAATTTAATTTTTCTATAAGAATGTTTTAAAAAGTATGAGAAGTCAGAACAAAAATTTGTTCATTGAAATCATGTATTAACTCCGCTATGTTGTTCAGCTTGACTTTCATAAAAATTGATGTTTATGGCTGATTATTCCATACTTCTGTAATGAAGTACGTTAACCTCCACGACATTGCTTTTATACTAATACTTCTTGTCAAAATTTTTGTCTCAATTTAAAATGAATAGTTCTTATTAAAACCTTCATTTCAAAGTTGTAAAGTAGCTTTGACGTGCTTCTCGCAAATATTGGTGCACATATAAAGGTGCATGCATCTGAAAACAAATAACTCGCCAACTACCGGTAATCCCATACTCGACATGGACTGGTAAATGGACGTGAGGCTGTTGTACACAGTATGATTAAGCTGTCGTATCGACTTTCCTCTTCCCTGGGATATATATATATATGGTTCCATTACATTGAACCCACATACATTTGAACCTGCATACTATTGCACCATGGAAATTTTTGTTGTTTTACGGATATTTGAACCCATACTAACCCTAACTCATGGGTTTAGCACCCGCATATAGATTGAACCCTCGAATATACACATGGGTTCAAATGTACGGTCACCATATATAGGTATATACCGTATATGCTCGTTTTACTGCCTGATCTGGATTAAGGGCCCATTTGAATAGCCGCCTGTGTGAACAGAACATAAAAATAAATAAGGGCCGGTGCTTGAATAGCCGTCGATGTGAAAGCTGATTTTTCAGTGGTAGAGAACAATAGGAAATAAGAAGCGCTTTTGTCACAACGGATTAATGTCGTCAAATATTTGTCTTCAAAGATACCGTAATTTTTGTGTATAATTTTACTTTAAAAATAACACGTGCCCGTGCTTGAATAGGGGCCGGTTTGAATAAGGGCCCGGTTAGTGAGTTTGGTTAAAAAAATATGGGCCCGGGCTACAAAACGAGCAAAAACGGTATATGAAAATTCCGTCTTATAAAATGAAAAAAAAACTTGATTAAACACCGCTTAAAATTAAACAAACCTGGTTAAAATATACAGAGAACTGACTTCATAACAGTATTTTGATTGTTAGAGGACTTCACTTGACTTATGTATTTGCAACAATGCTACGAAACATTCACTTAAAGGCTTTGCCATGGTATTAAATTTTTTCATGTTTGCTATCTTGTTGAATTCACATAATATCTCTATACTTCACACAATCATTTTTTATATATGAAAATATCAAAATGAACATTCCATACATTCTCATTTCACGCATTATTCGGATCACACCTCACAGAGTGCAAATCAATTCAATCCAATGAATTCTTGATATATTCGAGTGCTATAAAAATGTGTGAAACATTTAGCACTGATGTGCGCTGATGACATTAGCAGTTATAACAGGCGTATTTGAAGATTGTTTATGGCAACAGCTGAAGACTTAGATAGTGCCATAGAAAAAAGAATAGGTGTTAAGGTAGTAGTACAAAAATACTGGTTTGGATCTCAATGTCACATTCAAATTCAATACTTCTATTCTCTCATATTGTATTCAATACAAAACCGAAATTTCAAAATGGCACCAAAGAAAGGAGGAAAGAAGGGAGCAAAGAAAGAACAAAAAGCAAACTCCAATGTATTCTCTATGTTCGACCAAACCCAAATCCAAGAATTTAAAGAAGCTTTCTCTATGATTGATGCCAACCGTGACGGTTTTATCGACAAAATTGACCTCAAGGACACTTATTCAGCTCTCGGAGTTCGAGACATCAAGATGGGAAAAACTAGAAGCAATGGTATTGGAAGCACCAAGTGCTATTAATTTCACAGTTTTTTTAAACATGCTTGCCGATAAACTTCAAGGTACTGATCCAGAAGATACTCTCGTACAAGCTTTCAAGATTCTTGATCCAGAAAATACCGGAGTAATCCACAAAGATGTTTTTTCGGAAATGTTCATGACCCAAGGAAAAAGATTTACAAAAGAAGAAATTGACCAGGTGCTCGAAATTGCACCAGTAGATGTCGCTGGTAATCTCGATTACAAAGCACTTTGCTACGTCATAACTCACGGACAAGAAGAAGAATAAAAACATTCCTCGTTTTCACTGTTATATTTCTGATACGGCCAAAATTTTGATTCATTAACATTTCAATATCAGCAGTTTATGTTGGACAGAATTAATTGTTTTCAATGTTTAATTATTTTTTTTTAATGAAATAAAGAATTCATAAATAGAACTGGAACTGGGTTGTTTGATCGATTTAGTTTCTGTGGAATCAACTACTTATCTTACTTCTTTACTTTTGCGTCGATGGATCCATGAAATATAATGCATAGATTCTGTAGCAAGAGAAAATAGCCTATAAGTGATTCAAGAGTCTTGCTGCACTAACAATGCCAGATGAAAAGATACAGCGATATAGTTGTGCGACAAAACTCTTCCTGAGACCCAAATAATTTTAAATTGTGATAGCTCTTGCCAACATTAATCATAAAACGCCTATCAGCTCAAGTGAAATATGGGGCTTTTAAGAAGATCATTTCAATTCAGTTAGGATCATTTCCAGGTAAAATCAAGTTCTTTGAAAATACCTTAGGCATAAAAATAACTGTCGCTCTTAGCAGTTTATGCTATTTGCAGTAATTATAATAGGTAGTATTTAATAATAGAGTAATTTAGTTTTTCTATAAGGATGTTTCAAACAGTATGAGAAGTCGGAACAAAAATTTGTCCATTGAAATCATGTATTAACTCCGCTATATTGTTCAGCTTGACTTTCATAATAATTGATGTTTATGGCGGATTATTCCATACTTCTGTAATGAAGTACGTTAACCTCCACGACATTGCTTTCATACTAATACTTCTTGTCAAAATTTTAAATGAATAGTTCTTGTTGAAACCTTCATTTCAAAATTGTAAAGTAGCTTTGACGTGCTTCTCGCAAATTATGGTGCACATATAAAGGTGCATGCATCTGAAAACAAATAACTCGCCAACTACCGGTAATCCCATACTCGACATGGACTGGTAAATGGACGTGAGGCTGTTGTACACAGTATGATTAAGCTGTCGTATCGGCTTTCCTCTTCCCTGGGATATATATATATGGTTCCATTACATTTGAACCCGCGTCAATTGCACCTGCATACTATTGCACCTATGGAAATTTTTGTTGTTTTACGGATATTTGAACCCATACTAACCCTAACCCATGGGTTCAGCACCCGCATATAGATTGAACCCGCGAATATACACATGGGTTCAAATGTACGGTCACCATATATATATATATATACCGTATATGCTCGTCTTACTGCCTGATCTTGATTAAGGGCCTGTTTGAATAGCCGCCCGTGTGAACAGAACATAAAAATAATAAAGGGCCGGTGCTTGAATAGCCGCCCGATGTAAAAGCTGATTTTTCAGGGGTAGAGAACTATAGGAAATAAGAAGCGCTTTTGTCACAACGAATTTATGTCGTCAAATATTTGTCTTCAAAGATACCGTAATTTCTGTGTATAATTTTACTTTAAAAATAACAAGTGCCCGTGCTTGAATAAGGGCCCGGTTAGTGAGTTTGGTTAAAAAATATGGGCCCGGGCTACAAAATGAGCAAATACGGTATATGAAAATTCGTCTTATGAAATGGAAAAAAACTTGATTAAACACCGCTTAAAATTAAACAAATCTGGTTAAAATATACCGAGAACTGACTTCATAACAGCATTTTGATTGTTAGAGAACTTTCACTTGACTTATGTATTTGCAACAATGCTACGAAACATTCACTTAAAGGCATCGCCATGGTATTAAATTTTTTCATGTTTGCTATCTTGTTGAATTCAAATAATATGTCTATACTTCACATTCATTTTCTATATCTATGAAAATATATAAATGAAAATTTCATACATACACATTTCACACATATATCAGATTTAAATCACGCGCCTCAAAAGTGCAAATCAAAATCAATGCAATTGCATTCTTGATATATTTAAGTGCTAAAAAAATGTATGAATTAGTTAGCACCGATGTGCGCTTAGGTTAAGGACATTAGCAGATATAGCAGACGCATTTGTTGAAGATTGTATATGACAACAGCTGAATACTTTGTTAGTGACATAGAAAAAAGAAATGGTGTTAAGGTAGTAGTACAAAAATGCTGGTTTGGATCTCAATGTCACATTCGAATTCAATACTCACATTCTCTCATATTGTATTCAATACAAAACCGAAATTTCAAAATGGCACCAAAGAAAGGAGGAAAGAAGGGAGCAAAGAAAGAACAAAAAGCAAACTCAAATGTGTTCTCTATGTTCGACCAAACCCAAATCCAAGAATTTAAAGAAGCTTTCTCTATGATAGATGCCAACCGGGATGGTTTTATTGACAAAATTGACCTCAAGGATACTTATTCAGCTCTCGGAGTTCGAGACATCAAGATGGAAAAACTAGAAGCAATGGTATTGGAAGCACCAAGCGCTATTAACTTCACAGTTTTTTTAAACATGCTTGCAGATAAACTTCAAGGTACTGATCCAGAAGATACTCTCGTACAAGCTTTCAAGATTCTTGATCCAGAAAATACTGGAGTAATCCACAAAGATGTTTTTTCGGAAATGTTCATGACCCAAGGAAAAAGATTTACAAAAGAAGAAATTGACCAAGTGCTTGAAATTGCACCAGTAGATGTCGCTGGTAATCTTGATTACAAAGCACTTTGCTACGTCATAACTCATGGACAAGAAGAAGAATAAAAACATTCCTCGTTTTCACAGTTATATTTCTGATACGGCCAAAATTTAGATTCATTAACATTTCAATATCAGCAGTTTATGTTAGAAAAAATTAAATGTTTTTAATGTTTAAATATGTTTTTTCAATGAAATAAAGAATCCATGAATAGAACTGAGTTGGTTTGATCGATTGGGTCTCTGCGGGATCAGCTACTTATCTTCTATTCTTTTGCGTCGATGGATCCATGAAATATAATGCATGGATTCTGTAGCAAGAGAAGATAGCTTCTAAGTGATTTAAGAGACTTGCTGCACTAACAATATCAGATGTAACCGTTACAACAAAATAGTTGTGTTATTACACAAAAAAAGTCTCCGAAATTTTCAAATTGTGATACCTCCTAAGAGAGCCAATATAAAAAACCTTTCATTATACCTTCATTAATTTTATTTCGTAGTAATGTTTCATCTGACGGAAGGGTATACATTGGTATTGTTGTTGATTGTTTCTATGAGGACGTCTGACTTTAATTTGAAGTTGAAACGTTCAGAATAAAATTTGTGAAAGTGTGACAGAGCCTGTTCGAACCATTCATTGAAGAATATTAGGAATTTCTTCTGTTTTGATATTAAAATGCATAAAATATTTTTTTAATTTTCAGTAAACTATACAATTCCATATCTGACGTCTCATCTGGAGATTTCCAGTCTGTCGGTTCAGAAATAAAACAAGATAACTCTGGGTCTGAACGCATGGCCCCATGCCCCACCAACTCTGACGAAGAATTCACTCCGGATGAAGCCGACTCAATAGGTAGCTTTGATGGAACGTCAGAACAGCCGTCCGCCTCGTACTCTAGAGACGAAACATTAATGAAAAGCTATCCTCACGAATTTTGGGACTATAATGAATTTTGTCGTGGTTTTGGTTTTGGACCTGAAGAAGAAGGTGATTATGACATCACACCACGTGCTAATGACCCTGAGTCGACGTCATCATTACCAAATGATGACGTTGTCCATCGTAACCATGGTGATTTTTTGATAAGGTCGTCATATCAAATTTGCCCTGATACAGGTAGGGTTTTATATAACGATAATGATACAGTAGATACAACGTTGGTTTCTATGATGGAGAGAAATAGTATGTATGAAAAACGTAAGCAACCGAAAAGTTAAAAATCACAATGCAAACAGTATCCAGTCCATACATCTGAGCCGAATACCTGGCTAACTAATACCCTAGCCAGCATGGACCTGTAACTGAATGGAAAGTCTTGGTTCACCATATGATTTGAGTTGTCTTTTTTGACTCTCTTAGAATAAATTTGAGAATTTGTTCTTAAAAATAGATTGTATGGTGGGTGGGTAACTGTCTATCCTTCATTCTGCATTTTTGTACAATTAGGTCACAAGGCAAAAGAATAACGTATCATTTGGCAAATTATAGTATTGCTTTCTCTCATAAGGACTTTACACTACACATGGAAGACAAGACTAACCTAACAAAGTCACTCAACATGTTTTCATTGGTATAATTTTTTTTGTGGCTTTCAATTTTTGACAACATGTAAGGGTTTTAACCCTCCAGAGTTCCTGATCTGTTCTGTACAAACTATGTAATATATAATTCATTTACAAAGTAATGCTTATTAAGAAGATTCTGTCACAATAGCTTTCAAATGTTATTTTTTACTTTCGAATAATTGAGGTCTTCATTGACCATCACTCAGTTCATTTCACATTTCACTGATCTAAAGTGTTTTTCAACCCAACTCATTTCAAAGTGGTCTCGATCATAACACTAAGTTTTGCTCGCATGGGAATGTTCATGAATCGCCTGTTTTTTTCAACATTCGTTAAGTTATTAATTGGCACCCAGAGTCTCCGTATCCACCAACAGTCAGGATGTACCAAATGGTAATTCTCATACATTTCGTATATTTTTGTTAGTTCCAGATACTAATTCTCACTAAATGAATATCTTTGCAAAGCCCCCTAAATTAGCAATATATATAATTTGTTCATATCCATTCAAAAGGGATAATCAATGAGGCTGAAAATTTAATGATTAAAACTGAATCGTTCAAAAATTTCTCAATTTTATATATTTATCAATAATCAATTTAAAATTCTGATTCAAATAATTTACCCGTTCCTCAACAGGCAAAAAGTGCATTTGTCAATTTTTCTATTTTTATCAACTGTGTTCCCTTTTCACTTTATTATACAAAAATACTATGTTATTTTCATAACCTGTGAATTATTTTATCACAAAGGATCATTTTGTGACCTTTAACCCTTGCGAGTTCGAAGCAATTTTTACCTAATATAATTTGATTTATGCATTTCTATATGTCGACCTAGATAATAAGCAATTGGTGTCTTACTATATTGTCTATATATTTTTTGTTGTTTCAAGATGAAAATAATTGCTTGAAAATTGTTGATTGAATTTATGCTAACTTTTTTCTATTTTTTTAAAGTGAATTTGACAGGGTCAATTGAAATTTTTGTGAAGCTTGGTGTAAGAAAATTAATGTTTAAACCTATTTATGAGCATTTCGATTAAAAATGTTGCCGCAAATAAAAATGAATGCTAAAATACTATTTACGGACTCCGTACTATCTCATATTTTTCTGTGACTAAATACACTTTTTCTTCAATTCATCCATTTATTTTCCAATTCTAGCTCGCTTTGATAATGAGGTAATTTTCATGATTATTTTTAACTTCTTTCACAACAAGGCGGAGTCTTACTGTTTCGGCGTTACCTGCCTAGTTTATTACACCCTGAGTGTGATTTGATGGGAATTAGTTGTTGACAGAAATAAGGTAGGCCAGTCAAAAAATGACTTCTGGATCTTAAAAAATCACAATAATATAGTCACTTACTTCTCTATATCAGAGAAATGACCTATTTTGTACTAATATATGTATATTTCATGAGACAAAATTAGAAATGTTAACTATGGATGCTATACATTTAGCATAATAAATTAATAGCAAACTTACAATAAAAACTACTCTTATATTTGTAACATTGAATGTAAATTTATCTCGAGATCAATTTGTCAAATTTTAACATATTGTTTCAATAGACACCTCATATTTGCCACTCTTCATTTTTTTTTGTAATATTTAAAACTGGAAGATGCCATATTTTTTCGTTTGTACATATTTTATTTCTTAAAATATAGAATATAGCACATCGTTAAATGTTTCATAAAAAGTGAAATTTGAAACAACAATTGAATTCTATTAAGAGCAAATAAATTTTAATAAAGGATTTTTTGTCTGGCCGAGTATGGTAATTCTATTAGCCATGCTTGGAGAGCAACAAGATTGTACTTTTTTTGTGCATTTTCAAGCAGCACCATATTGTAGTATTTCTGTATTGTGATGTTCCGGCTGCTTTCAACTACGGTATATTGAAATATATTATTCTTAATGTAATAAAATAATATTTCCTTTGAGATGAGAGTATTGGTGTTGGTTAGTTTGCCAGTGGTTAGAAAGATCGAAAAGTTTTGATATATACGGTTGGGTTATGCTAAAGAAGTGTTTCCCAACCCGAGTCCGCGGTCTCAAATGAGTCCGCGGAGCTGTTGAATAAGTCCGCAACGAGCCAGAAATTCACTGCGGGCAGCAAACGTTTTTGCGAAACCTAACTATCAGCCAATTTACGCTAGAATTTACACAAAACATAAGAAGTAAGATTACTTTCATAACATTAATCGAGTCAAAATGACTGGTTACTGAGTAGGGCTGGGCATATATTCCAATAATAACCAATTAGAATAACAATTTACTATTCAAAAATTTGTTAACAGGTGACGCGAGACGAAAACACGAGTCGGCACATGCGTCAATAGATACTTGAGGGGGGTTTCTCGCGAGTTGAACAATGAGGAATAATTTTTTTTTTGGTAGATGTCAAAGGTGGCAACCTAAATTTTCTAAATTGAAAAGCGACAATACAAAATACTAAAAATAAAACGGAGAACACCATAAATTTTGTTTTAAGACGGGCCGCGTCCAATTATAAACGCTTTTTTAGACATTGCAAATCGCAAAATTTTGGGTGCTACCGTAGTATACGTACCAGGGCATTTTCCCCAGAACTGGAGCACCGTGGGTGCTGTACGAACATCTCAGATTTGTCGAATTCACAAAAATACGAATCAAAACAAAATATAATCGGGCACTTTACTTACCTTGCATTTTTGTGTCCACGGATCTTCATGATATTTTCTGAGCTTTTATTTCGTTAACACAACCGCAGATTAAAATGATCACAATTAAATTAATAATAAAGCAAGGCGATGAATATCTATTATTGATTTACTAATATATATACTTCAATTATAATTTCAGGTGGTACTCTAACTGCGGTAACAAATTCGCAAGATCGCAAAAAATATATATCAAAACTAAATATAATCTGGCAACAGATTCTCACAATAGTATGTTCGCAGATTGCCGTGGCATTTTAGAGAAATAATGCTTTCATTTTGTCGCAAGTCGGCGCAACCGCGAGTTACCAGGAACACAATCAAATTAAAATATAAAGACACTTTAAATTCTCGTCGTTGTCATGGATTGAAGATTTTCCGACAGAAAGGGTCATTATACCCTAACAAAGTCGGCCATTTTAACGAACGCGTAATTGCGGCGAATTTCCGATTTTGAAATTCGTTAAAAATCCGGTTGTGTCTGGTTTTATTGCTTCGTCGCACAGAGTGCGATTGCAATAAATGCACCGTGAGTCCGCAAACGGTTTTCGTCGGTGAGAAAATAGTCCGCGACCAAAAAAGGTTGGGAAAAGCGGTGCTAAAGTAAGCTCCGTATAGGTGCATAAGTGTCTGACGGACTAAATACGCGGTGGGTGAGATATAGTATGTAGTTTTTACCCTAAAGTGAAAAGTTCATGCGACAAATCGCATGTTACACCATTTTCTCTTGTCTCGTCTTTTTCTGGCGTCATGTGATTCCTAATACCCAATGAAAAAGCCTCTTCCGTTTGCTGTCTCCTCCGCCCTCTTTGTCTCTTTATTATATCCTAATTTTTTTTTCTTGCCACGTCGAAATCTGTCTCCGCACAGACGGTCTTTTCAAATTTGACGCCGTCGGGTGAGCACTGACTTTATTTTTGAGAAATTTTAAGTTTAATTGCTTATGTGTCCTTGTAATCTGACACTTGTATTACCTTACACTCATTTTCTAAGATTTTAAACTAAACTTAGGCGTACAATTACTGAATCAAATGTTCACAAAGTGGAATTGAGATTAGGAGTTCTGTATTGGTGAGACGACGGCGTAAACAAATGGAGGCGTTAGAGAACAAGGAAATATTCATCTAGAACAGGTAAAAAAATTATTCAAATTTACTCCTTGAATGGCTCCAATTATATGAATTACCCCATTTCTGTCTTTAGCTTTTGATAGCGTTTATTCAGCCTGCATTTTGCATCTTAGCTAAATATAGTTAAGATCGTGTTTATGCAAACTGACTGCTGCGGATGTAAACATGCTGTAAATGTTGACATCGTGAACTGTTGGGGCGGAACAGAGAATATGTGCGAAGGTTTTGGACCATTTCATAAGATCTACATCGGTCGTGCAGATGTGTTCCAGATATAGTACAGGTGATATTATTTGCTGAATTTTCTGTCATTCCAACGGTCACGTTTGAAAACAATTTTGTTTCTTTATTGTAATATTTTCTTTTCGCGTCAAAATTTGTGTGCCCAGGTGATCAGTTTGACGACTTCAAGCGAGTATTTCTTATATACATATATTGTTCTTTTTAATTTGTTTCTTCGTGTGTTATGTTCATCTTTTTATATTTTCATCGTTTTTTTTATTTTTTATTAATCGTTGCGTTTATAAGTCCCTCACATCTATACTAATGCGTTTGAGGCCTACAATTGTTGATTTAAATGTCTACGAAATGGAAATGTTGGAGTGAAGCGAAAACAAAGATACACTGACTTGACTACTAACTATAGGTAAATTAATAATAATCTAGTTAGGCCATAGTATAGTATTAATACTATTATGCGATGATTGGTGTCTAAATCTCGAATCGAAGACTCACGAAAGTGTGGCAAAACGAAGGCAGTCGAGGATAAACAAGGTAATTGTAATCTATAATCTGAAACAGCTTCTTATATTCTCCATAGCATAGCTCTAATTCCATACTACTGGGTCCCTGTGCTAAGAAACGCACACAATACGTACATTTGTTGTGAGTGCGTTCAAATTTATACTTTAAATAGACTCCCAGTGTATCCTCCCGTTTTATATCTTACACAAATAATTATTTATTCTAACGCAATTACCAAATGATCTGGCTTGCTTTACAGGTTTCTCGTTTACTTTCAGGCGATTTATAAGTTCTCTAACAGTTATGTTTACTAATGCAGTTAGTCTAATATTAGGCCTACATTTATTGATTTGAGGTGGAATAGGACCAAAAATTCTGGAAATGTTGGCATCGAGATCTGCTTGAGGATATGCGGCTAGATGAACATTTATTTTGTTAAGTATACAAACTATTAAATTGTCACTTTCGCATTTCTTAAAACCGATACCCTCGTAATATTTCCATCGACCACTGAGACTATTTTTATTGGCGAACGTAATATGTAAAATATATAAAAAAAAACGTTTAATTCACTCTTAATAAAAAGTAGGCCAGACCCTATTTTTTATTTCATGGCAATTGAAATTGCCAATTTTTCCACAACTAATTTACCCTCCAATTGTATGTTGCAGTAATGTGCATGTGCAGATGAAAGTGGATAGGAGGTGAATCTTCAGCATAACTGGGCAAACATTCAGAATGGTTACAGAAAAATTCGCCGCGGGAAATTTTGCCGCAAGAATTTTCACCGCATAGGAAAAATCGCCGCAATAGAATTTTGCTGTAAAACAAGTATTTATGATAAAAACAGGTGTTTGAAGTACATTTTTATTAAAAGAAAGAGTTATTTAAGAGCATACTCTAACCTTATAAACCTAACTGTTTTATCACAAATATATACTTGTTTTACAGCAAAATGCTCTCGCGGCGAAATTTCCGGACACGATTCAGAACAATAACTGAAAGTGAGTTTTTGTCAACACAATCGTTGTCTATCCTATAAGACTTGTTTTCCGTTGTTCACAATATGATAACGATCTTATTGTTTGTATTTTAGAAATTTAAAATCTGTGGTTGTATTGTTTCAATGAGAATGGAAAACTGTTTTCATCTGTGAAGCAAGGTGAGCGCCTTTCCGATGCGTCTCAAGATAAAAGGAAAGGTATGTAAGTAACTTACTATATTTTTACTTAATTATGGTAGGTGCTTGTGCCTTAGAACATAAATTTGGGTGTTTTTTTAATAATATCTAAGCGAAATAATCGGAATCCGATGTTTATGTTTGTGTTACAGAAATTGTCGGAGTGTGAAATTTAAATGTATTCATTGGAAGCTGAAAGCTGTTGTGAAATTAATGTAGGACTCTATTCCACTGAGACTAAAGTAAGTTATTTTAAACAATTTGAAGAAAATTGAAATTCCCACTATTTAACGTATTTTTTTACGATACGATGTTTTTGTTTTGCTTCAGAAATTGTCAATAATCTCTAGTTTAAAATCAGTGCTTAAAAGTATTCAATGCGGTCGACAAACATGTGAAACAAAGTACGGCTTTCCTGTATGTCTCGTAAAAAGTTCAAGAATGGGCGAATGGACGAATTTAACGAAAAAAGTGGGAACTACGGCTCTAAAATTACTCTTGCTGGCAATCTTCTTGTTTTGTAAATTGAATTCAATCCTCACTAAAATTAAAAGCTAGCATTCATTCCGAGCCGAAAAATCTTATCCGCACCAGCATAGGCGTCTTTGTGGTTTGCCTGTCTATGTCTGGTGTGGGAATGGTAACCGGTATTATTAGTTTTGAATGCATGTTTGAGATGGCGGGGGTAGCTCTAACCGACCAGTTGTTACGTGAACCACTTAGAGTCTGGCAATCCTCTTGCCCGTAATCGCCCACACTTCCATGAGTCACGCCTCTAGGCCGAGTCGTTCTTCTAAGACGTGAAATGCATGGCTTTTTGAGATTTTAAGTCTCGGCAATCGTTATCCAAGCAAATATTATTCTCGGTGACCGTACATTTGAACCCATGCGTATATCCACGGGTTCAATCTATATGCGGGTGCTAAAACCCATGGGTTAGGGTTAGTATGGGTTTAACTATCCGTGAAACAAAAAAAATTCCATAGGTGCAATAGCATACAGGTGCAATTGTCATGGGTTCAAATGTACGTGGGTTCAAATATAATGGAACCATTATTCTCTAAACGAAACTCTATATAAACAGCCTTGAGCTACTATTCCCATACGTTCTTACCAACTTGTATTTTGTCACGCAGGTTCTGTCCGGAAAACGGGATTAGTGTAAGCGTACTGAGGCGACAACGGATCTCCCAAATTCATCGTCTGTTGGTTGAGGAGTTTTTATAATTGCGCGCAAGAAGACAATGGTTCCAAAATAGAATAGTGAAGTATAAATATGGCTTTCTTTTTATTCAATTAGCAGTCTTGTGTACAATTGCCATTTTTGGCCAAGTCCTTATCCCAATTAATGCAAGTTGATCATTCCATTTAGAGACGTTTTTTTATAAATAGACTGGATTCAATGATATTTGTAAGCTAGTATTCCAGCTGCAAAATCCTTCTTTTCCCTATTCGCTGCTGATTTTAATCCGCACATATATTTCACACCCACGAAAATAACTAATTTAATGTTGTCACACACGCTTGACGAAGCAACGACCCTATATTCAACTCGTATAGACTCTGTGGTGGTTAATTGACAGATTGCATACCATCCTACTCCATTCAGTTTTAGATGATACATCGTTCTGTCCCAAGTTGAAATCTATTTTTATATTTCAGTTGCGTTGTGGATTGGAAGGTCAAAGAAAAGAGACATGAGGGAAGCACGTTGACAAAGAAGTAAATGGTCGTTCCATCATAGTTCTTTGAAATCATTTAAATGTGAATTATTTAAATCGTGTGTATTTCAATTTTTTCATATCAAATCTTGTCGACGGCCCTAGTGGCGTATCTACGTGAAATGGCGCCATGAAGTTTAAAAATGCGCCCCTTGGATCATTGACTGGCAATTTCAACTATTTGTCGAAGAGATTTGCTCCCATACCCTCTATACGCACTTCGCCCCAGGTTTTATGAACAAATTAACGATCCACTCTGTGGCTGGGCAATGTCTGGTGATTAGGAAATGCGAGCTCTACATTCTAATTAATAGCTCTGAACTAGATGGGTTTCTGAATGTTTGGGGATATATAATTGATTATTTGTTTGAAGTTGTTTTTTTACTCTTGCATTCGAGAGAATGTCTATGAAAGGCTCGTTTAGAAAGCCTGATAGAGGTCTAAATGATTCTTGCAGTATATTTTAATATTCATGCTTGCTCGTAAAATAAAATTATTGAAGCAATATTCTTTCCTGGAAGCTTTGGCCTATATGGGATGTCAGAAATTGGGTATTGTTGAAGGTGCGTAATAGAAAGGTGCAAGGTTAAGGTAATTTTTCTATGGCGAGCTGCGTTTTTCCGCGTTTGTAACAATATGACGTCACTGGTTATGAATGACGTCACACCGGCGAGCCGCGAATTTCTGGGGCAGGCCGGATTCGGGCCAAAACGTCGTCAATTTTTTATCTCTGGCCGACCATCGGCCATAGATAATTCGAGCGTAAATGAGTAAATTTATCTACGATCATGCTTGATCATACATGATATGTGTATACATTCGCCTATTTTTAGTTGGTCTTACAGGCTAGAGTTCTCTTTGGTATGTAGATCTTTGCGTCACCCTTCCAATGACGACACACATTTAGTGAGGAGATGTTGGATATACGGGGTTCAAACTCTGGCTACCAGGAACAAATTGATGGTTTTCCAGCTGCTTTACCAACTAGGCCAATTCAAAACTTGCAGACAAAAGTCTAAGTTCTAATATTTATTTCTCATCTCAAACAAATGAATAAAATAGCAGAGTCATTTGAGATGATTCATGAATATTAGATCTTATAACTTTGCTCTCACGTTCCTCCTTGGCCTAATTAGTAAATATACCTCTATTCTGTTGGGGTGACCAAAGTTTGAATCCTGTGAACCTAATATCCCGTATTAAATTTGTGTCGTCAATAAATGGATTGCACAAAAATATAAAGTGCGAAAAAGCCCCACGGGTCCGAAATGGCGAAAATGGAAGAGTCAGACGTTGGAAAAAGTGGAATTTGTACATTTTTGTTCGCACCATGTATCTTCAAGCACGATCGTAGATAAATTTCAGTAATTACACCCGATCAATCTATGGCCATGGTCGGCAAGAGATAAAAACAATTGCCGTGTTCCAGCCCGGATCCGGCCTGCCCCAAAAAGTCGCGGCTCCTGTGACGTCACAACCCAGTTACGCCGCACGCACCTCGCTTTACACGAAGATGGTCGCTAGCCTATCCCAAACAATAAATACTCAAAACCTGACAAACCAATCCCGGAATCTTGAGCCAGCATGTAATTTCTCAACTGTTCCATTTATTAAATAGGCTTGCACGAACACAAATAAGGGAAATTATGTTAAAATAGCACACAAATGCAAGATTCCGGGCACAAAACAAAAACTAGTCGCACATTTATTGTCGAAAAAGTGCATTTGGACAATGAAAATAATCATTTTTGAGAACAGCTTCATTTCAATTTTCCCAAAGACACTAATAGTGACCACAATTCCCTAAAATAATATGTAAACGTACTTGGCACAAAAATATAAATCTTATTCAAAATAGCAATAAAATAACTGGCCGTTGAGATATTGTATAAGTGTTTTATTTAACCTTTTTATTTTAAAGGTTAACATAAATCAATATGCAGTAAACCATACACGGAGCTTGATATTTTATTGAATTGAACACATTTTAAACAGCATCTAGCCCCGCGTAAACATCCACTCCAATCCCACAGCAATTTTAAAAACAGAATAGACGAGAATTGAAACTTTACTTGCACTCTGCTACGAAATAAAACAGGTAGATTCAAAATACTATCAAATTAAAATTTGAACAATACTCATAAGATGGATTCTCAAGAAGAAAGTCTTATTGGGCCTTAGCTTATAATAGCATGTTTCGTTAGGCGTTCCATAAATGTTCACAGTTTAGAGCCTTAGCACGATATAATACGCGTGGCAATATTTTATTACAAGTGATTGTTTGAAGCATTGGTTTAGGCTTGATTAGACGATTGTGTTCAGTTTGTGCCTCGTGGTTTCGCAGTATGACTTGACTGTGTTTAGCCTTATCAGTGTTTTAAGCTCAGTTGAATTATAAATGCTGCGGCGAAGGTTTAGATTATGAAGGTCACTTCGATGCTTGCAGGACGATCGATCTATAAATGAATAATAATATTATATAAACTTCAAGTCAGATATTAATTAATATACAGAGTAGATGACAAGTGTCTAGCCTAGTTACTAGAGTATATAAAAATAATTTGGACAGATACCCACAAGCAATTTGCATAGCTTGTGTTGCGGACTATGGCCTAACCCTAACCTGGTTCACATACTACGTTCCGGTGTCCCCCATCTTGGTATGCATTGGGAGTACGCGGCGCAATTAGGATAGGATTCACATATTTATCCCGGGGGAGAGGAAACCTGATAAGACGTCTCAATCATATGACGAACCAGGGCCTCTGGTCCGGTTACCATTTCATGTCGTGTATGGGATTAAATAGCCAGATCAGCAGATACGGTTTTATGCAGGGTACGGATACCGTACTGTAGTATAATGTCAAAAGCTGGGCAGCACTGCATCACGGACGTTAAGTATTTTAATCGATATATAATATTAACAGGACTTGAGAATCCACAAATTAAAACAATTAACGATTAAGTTAATGTGCCTTGATTATGCAGTATTAAAAGCATTAGAAATGCGCACCAATATTGTTTTATGGAGTAGTGTGTCTTTTTATCAATAATTCAAATTCTGATAACCGATCGAAATACCTCATCCAATAATGTTGATGGTAATTTTTCCATAGTGGCATTCTGAAGAAAAATATTCAGAAACATTATTTCAATTCTAAGTATGCGGTTAAAATGTATAATCCCCTTCCACATCTCGAATTTACCTACATAGATTACAACATGTCAAAATTAGCTTGATCATCGAATTACCTTTTCAAATACTCCTGCATTCTACACTCGGATGATTACCAGTTCAGTGCGAATTTCAAATAAAAAATGTTCATATTAGACGACCAACAGTGCTAATTGTGATCCATCAACAATTTCATCGCCTATAATTTGTAGCAGTTAAGTGTCAACTCGAAAAAAGAAGGCCTGCAGTAATGCTCGTGTTCATGGCCTGCAAAACAAAAAATGGTATGAGCCTGCAAAGCCAAAAATGGTTCGAGCCTGCAAAGCCAAAAATAGTTCGAGCCTGCAAAGCCAAAAATGGTTAGAGCCTGTAAAGGAAAAATGGTTAGAGCCTGCAAAAGAAAAATGGTTAGAGCCTGCAAAGCCAAAAATGGTCAAGAGCCTGCAAGACCAAAAATGATTTGAGCCTGTAAAACAAAAAATGATTAGAGCCTGTATACAAAAAAAGTCAAGAGCCTGCAAAACAAAAAATGGTCAAGAGCCTGCAAAATCAAAAATGGTTAGAGCCTGCAAAGCCAAAAATGATTAGAGCCTGCAAAGCCAAAAATGGTTAGAGCCTGCAAAGCCAAAAATGATTAGAGCCTGCAAAGCCAAAAATAGTTCGAGCCTGCAAAAGAAAAATGGTTAGAGCCTGCAAAAGAAAAATGGTTAGAGCCTGCAAAGCCAAAAATGGTCAAGAGCCTGCAAGACCAAAAATGATTTGAGCCTGTAAAACAAAAAATGATTAGAGCCTGTATACAAAAAAAAGTTAAGAACCTGCAACACAAAAAATGGTCAAGAGCCTGCAAAATCAAAAATGGTTAGAGCCTGCAAAACCAAAAATGATTAGAGCCTGTAAAACGAAAAATGATTGAAGCCTGCAAAACAAAAAATGATTAGAGCCTGTAAAGCCAAAAATGATTAGAGCCTGCAAAGCCAAAAATGATTAGAGCCTGCAAAGCCAAAAATGATTAGAGCCTGTGAAACAAAAATGATTAGAGCCTGTGAAACGAAAAATTGTCAAGAGCCTGAAAAACCAAAAATGGTTAGAGCCTGCAAAACCAAAAATGCTTAGAGCCCGCAAAGCCAAAAATGGTTAGTCTGCAAAGCCAAAATGATTAGAGCCTGCAAAGCCAAAAATGATTAGAGCCTGTGAAACAAAAAATGGTCAAAAGCCTGCAGAATCAAAAATGGTTAGAGCCTGCGAAACCAAAAATGGTTAGAGCCTGCGAAACCAAAAATTGTCAGAGCCTGCAAAACCAAAAATGGTTAGAGCCTGCGAAACAAAAATGGTTAGAGCCTGAAAAAATATGGTTAGATGCAGCCTTCAAAACAAAAACAATATCAATGAACAAGATAATAGTTGAAATTCGGTAATAAACACGTAAATAATGGCATAATATAGGCGTTAAATTGAGTCAACTTATCCATGTTTCGTTTGTTTCCGTTGGCTGAGAAAAATCCATCATTCCGAAGTCATGCCAACACAGGTTAACACATCACATCCGATCAAGCAACAAACAAATATCAACGTAAACGTAGAATCTGTAAAAATAATCTTCCATTTATTGCAGCATATTTGGAGATTAATTGTCAACAAATCATTCAAAGCATTTTCGAGAGTCTAATATAGAAAAGCACCTGAAATATATAAATTTGGTTTTAACGTAGGAATGAATGCTTACACCATTGCGTTTATCCATCCTCCACGATAATAATATACGAGTTCTCCATCGTCACTATCACATCATACAACTTGTACTATACTTTTCGTTCAACAGCTTTTCCGCCAGCGCTTGTTCAACTTTTACGGCAATTGCTTTCACCAACCAGCCTAGTCGCTTCCAACTTTACTATCAAAATTCCTGGCCGTTTCTTTTGTGGACTATTAGGAATTGTGTATTATTATACTGAATACGAATAGTGATTTTTTCGGATAATTCAGAGTTCAATCTTTATACGTATAGAAACATCCAAACAAAAGGACACGAGAAGTCGATCTGTGCATCATAGAGAGTGTTTGTGTTCCAATTAACTTCTTCCGTCAAATTGCATTGCTTGATATTGCATTGTCACTTCTTTTTTGTAGACTCAAAAAGAACCCCCGAATCATTCGACATGCGTCTTTGATAATCATTTGAAATAGAGTCTTTGGTTGCTTTTCTTCCGCGGTTCAGAAAACTTTATAAATGCGAGAGTTGAGGTTGAATAGTCTTGGAACCAAACACGTCCGAAATTTGAATTTCTCATTTTAATAAATTGTTTAACGTCAGAGGTCAATTAGACCCATGTGATGTATGATGTTGCGTGGACGAAGATATTCTGTTATAACTCTTAATCGAACGAAAATTTTCACTCTGTATCAATTATCACAGTTTTAAGTGATTAAGTTCTTATGGAACAGTTTCCTTGAATGTCGATACTATTATTCTTTGCTGAGTAAATGTGAACCCCCATCCAACGTCTGTAGCGGTCAATCATTCAGTAACTAAGTATCTCATTTCAGTTATCAAACTTATATCTGGGGACCTATTGGACCCCTATCTATCTTAGTTCTCTTTGTCTATATACTGTGTTTAAAGAAACTGATGAACTGAGACACCCCTATCTATCTTAGTTCTCTTTGTCTATATACTGTGTTTAGAGAAACTGATGAACTGAGACATCTGAGTCTGCGTAAGATGAACTTGAACGTCCTCGACCACAAAAGCGGATTTCTCTTCCTAATAAATTGTAATGTGTGTTGTGTTGACTGTAATTGTAATGTAATTGTAATGACTGTTGTGTTTGTTACATTTTCAACTGATGAGTCTATCCATCAGCCTCTACAATTGGCCCAACGACAGATCAGACCCGTTAATATAATCTTCTTCTTAATGATCTGAACGTAATTGGGTTTACAACTAGATGCTATACTTGCATTCCCTGATCATAGATATTTAAATTTTCGCTCATAATCTATCATGTACCAGCAACAATTGTTAAAACTATTCCGCCATTGTCTCTTTGGTGCAATTTGCCTTTTATTGGATCTTTAGTTCACGAAAATAGCCTTGTAGGATTTTAGAATAGGTTCAAAAGAAGGTTTCGTGTATAAAATGGTCATGTTCAGCTTTGCAGTCATGCTCCCAAAAACTTCCTAATTCTTTGAAATTGTTCTGATTTCGCTCGGGCTCTCCGGCATATATTGCGTGGTATTATTGTACGCCATTCCTGCACTAATTTCACTAAATAACAGATGTAACTGTTTCAATTGGCTTGTCTTCTAAATCTAAAACTTACCACAGCTCTAATTTCACTAAATAACAGATGTAGGGGAAAGTGGGGAAGGTTGGGACACTTTTTTTCTTTTGCATATTTTGAGCCGTTAATTCTGCATATTCTCTTAAGTTTGCGGGACTAATGCATAGAGGGGTAAATGTAGTTTTTATTCAGCAACAAAGAAATTCCCTTGCGACACACATCTTACTACCAAAATGCTTTGAAAAACGTCTGTAAAGTGTCCTACTGTACCCCACTTGTGGGGCACAATCGGACAGACCCTGGGGCACAATGGGTCAGTCTGTCAAAATTCAACGAAGTATGCCCTTAAAAATAAGCAATTAATCAGCATAATCGTCTAAAGTACGGGGAGACTTCGAATTTGAAGATTTAATATTTTTAAAATCAATGTTCATTTGAAATAGTTCAGATATTTTGACAAAACATTTTGCAAAAAAATTTGATTATTTCCTTCCTCGAATCTAAATCTGGAAATATTATTGATTTTCGAATATATTCCATATTGGGCCATGGGTCGAAAGAAACCATTATATTACACAAAATATAACGCATCTCTAAGTCTCTAAGCACTTATTGTATCAAAACTGTCGAATTGTGCCCTGTAGAGCATGTCCCACTGAAACCCGGTCCATTGTTCCCCATAGGAAACAAATACTTTCAGACCATCCCACGGCAAAATTCGGAAGGCACAGCCAATCGCTAACGTTAGGAATATTTTACAGTGGACTGACGCTAAAGAATATCATACGATGGTTTGTCTCGTTGGAAAAGCTAAACTAAAAAAAAGAAAAAACCGGAACGGTGAAATTTTTTTTTCAACCTCCCAAAACCAATTTCACCCCATAGCTTACGCCGCTCTACCCGTCCGTTGTCCGTTCGCGGGGACGTTGTAACTCCCCGAAGGGCGGATTGGAACATCGAGCCGCGGATAGGATTGCGGATATAGTATCAGTGTGATAGCTGATTTTCCACTGTGCCCCATGTCCCAACGTACCCCACCTTCCCCTAACTGTTTCAATTGGCTTGTCTTCTAAATCTAAAACTTACCACAGCTCTCCAAAGTCACATAAACTCAAAAGACAAAGCTTCCACGCCTCCTATCCTATAAATTGAAAAAAAATTCTCAATACGACTTTCTACACTTTGGAATTGTTCATTTCACATCGAGCGCTTAAGTCTCATTTCAAGCTTTATCTGATCTCTAAAACTACATATGGCCTTGTAGCATCGTTAACTTTTATTAGGTGATCTCAACTAATCTCCGAATCTGTGCAATCTTGATCGAGTGGAGAGAATTGCATGGGTAAGTCAGGTAATGTTGGTGGACTCAAATAGACATTTCAAAATATTAGAGGTTTTTCTCATGAGACAATTAGAGCTCAATTATAGTGTCAATCCGAACCAGTCATTCCAATAATTTGGAACAATATTGGGAAGTCTGTTAATCCAATTAGTTGTATGGCACGATTTATTTTTAGCACCAAATGGAATCATTCGTATCTTATTATTTCAAAACTTTGTTAAGCCAATTAATGCTCAACGCCCAATTTATCAGTCATGGTGGTTCACTTATCGGGTGGTCGGTTACAGCTTCCTCTACCATCAAGTCTATGCATCTTAAACAAAATCCATGCTTCTAAACAGATAATAAACAGATAACTGGATAACTAATTCCATACCCGACATGAAATCGCAACCGGACGAGCGTATGGTTGAGCCGTCTCGTCGGCTTTTCTTATCCCGGAATAATTATTTAAATCTCATCATATCAATAATTTAAACCTAGTTAGTCCTATAACATCACTGAAACATTCGCGGAACTTTTTAAGGCCAAATATTTGCAATTTTAATTGTTGTGCAATTTAAACAATGGCTACTAGACATTACAGGAATGCTAAATACTGTTAGCTGCGCCAATGTATTTTCAGCTAAATTCAAATGAATTTTGGATGAGCCAAATATTGTCGTGCCGAGTCATTTCACATTATTATAAACCAATAATTTTCCGCTGGTTTGATATTAAACCCCAATTTCGGAAGTTTGTTAGTCGAATGTTAGTTGGCTCAAATTTGTTGTTGATGATAAATCCGAACCATAGTCACTTTATATAGGGAAAATATAGGTTTGGTCGAATTTATTTACGATTCAAACCAGCCATTTTTAGATTAAAAAAAAAATTCAAGTCATTTGATGTCGATTCGGTAATTAATCTGGATCAGACGAATTAAGTTAGGCTTCGGAGAGGTTATTGAAAAAAACTAATGCTCATATTTTTTAGCCGATATCTGAAAATATGAAAACAGTGTTAGTTGACGAAATGATTATACGAAAGCAAATTTTCAAGAAAATGTTACGACTAAAATAACACAGAAAAGAGGTAAATAGCTAAACAAAAATGTAATGAATGAAAAGTGCCGTACAGTTGTTTGCACGACACTGAATATAGATGCCTTGCATTTAAATGCACGACAATGTGGTTTTTGTCTCGAACACAATAACCATAATAAACAAAAAATAATGTCTTGCATTTTATTGCACGACAGTAGGGTGTGAATGAATATGAGAAAAACTAAGCCGATAGATGATAATTGTGTATGGAAAAACGATGGAAAACTAAGTCGAATATGAAAAATGTCTTGTACTATATTGCACGACATCACGGTGTATGAACATGGTTTTGTCTCTGAGACAATTAACCAAAAAAAAAATTAACTACGCACAAGTGTAAAAATATAGCCTAGAAGTAGATTGGAAGAGAAAAAAGTTTTAATCCCCAGACAAGATGTCTGGGAACCGTTACATGATTCATTCTCCTAATGCGTCCCTATCACCGTGAAAAAGTAAATTATCAAACCCAACTTGAAGTCGCAAGAGAGGACAGCAGTGCGAGTGATAATTACTCTTCACCCTTATACCTATCTATCCTAACTGAAAACTAACTATCCGGTCGCCCCAACCACACATCTCAACACCCCAGCGAAAGAGATTTTTGACCCTAGTTTGACGAGAACTATTCAGCGCCGACCTGATCTAATATTGCAATGAACGAAGCGTTCCCTACATATTCTAACCTGCCTAAGGTCAGCTTTTATTAACCAAAACTGTATTCATCGTGTGCGCGGGCGATCTCACTCTGCTACGTTGAGTGAATCCTAGCTGTATGGTGCAAGCACTAGGGGGTTTAGGCTGTCTATATTGGAGCGCGGGCGTCAGCTCCCCCTGCAATCATAAACACGATCCCAAATATTGCAATTTACGAGTCTGTTCATGAATGCCGCACTAAACCCTTAGTATATAATCTGAAAGCTGACCGGCCTAAAAACCCTAAGTTGCCAGAGACCTAGAGGCAACGTCTAAGATGCATAGCAGTTAACTTTGCCTTGGCGCACATTTGGCCTAATTAAGTTTAAATTTCGTTTTCACAAGTGTTTAATGATATTTGCATGATACAATTGTGTGCGTCACAATGCTAAAGTCATCAATTACTACCTGCCCTAGTCTAACTACCTTGCCAGCAACTTATTGCTACTGGGCTTGGTAATATTGAATCTGGGTTCAACGTACAAAAACCCGTTCAATATTAAGCGCAAAAGTGGACAATGGTTTTCAAATAAATCTGAATAATAAAATAAACCAAACAAATGATTCAGAATCTTTTTTTCAAACAATTTTTGTAGTCAAGTTTAACATCCATGACCATTTATTGCACCAAAGAGGAATTGTGGTACTTTTCGAGGTCTTTCGTCTGCTTCGTCTCACAATTTGCGGGCACCCTGTACTATGGCCTAGCATGCAAAGGGGGAAAAGCCCAAGTCTTATCCAAATATGTGCTCCATGTGACCGATTTAATTTATGAGACTTTGAAGCTTAATCCCCAAAAGTTATGAATAAAACCTATTGCCCTGGCTAACTAAACAATATAATAATTCAGTGCAGTGTTAAGCCTAACCGAAACCTTTCTTTATTTAATTTGGTCGGTCAAATTTTAGGAGCAAATATTGTCTAATTTTAAAGACATCACCATGCTAATTATAGTTATAGAAAGGTTTCGGCATTATTAAAAAAACATGGTTAGTTTGCCCTATTCCACGTAATATTCGTGGCAAATCGTAACAAATCGTCCACAAATAATTACTGTGTGGATCGATACATGAGAATGATGCCAAATATAAAAGTCCAATTAGCAATGAATACTGAATGATGTATGCATCATGCTCATAAAGAACAAATTACCATTAGAAAAATTCAATTTTCAAATTTGCATTATCCGCCGGACTGAGTTATTCCTTGCTATAAACATTCCTCATGACAGCCATCTAAACATCTAGACTAAATTCGTTTGTCGAACCCTATCCAGACATTCCTTGCTGACTAGCTAATAAATCGACATACGAAAATGCTTTTAAGTACCACACAAGAGAAATATCCTTCCAGCGAAGCGTAGAGTCCTATCTTCCATCTTCGCGCCCTTTGCGTTTCGCCCGATGGCTCTGATTCTACATCAAGAAGTGTTCGTACAACGAACATAAACGACAAACGAAACTATACGTTCAGTTGGCCTGGGGTAAAAATAAAATGAGAACACTTTGATATAATATTCGGCTGCTCTTCATGGTAAACATTCATAATCTTTTGTACAAAGCCCTCGTCAAAAAAACATGCAGACACCGCGCAAAATATAAAAAATAGCCCGTTAGTGTGAGGGATAGGAATGCAGTTTGAGCTGAAAATTCAAATTTTCAAATCATTCCTAACCCAAACCCGAACTGGATAATTACGAGGTTGTTATTTTAAACGTGGCGCCGGTGTTTTCCCCAAATCTCACATTTTTCATTAATAGTGGGGGATTTGCACAGAAGACCCAAAATCCAGGTCAATCTAGCAACTGCTGTATACAATGCTGTGCCCTACCTAGCAAGACTCAGAAATGAATAAACAAGGATTAACTCAATATTTATCATCAAGTGTTTTCGAAATCAAATTTATTGTTGTATCTCACCTTAGTTGGTTTGATGTCGTGGCCGGTTATCTTGAATACAGAATATTAGAAAATTTTCTTCAACCTGTTATGTCGAAAAATTTTGTAATTTTTATTTGAATGCAGTGCATTTGTAAAAAAAAACTTTTTATTTGACCCAAAAGAACAGCACGAGCAGCAATAATGTAAATCGATATATATAGTTTCAAAAATACCTTTTCCAGTCGATGTATTTGAGATCTTCGGAACATTCAGTCAGGCCCTGATGACATGCGAGACGCATGACAGAAAGTAAAAATCAGTTCTTGGACTCGCCAGCTAAACTGAATTATTTTTGGCTTCTGTGAAACAATTAATAACTTGGTTATTAATGTAATTATTAAGAAACAATTAACTATTGTTAATATCGTGCAAGAAAAGCCAAATTTCAAACTTCTTCCGGATTCGAATGCAAGATAGGAAAAGAAAATGAACTTTGTAAATTGGTTTTGTATTTTGCAATAACTTTGCTAATAGTACCGAATGCATGGACTAAAGTCATCACCGACCAGCATCCGCCCGAACGGCCTTTTACGAAATTGGTGATACCAGCAATGCCGAGGAATTCATTCAAACTTTAGAGTTAACGCTGAATAATCAGTGTGAACTTGCTTGTATTCCTAACGGATAGTATGATGTACATATCGCAATTAAAATAAACCAATCGAAGATATAAAGTACCAACCTGAAAATGCTGAATAAGACGGCCTTGGAATCGCCATATAAACAAAACACAATCGCAGCTTCTTGGCATCTTGACAACACGAACGCGGTAAACAGACTGACACGACTCCCGTCCATGTCGGCGTTGATTACCCTGATTATTACCCAAAGCAATTTCTAGAATGTTCGGTCCTATCAATCAACACTCGGTCTTACCAATAAACACAAAATTTGTCTCAAAACCAGCAGAATAACAAATATGTTTTCGAGAATGGGTAAAAATTCCCTGCAAAGAAAATTAAAATATGTTCATTATTGTTTTCGTGTTGTTTGGCCAAACGAACACAAAGCATCAATATTTCGACAAGATATTCCATTTAAAAGATTGAAATCACTTCGGGTCTTTGATAGAAGGAGACTCCAGCTGACCTTTCTCAACATCAGCATTGATGTCCGTGAGTAGAGAACTTTTTGTACAAACATAGAATGATTGTACAATTGCGGTGTCTCAAAAATTTCATGTCGCACTTGTAGGTGGGGCATGACACCCGTACAATTGCACATTACGTTTTTAACAAGGTTTCAATACAACCGCCTCATAAGGTAAGACAATCCGTGCTGACCTCTTGAGGTGATTCTTGTACAATTGCACATTACCTTCGTAACAAGGTTTCAATACAACCACCTCATAACGTAAGACAATCCATACTGACCTCTTGAGGTGAATTTTTGAGCATAGACAAGATCATCCACTACATCAAGATAATATTCCAACAAGCACAGATTCCTAAGGAACAAACACTTTCGGATCAAAATCAGGTGGGTGTTGGTGGACCCCAACAATGTATCGGGAATATTTATCTGGTTAGGCATTCCCATATTCCCTACCGAGGACCAGATAATAGACTACGCAATGAACCCGTTCATCAACTTCAGCATAAATAAATTAAACAACTTCTGTTATTCGTGTGATTAATGGATTGCAATAATTTAAAAAAAATCGCTACGATATCGGCAACATTATCAGCTACAAAATAACTTTGATTTATAATCCGCGACCAATTCTAAGCATAGACTTAGGATCAGGCTGTAAATTTGATGTCAATATTTTTAGTCCGTCCCAAACCTCATGTCCCAGGCCAGGTTGACAAGGACACAATGATTGAAAGACAGATAGCTATGGAGGTATGCGTTGGATTAGACTAAGGTTAGATTTATATTAGATTCTATATAGGCCTGTATTAACTTTCTAATTCAACAGAAAGGTTTTTAAACAACCAAATTTTTTAACAAGAGATCGTACTATCCTCTGTGCTCTCAGGTCGGGCAGGGATATTGTTTTTCTCCGTGGCGCACATTATCCCGACGCAGTATTGTCATCTAGCGGCGAAGCAGTTCAACTTAGCCTACAACGAGCGTCAAATGTAAAAATGTCGGATAGTAATTATATGTGAAATTGCTATTGTAAATGTGTAAACTTTATTACAGTATAGTGTCAACAAACACATTCATTCAACTCACGACAATAAACATCTGTTTTCTTTTTCAACAATCGCAATAAACTCATAAAATTAAGCAAATTGTTTACGTCGAATTACATCATAAAATGGCGCCGAACAATCAATCTTGGTAGAACCGTCAAAGCAATATGCTTAGTTCTATAAATATTATTACAGCTTGTTAATTTATTGCAGTAAACAGTACTGTTATGTGCATTTTATAATTGATTAAAATAATAAAAACATCGCGCGCCTCTCAGCAGGTGTGAGAATTTGAAGGCTTACAGATAGACCAATTTGACCTTCGTTTGGTTACTGATCAGAATATTTACTCTTGCAATAATAAATAGAATATCTCTTTGTTGTATATATTTTCTATATGATCCAAGGACCTTACAGAAATATATTTGTGTTAGTGTGCAGCAGGACTCTTGAAACACCTGGCCAATCCGAATACATGTACTTGAAGTAGTATTAGGACTCACTCTACAACTGGCTTGAGTCCAAAACAAATAAGTTCACCACTTTGAAACATTTAGTTTAATTCGAAATGAGTGGTGGATAAAATCATCAAGAAATTTTCTCGAATCAATACGAGGCAAGCCATTGATCGAATAAACTGAGTCCTCCCACGTCAGCAAGTTATTATTTATTTTGATATTATGGTTTGTACTATTAGCTATTCACCATCAACGCTCATGAAGGATTGTTTTGGGCAGGAAGCAGGAACAACTACTGGCTGACCAAAATTGTTGAAAAACATTCTTGAGATAGGAAATTTTCATCAAACTACTGATAAGAATCTAAATTATCATTCAAATGGATACGACAAAAGCGTTTTATCTTGTATAAACTATTGATTAAAGCTTTAACAGACAATCTGACGCAAAATCTCAGACTAAGATATTTTCTCGGATATCCTTAATCTGTAAGTCTTCTTTATGTCGCTAAATAAATTGATTATTTATAGATGATTATAGATAATCATATATATGTTAGTTCACATTGAGGCAAATATCGAAACTAAACCCGAAATATTATTGATTTACAGTATTTGATTGAGACAACGGGGACAAAAAGCATGGCCCACATGGGTAATTCGTACGATTTGAAATTGTTCTATTTGTTGAATATGACCGGCCAAGGCTAACAGTGTATATAGAAAAAGTCATATATTTTTCAATCAATATATTATGTAGGTTGATTTGACACACATTTGGAGTCAAATCCACACAGGTTTATTATGCTGTTATATCAAACATTAATCCCAATTTTATCGATGACCGGAAAATCTCGGCGTGATTAATCATATTAGATATAAAATAAGTTCACATATTCAATATTTTGATTATAAATATGAATGCACGTGCTACAAAACACTTGTTATCCGCAAAAGTGGTGCAAGTGGTACAAGATTCTCAGTTTATCACCTGGTCCACCACGCTGCATCTGCAAGAATCAAATATTACATTACATGGGATAATGATTATAAATGGTCCCCGCACATCCAACATAACATATGACGTCCATCATAGCTCAGTGAGGCGTTTGTCAGTAAGTGCATTTGTATACCAAGTTATAAATTGAGAACAAAAGACATAAATTTAAAGTCTCCAAAGTTCCAGATGAGAATACATATGTCTCTACACAAATAGACGACATAAAATTTATTATATTAAATTTTTCAGATTTTAGTCTTACATCATTGCTTGAATTAACTAATTTTTGTAGTATGAGTTTGTATTCCGGCATCGGACTGGAGACCATATGCCAAAGTACTTTTCTCACTACACTCGAAAACAAGTTACACGAAAAAGACCTCAAACACAATTGCATAATACAATGCATATGCATAACGGTAGTGGCCGACATAAGCTGCCACCATGAGAGTGGCAAAATGTGCGCAAATTGTTTGTTTATTTATCTGCATAAACTTTTGCTTCGTAGGCAAAACTGAAAACAAATAGCATTCTCAAAGATTTATCTAAAGGAATATTTTGGAAATGCATTCAGTTAAACTCAGCTAAATATTAAAATTTATTTTTACACCTTTATAATCCAAAAAATAAATAAAAAATAAATTACGAAAATTCAACAAAACAAGGAAAAAAACAAAATTACCAGTTTCTGTCAGCAAAAATAAGATTTGATTTTTAAAAAAATCGTGGAAAAAACGGGAGCTATTTCTGGGATCAAAGTTAGATTTGAAGACTTTTAATTCCAGAATTTTAAACACATAACATTTCCGTTTATTTATTTTTTGCTTTTGCCTTGGAGATTCTACAAACAATTATCAAACATTCAGTGAATTAAACCCGTCAAATTTGTATAAATATTGTGTTATATGTAATATCACTCAATATAGAATACAACTAAACCATTTCAATCAATTCAAAATCAATGTGTAATGAAACACGATTTGAAAACAGAATAATTATAATGATCCGTAATTCCAATATTTGTAAATTTGTTCTGGCATCAACCGCCATCAAGTCGACGGAGGATCAATGAAGCGTGAAATAATTAATTGAACAACAATAATACGTCTATCATTGTGACATAACAATCGCCTTATCCTGAATAGTGTTGGCGCCTCTTGTCAGAAATCCCAATATTTTTTAATCGTATTTATTGTATTTTTATCGAAAATCGACTGTCGGCCGTGGGTAAACTGTATTTGGGAATCGTACTCATACATTATCCGAGCATGGTTGAGAAAAACATTTGTGACAGGTATCTGGTCGCCAGAATCAATTTTACGCGATTACACACGGTATTAATTAATATTCTGTCACATTGTATTTGTTATTTTCATTCCCACGTGTATAAAATAAAAACTGTAACAAAATAGATTACATAAATCAAAGTATAAAGGCTGTCAGTTCACGGTAAAATCTTCTTTGTTTAATCTAGGATTTTGAAAATTATCAATACCCAAATTGAGTCCTGTCAGATGTATGGATTTGAATTTTAAACAGAATGAAATAGCCTTTTGAAATCAATCAATTCCTCAATCCTTGTTTTATCAACACTGCATTTCAAGTACGAAATCGGTGCATTTTGAGAAAAATACTTTTGCACGAATCACTAAATGAGACAGCTATTGGTAGCTATCTACTTGGCGGCCATTGGATTATCATCCAGAGTGTCAAGAACACTATTGCCATACCTGGCGTGAACTGGGGCCTAAAAACCAGACTAGAGGTGGGCGGTCGCCATTTGATAGAGCCATCTTATCGAATTTCACATAAAATAGCTATTCCTTCACCCCGTGATTTGTGTATAAAGAAACCATTTCTTAGTATATTAAGTTGTTTGGACGTTTTTCATCACATTTTCACAAGATTTATTCTGTAACTTTAGATCTGACCGAAGTCAGATTTCCTCAGACAAGCACCATGTGCAATTTACCTAAAGTACTTCCATTTATATTTCATAGAAAGTTTTTTCTATCTCGATACCATTCTGGTTTGGAAAATATGTTCTGCAGGAGACAAGTCGACTCATCGAGCTATGATTTCACAAATATTCAAATCATATTTTCCCACAATTACACGGTAATTATACAAAGATTTTAAAAATAACAACTTTCCCTCGATGTCTATTGTTAGAAATTAGCACTCGTTACAATAACAATCCGCTGTGCTAGGGCTCGATACCCAACAGGGAGAATAAAATATAGACGCGTGAAAACCCAATAGCTTAAAGACATTGTGCATTGAATGCATAATTTGCGCACAAGTATGCAGATAGACTTCAACAG